AAAAGGGTTAAATTAAAAGGGTCTGAAATGCTTGGGACGTCCTCCCCAGGTGAAAGGCACTATACAAATGTAATCTTGTTGTTAAATTACAAGGACAGGTTGCATATGCTTGAGTCTCTATTCCCTTTGAGTTTAGAAGATTGAGGGGTGATCTGATTGAGGTGTGGATGCTAGATCCATTCGCATTTTCAAGTCAGAGGTAGGTAGATATTTGTTAAGTCGGGTTATCAAGGGATTATGAGGCAAGGGCAGGTAAATGGACTTGAGGTACAGATCAGCCATGATCTTATAAAATGGCAGAACAGGCTTGAGGGTCTGAATAGCCTACTCCTGTTTCAATGTTTCTAATTGTCCAATCTCATTGTGATGATAAGACACTAAGCAGAAGCTGAACTCCCCAGATGATGACCAATAGTCCAGGAACTACAGGAGCACCAGTACTAATGATCAATGCAACATGGCTTTGGTATAGATCTAGAGTTAGGCTGCAGGCACACCATAATGCATGAATGGGAGAGGAAAAAGTGGAATCTTAACCTAAAATAAAATAATCATCAATAACAGCAATATAAATAAGAACAGTTGAACTTACGTTTCCAGCAAGGACTTGTCGAAGGAGGGACTCAGAATTTCCTTTCCTTGAAGTACACTTGTTGTGCCTAGTGGTATAGTTGTTTGTACTATAGTAGAACAGCTACCGTTTTCTGCAAAATGCAAATTTAAAGCTGTTGAATTTACACACTCTGATAAAGGGAATACTAACAACAACTTGTACTTAGACAGACCATCACTATCGTGGCATAGAATAAGTACTTTAGGCCTTGCCAGTCTGTGCTGATGTTTATACTCCACCCCTCAAAATGACCTCTCCATACCCTTCTCCCTAGAGGCAACAAAAATGTGGGTGAGGGTTTCAGCTACACAGGGTTGACGTAGGGAAGAAAGGAAAATTCAATGGGTTATCCCAAGTTAGTCTCACACCCTCCCTAACGTTCAATAACAAAACAATATTTGTCTGACCTCATGTGCAGGTCATTTGTCTGCCCTCTTGGCTGAGAAATGTTGTGAGACATGGGCTCTACTAAAAATGTACATTTTAACAAAAACTAATCAAAATAATTTGTCACATTCTAAAATTTCAGAATATACTGGATACTTCCATTGAAGGAAAATAGTGGGAAATTGCATTTTAAACTATGGTTTCAGACATTGGCATTTTATGCGTGTTAAAAGAAATGTACTGTGCTAGGTTAAAGATCTTCAGTGGAAAAAATGATGGGCATCATCCCAGGTCAATTTTATGCAGCTAGTTCCAAAACAGTAATGATACAGGATTGGAATCAGCTCGTCTTTCTGCCTCTAAGCAATAGCAACATAAATAATATTTTACCATCACATGTCCAATTCAAAGCAATCTGGATTACAAAGGAGGGACCCATTAGAATACAATAATTACAACTACTTGCATCTATATCATGTGGTCTCCGAGCACTTGAGAATAGTATCAAAACCCTGTACCTTAAGTTAGCAGCAGCTGAAGACCTTATTTAAAACAATTCACAATAAATTGAATAGAATTAAGAGATTTGATTATCTACCTCTTTCCGATCTACTTTGGTGGTTTCCTTTTGCGCCTATTGAAGGTGTCAAACCCAAACCGTGGAAGATTGTTGGTGTAGAAACTAACTGACTGTTCCTGGTTTGCTTCTGCCATGGTGTTTTGAAATAAGTATCACTGATAGAACTTGATGTGCCACGACTGGTATCATCCTTAAATTCTTTTGGCTGATAAGAGGGAGCTAACAAGGTAAGTTGCTCAACCCAGTCTGTACATAATGGTCCCAAATCTGACACAGGGAAAAACAAAAGTTATTTTCAAAGTAAGTTATTATTACAATGTTTCCTGGCATTAAATTGATTTGAGATGCACAAGAACCGAAGTACAGTAATCTTGAAAAGATACACATTAATATAAGTAAAAAAAGGATTCATCCATAAGGGGTATCAAATAATAGTTTTAAATTCTTTACCTTTTTGACACACAGCCACAAACCCATCAAAATGGTGGTTCTCCTTGAAGTTTGTTCGTTCATCCTAGTCAACAATGCAACAAAAGCAAAAATGTCTTTGGAGATTAACTTGTACTCATTAAAGTCAGCAGCTTCTGTCAAAACTGAATATTAAATCCAAACTAGATTATAAACATTGGTTTCATAAGAAAAACAATTTCCAGAATGACTGAAAATACCACCCTTTCCAGAGTAAGGAGCTGTGGTGCCTGTCTCCCCACCTCCCCAGGTTTGCAGATGACACACAATTCTACCTCTCTGCCTCCATCCTTTACTCCAGGACCACTGCTGTGCTGACAGAATGTCTGTCAGACATTGTCCTGGATGAGAGCTAATTTTCTTCAGTTGAAAGTCAACAAGTCCTGTGGAGTCCTGTAGCTCAGTGGTTAGAGCACTCGCTTTGCAAGCGAGAGACCTGAGTTCAATTCCAGGCAGAGGGCCAAACCTTGGGCAAGTTTCCTTACTCCACACACCTAATAATAATCCCTCCAAAACAAAAACAATAATAAATTGGTCATTTTCAATCTACGACTGTTTGTGGGACATTGCTGTGCGCAATTGGCTGCCGCGTTCGCCCACAAATATACAGTCAATTCACTTTACAGTGTGTTCTGTGAAGCGCTTTGGGACGTCCTCCCGACGTGAAAAGCGCTATATCAAATGCAAGGATTATTATCATTATTATTAACAAGACCGAGACTCTCCTGATTGGCTCACATCAGCGCCTCCTCACCTCAGGCACTGACGGCATCACCATCCATAGTTGCACACTCCACCTCACTGAGCCAGTCCGCGGGACCTTGGCGTCTTGTTTGACCTTCAACTATCCTTTCTACCCCACATCTGCGCCATGAGCCGCTCTGCCTTCTCCACTTCCGCAACGTCACCCGGCTCCGGCACTGTCTCACACCGCAGGCCGCCGAAACCCTCACACACGCCTTCATTACATCGAGGCTCGACTACACAAACTCCTTCCTTGTCGGCCTCCCCAACACCTCCCTCCACAGACTGCAGGTCATCCAGAACTCTGCAGCCCGTGTCCTCTCCCGCACCAGGCCCCGCGACCCTATCGACCCCATCCTCTCCCGACTCCACTGTCTTCCCATCACACAGGGGATACAGTTCAAGATCCTGGTCCTCACCTTCAAAGCCCTCCATGGTCCTGCTCTGCACTACCTCTCCGACCTCCTGACCCCCTACCACCCTGTCCGCTCCCTCCGCTCAGCGCCTGCTTCACGCCCCCCCCCCCCCCACCTCGCCCGGCCCACCATTGGCGGGCGGGCCTTCCGCCACTCTGCCCCCACCCTCTGGAACGCCATCCCGCAGTCCCTCCCTCTCCCCCCCTCCCTCACCTCCTCCAATACCCGGGTCAAGACCCTCCTCTTCGACCGTGAGTTCCACCTCCCTGCCCCCCACCCCTCCCCCCCGCTCGGGTCCGCAACTCCGTCCGTCCAGCGCTTTGGGACGTCCTCCCGACGTGAAAGGCGCGGTACAAATGTAATTGTGTTGTTGTTGTTGCTGGGAAGTGATCTGTTGGAGAGGCCGGAGGGGGGGGGGGGGGGGGGAGAGTCGGGGGGAGGGGCAGAGTTCCCCCACAAAATACCTCAATCGGCAGTGAGCTCACACACCGGAGGCCGTGTCTTCCCTCCTCCCGGGGTGGCGGTGATGACGACGACGACGACGACACGCGAGCCCGTGAGGTGAGGACACGAGCCTGAGGTGAGGACAGGCTCGCGCCTCCCCCTCCGGACGGTTGCAGTTCAAACGGCAGCGGCAGCTCGCGGTCCACTTTCGCGCGCTCTTCCTCGCTCGCAACGTCACGGCTCGCACGTCACCCGCTCGCTCGCTCGCTCGCCGTCTCCCAGCCAATGCGCAGCCGCGCCGGACGTCGGCGGGGGAAAGGGGTGGAGCTACGAGGCGAGGCGTGACCGGCGTCTCCTGTTGCCGGGGCAACGCCTCCTCGGCTGCTCTTGGGGAAGATGGCGCCTTGTTTTGAAATTGATTTTGAGATTAAATCGCTATTTTTCATTGTTTTTCACTTTTGACTCCCTCCAAAGGGCCTCATTTCCCGCCCTCCACCTCTGGGACCTTCTGCCGCCACCGGCCATTCACCGAACACAGCTTGGTTTACTTATTCCTTGTTATTTTGTGATGCAAAATGTAATTTGTTGTTGGTTGCGGGAGGTCCCAGAGCGCGGGGGGGGTAGTGCTGCTGGTGGGGGTGAGACTGGAGAGGAAACGGGTTTCTTTTGAAAACAAGAAACCGATCTGCTGTGAGCAATTGCCTGCCCCGTTTCACCCACAAAATACGCTGGCAATTCGCTTTACAGTGTATTCCCTGAAGCGCTTTGAGACGTCTCGAAGGTGTGATAAGGCGCTATATCAAACGCAAGGATTGTTATTATAACCATCTCCATCAAAAGTCAGCCCCCGGCCAGCTCCACGTCTCCTATCTGATCCACAGAAGGCTTTAGGTTGGTTGCCTACATCTCCCAAGACTGATTAATGAGCCGTCCAGGCCAGTTAATCACGAGCAACGCCATGGATTCCTGCGAATTTGCAAGGCTATTGGGAAAGAGTGGGGGGAGTGGGACTAATTGGATATCTCTTTCAAAAAGCCAGCATAGGCAGGTTGGGCCGAATGGCCTCTTTCTGTGCTGTAAGAATCTATGATTCTATGAGATCCACCCAGCTATCTAGTCCACCCTGAAAGTTACTGGCACTACCTGCGGACTTTCTGGCTGGTCAGGGTGTTGCGCATATTCACCACTGTTAAATTTCAACTCTGTTACCATCGCATCCCTCCCCACACACACAATTTCGTTCAATTTGCATTCGTCCCTGCGAGGTTGATAGAAATGTACGTCTAGGTGGCTGAACACTAGAATAATATGGTGGATAAACGACATCAATTGCTCTTGGAGGGTGGGGGGAGGTAAGATGTCTGGAGAAGATCCCCAAAACCAGGGGAGTGACTGAAGGGAATGATCAAGCAACAGCGATACATTGGCTCAGAAAGGTGGGTCCAACGAGGGGATAATTTGGTCAATTAAAAAGATCAATCAATGCTCAACTGACATCAATTGAGAGAGGGCCTAAACAGGCACCATATAAAAAGGCAGACATGGCAGTGTTGACTCAGGGTGGGTGATATTTTTCTTTCGGTGGTGGTGGTGGGGGGGGGAGTTGGTGGAAAGTGGGTGAAAAGAAGAAGAAAGAAAGAAAGAGAGAAGAAAGTTGGGAGAGAAATGGAAGGAGTTGTGTACTCGCCACTCAATGCCTATTCTTATGGCTCTTACTCCCCAAAGCCGAGGCAACAAAACTGGAGGCAGAGGAGCTCCCACCACCAGCAGCAGCAGCAGCAACAACAGGGAGGAGGGGGCGGCGAGGGGGGGGATTACCTGGACAACTACAAGAGGGCGCAGCTCAAGGCCATCCTGTCCCAGGTGAACCCCGGCCTCACCCCGCGCCTGAGGAAGGGCAACACCCGGGAGGTCGGCATCCAGGTCAACCCCAAGGTGGACGCCTCGGTGCAGTGCTCGCTGGGGCCCCGCACTCTGCCCCGCCAGCGCCGCCGGGGGCTGAGCGAAGGGTCCGCCGCCCCTCCTCCGGCCCCCCGCTCCCCCTCCCCGCCCCCCGGGCCCGGGCCCGGCCGGGCAGCCCGACCCGGGGAGCGCTCGGCCGCCCCGGCCCCCGCCCCGGCCCCGCCCGCCCCCGCGCGCTTCTCCCGCCCCGCCGGGCTCTACTCGTCGGTTTTCCAGCGGCGTCAGGTCCCGCAGCTGCAGCCCGAGCCCGAGGGGAGGGAGCCCGGCCCGGGGGGGGCGGCGGCCGCCGGGCAGCCGGAGCCGGAGCCCCAGGGTCCGGGCGCCGCAGCCCCCGAGCCCGGAGACCAGGAGACCGCGCAGCACACACCGGGACTCCAGGACAGTCAGGACCCCCGGGGGGGCACCGAGGAGCAGAAGTTCAGATTTCAGGTAATAATTATTATTAATAATTAATAATAATAATAATAATAATCATAATCCTTGCGTTTGACACAGTGCCTTTTCCTGTCTGTGTCTGTGTCAGAATGTAATGCTGACAATCCGCGCGTTCGATGCAGCTCCTTGTCGCGCGGTCGGGAAGACGTCTTGGAGCGCTTCCCGGAATAACGCCCGCGAAGCGCGGCGACTGCATCCCGTGGGTGAAACTCGGCAGCCGGTTCTCCCCCCCGCGCGCCCGGCAGCGTCCCGCCAGCCGTCGGCCGCCCGCGGCCAGCGACCGACCCCGCCTTTTCAAAATCTTGTTTTAAAGTCGTAGGGAATTTTAACGCACTTTTTTTTTTTTCCGTCTCCCCTCACCCCCCCCCCCCAACCCCTCTCCCCTCACCCCACTCCGTAGAATGTATTTTACCGGCTTCAAATTCAAATAAGACTCGGGAAGTCAGCAACAGCAAAGTGCATTTATTGAGCGCCTTTCACATCGGGAGGACGTCCCAAAGTGCTGCACAGTCAACGGTTTGCACCTGACCTGGAGGTTGGAATTAAAAGGGTGATGGGAGGGTGACTGAACCCATGGTCAGAGAGGAAAGCCTTGAGGAAATGAGCCAAAATGAGATAATTGTGGTTAACTGGCTTTGAGGGATGTGGTAAACTAAATTCTGTATTCCGCCAAGATCTCACTTAACTCTAGAAACTGTTTGCATTTCAGTTCCTGGAACAGAAATACGGATATTATCACTGCAAAGACTGCAACATCCGATGGGAAAGTGCTTACATCTGGTGTATTTCGGGAACGAACAAGGTACAACAACAACAACGCAAAATTACGTTTGTATCGTGCCTTTCGTGTCAGTAGGATGTCTCAAGATGCTGGACAGAGGGATCTGCACCCAAGCTGGTGGTTGGGATCAGGAGGGGTGGGAAGGTGACCGAAGGCACAGTTGGAGAGGAAGGTCTTAAGATGGGTCTTGAAGAAGGTGGGGCAGAGGGACTGGGATCGAGTTTCAGAGGGTGGGGGCAGAGAGGCTAAAGGCCTGCCCATCAATGGTGGTTGGGGCAGGCAAGGTGGCAGAAGATGGGTTTGCACTCGGACTGCAGGCAGGCGTCTAGGTGCTGTAAATGGAATTAGAGGAGCAACCGGGAGAGTTTTTTAAATGACAAGTAAGAAATGATGGCAAGAAAACTCTGCCATTTCCCTGCAAAGTGGAGATTATCCAAGATGCTGTGTGGCTTCATGGACTACCTCAAAACAGACCTATTCCATAACTTTGTAATAACTCTTGGCTGTGATTTTTTTTTTATACATCGTTTCCTTGTATTGGAGTCCTGTAGCTCAATGGTTAGAGCACTTGCCTTGCAAGTGAGAAACCTGGGTTTGATTCCCGGCAGGACAAAATCTTGGGGCCGTTTCCTAACTCCACATGCCTGATAATAATTCCTCAAGAAACAAATAATAAAATATTGGTCACTTTAATCCACAACTGTTTGTGGGACACACTACTGTGTGCAGTTGGCTGCTGCGTTTTGCCTACAAATATACAGTCAATTCACTTTACAGAATATTCTGTGAAGCAATTTGAGACGTCTAGAAGACGTGAAAAGCACTATATCAAATTCAAGTATTCTATTTGAAGCCAATAGGACAACTCTGTTATAATGCTGTGTGTGCACTCCCCAGGAAGTTGACCCTCTAATTGTACTTGCAATGTGGCCTGAAATATTGGATAGTGGGGCTGCCCTATAATACGACCTTAAAATTTTGCTCTTTAAAGAAGATTCTCCATTTCTTTTACCTGTTGCTGGAACTCCTATATAGTGAAACTGTTTCAAAACTTTTTATGCAACACTGCTTCAATACCAAATCCACCACTTGAAATGTCAGGGTTAACTAACAATTTTTTTAGCGTGGGAATAATATTCGAAAGTGCAAAATAACTTGACCATCTGACCCAATAAATCTGACTGGTTGGGTTGAAATGAGTAAATGGTTAACTTGTGATTTACAGGTTTACTTCAAGCAGTTCTGTCGCAAATGTGATAAGGGATACAATCCATACAGAGTGGAACCTATTCTTTGCCAGGTAAACTAATGCATGTATCAAAACAGGCAATGATATACAACAACAACTTGGATTTATATAGCGCCTTCCACCCTGGACGGCGTCTCAGAGCACTTCACAGTAACAGATCCCAGGGCCGAGCCAGGGGGGGGAGGAGGAAGGTAACCAAAGGCATGGTCCCTTCAGCAGGGACCTGAAAGTAGGAAGCGAGGGAGCGAGGCGAAGGGAGTGAAGAAGGAAATATACACATCTTATATTCTTCCAAACCCCTAAATGGATGACTACTTTCTCCAATCTAACCAGCAATTAATTTGGGATCCTGACTTTGTTTTAAGCTAATGTATATGTGGGAAGCACTCAAAGTGTTTGACAGGATTTACTATAGATTACAGTGAGTTTTTGTGGGTGATGGTTTTCTAACCTTGTTCACTTTCTTCCCCTCTGATGCAAGTTTCAACCCACTTGTTGACTACTGATCAATGAAAATGGCCCTTTAGGTCTGCCTGTTTTGTTACATTTTTCTCCCCCCTTTGTTTTGCATCATTAACACCTCATCCCCTGTCCTCTACCCATTTTCTTCATTGTCTTCCTTGCCCTACCTCTCCCTCTGTTAGTCCTTAAAAGCCTTTCCCTCCCAACATGCCCCAGTTCTTACAAAAGATCGTAAACCCAAAATGTTGACTCACTTTCCTTTCTTCACAGATGCTGCCTGACCTACTGAATGTTCCCAGCGATTTCTGTTTTTCTTTTATCCCACCTTTTCCTCTCAACTAATCAATTGTGATTTTGAAAATCATTTCAAACAAAATGAGCCTCTTGCATATAAAATGACTATTGTGCATATCAATCTTTTCAGTCAATTTCATGGCTGTCTTAATACAAAACATTGCTTTGTATTTCCTAATAGGACAACCTTGTTAATCATGTGTGCATGCCCAAATTGTATTTGGTTTTGTCAGGGTACATTATCCACTGGGTTGTCTTGTGATGTGTACTCCAAAGAAGTTTAAGATCTAACTAGACCTGCACAAAATATGCTTGCTACTTTGTATTTTTGTGAAGGGCTCTGATTCCATTGTACAATGCAGATTCAAATTACATACTTAATCTTGTTCATGGAGTGAATAACTAATCTTTTCATTAATTATGCAGACTTGCTCCAAAACTCGCTGCACTTGCCCTCAGAAGAAGAGGCACATTGATCCAAGGAGACCTCATCGTCAGGAGCTGTGTGGCCGTTGCCGGGGCAAGAGGCTTTCCTGTGACAATACCTATAGCTACAAGTATATTGTCTGAATGATGCCTCCAGTGTATGCAATTTTTGCCAACAATGTTGGAACTAATATAGTACTTGAGGCTACTGACTTGGCATGGATAATGGATTTTTTGTATTTCCTATTTAGCATGATTGTATAGTGTAAATGTGCAATAGAAATTAAATTATTAAAGCACTTATGTCTTGCAGTATTTGGAAATGGGAACACTTTAATTCATAATAGTGATTATATATGGAAGTATTTTTTTTCAAATTAATTGCACAAGTTTATGGTCCAAGTGCTGTTTGCATGGAGATGTGCAAAACTCCCAGGCTTTGGAAGTTATCTATACAGATTGTAATAAAAACTAGTTTGATTTTTTTCTACCTAAAATTAATCCCACAAGAATACATTCAGGTAATAACCATGAATTTCCACTTTTTTTGAACTAAAAATTATAACCCTCAACCCCTCCCCTCTGATTGTCCCTGTATCAGGACTAATCTACCACTTTAAGTAGAACATTGGCATTTTCCCATTGAAAGTAGGTTAATCACAAGTCAGTGAGTTTTAAAAAAATCTACCTCCATGACAGTCTTATCCCATAACTGAGAGAAATAATGTACTTGCAATTTAATCTCAAAAGGAGATCAGCATTATTGCAAGATTATCTTAACATGATATTAAAAGGACTAAATTGTTGAAGCAAAATAATATTCCTTGGATTTCTGTATAGTGCTGTGTCAGGACAACTCAAAGTGCTTCACAGGATTTACTCTGAAAGGGAGTGACTAATTTGTAAGCAACAGTGGCAGCGTGAGTGTGAACAGCAATATTCCACAACCTGCCATGAAATGAACAATTAATGCATCCTGGTCTTGGGGCAGTGAACTCTATTTTGTAAATGAGTGTCTTCTGTTTGTTTCCACATATTTGTGGTTTTCTCTTGTGGATGCGTTCTGTGAGAAAGCTTGTAATGCTTTCTCTTTTTTTCACCATTATCTGTAACAGCTGCTTGTTTCCCATCTGAACAACTTGATTATCGAGTCCTTCACACAAAGTGTCTCAGAACTTGAGAGAGATGGTACTGGACATTGAGCAGAAGGAAGACTACATACTCACACCTTACTGAGTTGCTCTTTCCCTCTTTTTGTGTCCGACTCACTCTGTCTCCCTCTCTCAAACACACTTTGGTCGTTTATTTGTCATTCACATTCTCACCATCCGCTCCTCTCATTTCTCTTGCACTTGCAGCCACTACCTCCTGTCCTCTGTCTTTGCACAGTGTGGATGTAATGGGGGAGGACTCCCCATGCTGCTGGATGGCATTTAGGTGTACATATGGTATCTTTTCAAGCATATTATGCAATTGTCAATTGCAATCGCACTGGCCATTGCTTGGAGTGGGTTTAGGAAAAGCTTGATTGTTTCCAGCTGTGTTGCAAGTTTGCATAGGAAGCAACTGGCTTGGGGGAGGGGGAGCTGGGAAATGTATTCAAACTTAAAGTGTTAATATACAAAAGAGCATCTGTGAGATGAGGTATGCACACATTTTGTATATGTCAAGCTGACTGTCCTGGACATCACTTCTTGTCAGGCAGGGTGTGGATGATGAGCACTGTAGATAATTTTTGGCCAGGTGAGTTCATGAAATTTTGCCTTTGTGTGTTAAGTTCAATGTTATGTGTTTTTAATTTAGGTTCACAGACTTAAGATTGCAAATGTAAAAATATTCTTCAGAGTGGAAATTTGCAGAGGATTTTTTGAAATGTGCAGGGTGGGGGAGGAATTGGATCCTGATTTTCCATGACTTTATACTATGATGGATAAAATTGGCTTTTCAGTTTACCCTCGAGTGAAGATACCTCCAGCTCCATCAGAACCTTCAGGAAAGTCAACAAATTCATTTTCTGCCGAATGGAGTTTTCTGGTACAATTTGATTGATACCTTAACCATGGCAGGAGATTAGGAGAGGTGGAGGCCTGTGTGGTATATACACACCGACATGGTACTAGGGCCAAATCCCTGTTTTTGCACTGTAATGTCCTTTTGTAATTCTGTGATAGCAACTCTGTGCATAAAATGCAAGTGCAGAATAGCACACCATAATTAAAGCATCCTCTCCCCAAAAGAAAAACACAGCACAAAATTTAGTTACGTGATATATTGCAGCTGTACACACAGTGCATGAATTTACAGAACAAAACACAAACCCAAGGTACTTCACAGTAGCTGTAAAATTATTTACAAGGAAAATAAGTTATGTGGATAATTTTTGTAAAGGAAGGATTAAAGGTGCAACACATTTTTACATGCAAAAAATGTTTGTATGGCTGTCACAACAATACACTGCAGTGTTTCAGAAACAAGGAAGAATCTCACCATGAGAAGAGCCCCTACCTATAATACAAATGCACAACTACACACTTTTAATTTAGAAATTTGAAGCGTAAAGACTATTGATTTTCTGAATATGTTTGAATTCATATATTACATACAAATGTGCATGCTTGGTAGTCGAGTAGGCATGGACTCTAATGTCATGTGAAAGTCTTCACCTCATCTACCAAACAGCAGTTTAACTTGAAAGCAGCCTTTTCCTATTACCGCATTTATAAATAAAATCAATAAAAGCTTCCATCTAGTAAAAAAAGCAGCCGAAACCCAAATGTATTTCATCTGGACTGTTCACGATATTTCAAATACAGTACAAATCCTATTGTATGGCCCAGTTAAACACTTTCTTAGACAACATCCAAGTGACATTTTGCCAACAAAAATGGGCTTTTAGCAGCTCAGAATAAACAAGTATAGTATCCTTGTTCCTGTTTATACCATACATTAAAGTTTATAGTCTTAAAAAAAATTTAAACATACAGGCTTTCAGCTCGACAAAACTGCTTCCTAGTGCATTACGTACAGCTTCATGTTACCTGCTTTTATTCTCAGTAGTCATAAACCTCACATTTCTTTATAGTATAAGTTGTGACAATTCTGTGGCAGTAGTATAAGTTTACATTAAAGGTAAAATTGCATTTCTTTCAAAATAGTATCTTCAGGAAGAATAAATTGAATGCAATGGCCTTTGGTATCCTCGGTTAACCTGTGAAGTTGTATCTTTAGTTGCCAGTGTAATTCAGCAAAAGCTGCAGTTTACCCAGTAAAAGGAGGAATAAAACTGTGCTTTGATACGAAGACATGTCATCATGTTAATCTCAGCCTGGGTACTTTATTTTACTTTTGGTCTTGTGGTATTGTTGCATGTTTGTAGACTCACCCACTCAAGCTTATTGAAACTGTGAAGTGTCACACATGTGAGAACAGCCTGGCCAAGTTTTTCTAAGGCTGAAGAGACACTGAAGGGTCTCAGACCAACACAGCAGCATTTCCAGTCGTAAACAAAAGGGGGACAGAACACTGCTGTCAGAGACTCGTGCCGGCAGCGTTGGTGTTCGGATGAAAAGTATTGATGACACGGTAACTTTGAGCCTTCCGAATCATATCCTGAATCTCTCCATTCAGCTCCATCAGCTTGAAACTGATCTCTGTCAGATCCCGATTGGAGCCCACCAGAGCAAATGTGCCTGTTTGTCCCAAGGTTTGGTGCCTGAAGTAAATGTTAAGAAGCGTCTGGACCTCATCTTCCACATTGCTGCCAAAGATATCATTGGGCCACATTGTCCTATAACAAAATATTGAAGTGAGGGACTGAATGTATCAGGTAGTACTCACAAATAGAAACACGCTGGTCCTAAATTCTGATTGAAGCAATACAATCTATACTTTATAGCTCCTTTTCACATTGGGAGGTGTCCCAAAGCGCTTGACAATTCTAGAGGGCACCAATGCTGACAGTGGGAGCTGAGTGGGGTGAGGAGAGGTAAAGATGACTGAAAGCATGATGATCAAAGCGGTACATTTTGAGGCGTACCATGAAAGGGGAGGCAGAGAGCAAGTTGGATAGACTGCGAATAGCACCAAGTGGCTAAACGTTTGCCCACCTATACTGGGGAGGATAGGGCAGGGGATGTGGAGTAGTGAAGGCTGAGTGCAGGGAACGTCCGAGTTGGTATGAGTGAAGGAGGTTGCAGAGGTACAGTGGGACAAGACCATTGAGGGATTTAAATGCGAGAACGAGGACCTTGAACTTGATCCGCCGGGGGATGCGGAACCAGTGAAGCCCAGCAAGGATGTGGTGATCGATTTGTGGAGCCTGGTATGGGTGAGGACATGGGCTGTAGAGTTCTGGGCAATCTGCAGCAGGTGCAGGGAAGATCTGGGGAGTCTGACAAGCAGAGCTTTGACATATTCAACCTGGACATAACAAAGGTGCGAGTGTGTGTCTTGGCTCATAATTTTATACGGAAGATTGGGAATATGGCAGTGGATAATTATCACTGATTTACACCTGATTTAATGGTGCATTGAGCCCAGATTGGAATATTCAAATTAATTAATTAATTTCTGTTGTGCTTTTTTCCCTGTCATTTATACTGATAACAGACGTTTTTGGTTCTAATAATATATAAAAATCAAAAAACATTGTCTAGTGCTGCGATGGGAATACAGGGCCATTGGGGAGCTACTATTGTATGTTTCAATAGAATATCTGAAGCTGGTCAATGAAAATAACAAAGATTAATATGGCTGATGCGGAGGATTACAATATTACAATATTATGTAAGAAGCCAGAAATTATGAAAGTCAATCAAACAATATACTTAAAGTCTTACCTGCATTCTTTGATTTGCTGTAGGGCAACAGTAAGATCTCTGTTCTTTAAGCTCTCCAACATGGACTGAACAGCAGCTTCGGAGGAGGTGAATGTGAGTCCAGGTGAAGAGGCATCATCTGCTATCAGAGCTGAAGCTTCCTTCAGGTTGTTTCTCAGATCACTCAGTTCTTTTGACATATTGAGTAGCTGGTACATGAGGAAAGGTATTTCAGCAAACATTAATAACAAGTTATGGATAGGAACGTTTCAAGCTGGTTTTCCTTTTAACTTTCCAGCTCCTGCCTTATACCAGCCTAACGACTTTCTTCAAATAATATGAACACAGGTTCAAAAGAAAGTTTCCAGCTAGTGCACAACTTGCATTTACAGAGCATCCTTCATATAGGTTGGAGTGTTCAACAGTGATGGAGCTTGGCCATGCCCAGGAATGCACAGTCAAAGAGGATGTTAAGTGTGACCTGATGATGGATAAGGAGGGATCAAGGTGGGGCGGCAAAGAGTTCCAGAGTATTGGGGCATAATGCTTAAAAACATGGCTGCCAATAGTGGAGCAGAGGGGACAAGAGAAGTGTGGAAGGCTGGAACCAGCGAACGAAGGGGGTGGGTAGAGGAGTGGGTCAGAGAGGGAGGGAGATTCTAGGGCATGAAGTAATTTGAAATTGATCCGTTCTGCAGTGGAGCCTGGCAAGGATTGGGGTGATGGAGATGCAAAGCTTGGTATGGGTTAGAATACGGATGGCACAATATTGAATTGATTGAAGTTTATGAATGATGGAGCTGGGTAGACCGGGGGGAGATATTCATGGAAAAGAGTTTCAGCCACATTGGGTGTGAGGTATGGTCAGTGGTGAGTGAATTGGCAGAGGGAGAGGAAAGTGGTCTTGGTTAGGGACCAGATGTGGGATAGAAAGAACAATTTGGGTTCAAACCTGTTGCCGAGGTTGCGCACAGGTTCAGTGAGTCTGAAGGAAAGGCCGTGGAGGTTAAGGAGGTTGGAGCCGTAGGCAGGAAGAAGTTGATGGAGGGCAAGGAGGATATAGATCTTGTGCGACGAATCAGTTGTTGGGCATGTTAGGGAAAGTGCTGAGCCGAGGGTAGATACTTCCATAAAGAAGTTGATTGTCATTGGCCCACTCTCCTTTATTTAACTACAGTTTTACCCAGAGGATTAGGTCACTTGCCCAGGGTGCATCTGATCCAAGACGTGAGAAAACCCAGTGCGAAAATGAAGAGACATTAAGGTAAAAAAGAATAAATACAAAACAAAACTGTTGCATGCGTAATATTTAGGATTGTGTTGATAACAAAGGAATTTATTTTACCTCTGGCATCGAGCTGACAACATGTATTTGTCCAATCAGTTTATAGTAGGACTGAAAGAGCAGCAGCAGTTGAAAGTGGAGCTTATAGAGTCTTTGACACAATTCAAGTTGCTGTGTAAAGAAACGAAACAAATGGTATAAACCAGGCAACAAGAATACATGTGACAATATTCATTTTAGTTTGGCACATATATATTTAAGTATCCGAACAGTATACAAATTACAGAGAAATCAACCAGTTAAGTTATATGGAAAGCTTTCCAAAGCTGAATGTTATTTTTGCCAGATACGATTACATATCTATGCAAAATTTGTCCATTACTACATTGTAGTGCTTACCCATATTTTAGTAGGTTCGTCCTAAAGAGCAGGAATTAAAGTAAGCAAATTGTTATAAAGGGCTACAATAATTTTAAATTGCATTTGATTCTAAATTGATTAATAACTATACAAACTGAATAAAAAATGTTTTGAAAATCAGGACCACAGTGTTGTGGTTAACACTGTTGTTGTTTTAAACCGTCATTGAAAAGGGATTTTTTTTTGGTGAGCTCACCTCTGTTACTGCCAGATTGGTCATGTTAAAGTACATAATGTAATGGATAAAATATCTGCTGCTTGTGTACTGTTGCGATATGATTTTCACCCAGGAAATGTTTGATTTTTAAAGTCAATAAATCCGGTAAAATTTTTAGCAGTGACATGAAGATGTCATATCATCATTCATCACATCAAAGTCAATAAATCTGATAACATTTTTAGCAGTGACATGAAGATATCATATCATCATTCATCACATCAAAGGACATTACTTGATTAAAACATGACAAAATAATAAGTAAACTAGGATGATTACTAGGATAATCATGTACCTGAAAATAATCTTATTTATTGTCTGTGCAAATGGGTCTGTGCACTATGAAGTTCTGAATTCTAAATATGCTAATTGTTCAAAATAAATCTTTTTGCAGATATTTCTTGTTGAAGGGCAGAGCTAATTGATAAACAATAAATAATTTATCTTAAAGGCAGAATTGCTGATAATGGGTGTTGTGAAACCATGTGTTTTACTGATGAAATGTTACTATAATAATAAAGTAGTAAGCACTATATTGCATCAGTGTGCCCAAGGAGATGTTTGCATTTAAATGGATTAATTTTATGTGACAACCACAATCGTTATTCCTCAGGTTTCTAACCTCGATCCTCCCCTCTTCACAATCTATATGTCCCCCTCCCCACTTGGTAACGTCATCTAGAAAGACAGGATCCTTCAAACACTACATCTGGGCTCTCACTAGCTCTCCCCTCATCTCCACAACATCACTCTCCTCTATCACTATCTCACTCCCCGGTTGTTGAGAGCTTTCATCCATATCTTCCTCACCTCAGAAATGATTACCAACACATACCATTCTCGCTGGACTCCTCATCTACTCCCTAAACAAGCTCCGGGCCATCTTAAATTCTGAAGCCAGGGATCTCTCCTGCACCAGGCCTCGCGATCCCATCATCCTAATCCTGCTCGGCTCCACTTGTCCACTTGGTCCCCACTTTCAAATGCATCCATGGTCTCGCCCCACCCAATTACCTCTGTTATCCTCCTGACTCAGCTGCTTCCTCTGTTCAACACTGGCCTGCTTCAGCATTGGTGGGCAAATCTTCAGCCATTCTGCCCCCACACCCTGTGCCTTGCCACATGCTTCCCACCCTTCAAAATCTGTTTTAGAATTGCTGAATCTCTTTGGCTGTGATCTTAGCCACTTTCCCCTCAATTGGGCTCCCAGTCAGTTGTGTGAAGGGCTTTGAGACATTCTCCTGACGTGAAAGGCGCTATATAAATATAACTTGTTGTTTTAAGAAAGACATCACTATACCTTATTGTCAGTTAAGCACTAAATTCAAAGCAAATAAACTATAGAAATGTACAGCAAGGAAGTGGACCAAGTTAGCCTTTCACCCTTACATGGTCTATAAATTGTGTATGCTGTCAATGTAACATTCTCCTAAAGGAGAGGGAGTGGGAAGAAATAAGTGGGATTGAACTGTTTTCAAGGAGAATGTAGGTAGGTCTGAAGAAATCCAAAGCATTGCCAATGATTGATCAGTTTTTCTGGCTTATCATTAACACTTTGAGGTGCAGACATGCTCTCAAATCTGAGATCCAGGTCTAAGCAGTCCTACAACAACAACAACAACTTGCATTTATGAGACCTAGTTGGACACATGCCATCAAACTTCTCAGTGGTTTATACCGGTAAACTACGCAATTACCATTACTCAATTCTATAATAGCGTTGGGAAAGCACATTGACACTGCTTTCCAAAACTCAATACAGCAAAGGAAAATGAATTCAGAGTAAAAGGTAATACCAGCTTAGAATAAATTAGGTTCCTGATTCTAATTTTGGAAGATTTTATATTATTGCTAACATTACAATATTCTGTTGGCTTCATTTTTTTAGTGTATGATAGCTGTTATATATAAGCAAGCTTTAGAAATATTTTGCAATTTGTATTAAGTATCTATAGAACTATAATTCAAATGCATGCTATTGTTATCAAAATATTACAAATGGAAGTAAAGCAGATTTGAAGAACTGCTTTAGCAAATCAGAATAACAGCCAATGTTAACACTGACTCAAGTTTCTTTGATTTGATACTCTTGTTTGCTGTGTTAAGCTTGATTTCTTCAGCATGTCTCAGTCCACAAATTCATGTATCCTCAATGGTATCAATTAATTAAGTGAAAGAGGAATTTTGGTATTTGTTTTGTTTATTTAACTGTAATCCCAAACCTACTAATTTCCACATGAGTACCAATGATGAGGATCTGATTTTATATCATATTTGGAAATATCTTGGAAGAAGTCAAAAGAACCAGAGGGGAGATGAGGAAATTTTTTTTATGCAGCGAGTTGTTACGATCAGGAATCCACTGCTTGAAAGGATGGTGGAAGCAAATCCAAAAATAACTTTCAAAAGGGAATTGGATGGGTACTTGAAAAGAAAAAGTTGGAAGGCAATGGGGAAATATTGGGAGAGTGGGACTAATTGGATAGCTCTTTCAAAGACACGGCAGAGGCACGATGGGCCAAATTACGTTCTGTGCTATAGGATTCTATGATTCTAAGTCAACCACTAGGACTAACTCTGCAACCATCTCAACACAAAAGTACTATCAGAATCTAAAATGGGTATATTCGTGAACAGACATTTAAAAATCTACTCGTTAGAAAATATTTAAGAACTGTAACTTACTGCAAGGGATTCCATTTGCTATACAGCAAGCATGTCACAGGAGCAAAAAGCCAAGAAAAAGAGAGTATAGGAGATCAGTGTAAAACATGCATTAAAGTGCACAGTCCCATACAAGGCATAACCACAGGAGTATTTATATTGAAAGAAATACAAGATTGAAAGAGCCGTAAATCCTTTATGTGTGTGTGTGTGTGTGTGGGAGGGGGGCATAATTAGAACTCTGGAATGATTTCAATTACCTCAGTTGGTTGGGCAGTTATAGGATATTTAGTTTTAGGTGGATTATGCATGATAATATGTTAATCAATAGAGTGTCAGATAACCAGGCTGACCAAATAAAATTAACCATTTCAACTTTACATTATGAAGGGGTGATTTGTTGACAAATGGTACAATATTTGACATCTTATACCAAAGATAAAATTCTAATTGTTCAGTAGGCTTCAATTTATAGCGTTTCGCCCACAAAATCAATCAGTCAATTCACTTTACAGTATATTCTGTGAAGCACTTTGAGATGTCTTCAATACATGATAAAAAACGCTATATCAAATGCAAGGGTTATTATTATAAGTAATTAGATCAACAATGATACATAATTACAAGATGGGCTAATTGTTAGGATTGACAGATCTTTTCGTCAGTGTTTGCAATAAGAAAAATGTAAATTCATTAAACAAGTGCCAGTCTCAAGAGGTAACATTTTAGGCATTTCCTATGTTTATGCTGTAATATAAAATACTATGCTAATTAAAAATACCATTAAGTAATAAGTTATATCATGTTTAAACATACCTCTTTGAAAAACAGTTTATATGCATAGACGTTTTTACCTTCTCCTCTGTGTCCCTGGGCTGACTTGTTATCACGGTGTCTTTCACATTCCCAGGAAATGTTGCCTTGCAGTTAGCTAGCCACTGTTTTACAGGAAATGTTATTAGTATATCATTCTCTTCAAAATATTCTAATTATTACACTATTTCCCCATCCTTCTCTTCCAGCCTCCCCAAAATTTTAGTTTGTTTTATATCGTCAGGAAAGCAGGCAAATGTTAAATATTTCTGTACATTGCTACACTAGAACTTGTAGAAACAAAGCAGCAATGTGGAGACCAAGGATCAAGCACGTAGCCTTTATTTATTGTGTTACACTGTAGTGTGGGATGGAATGAGCGGTGAAACTCTGTACTGTATTGTGGACTAATGGCTTTAATTCTGAACCCCTTACACGTTTGCAAAATAATTTTTTGAAATGTTTTAAAAACTGCATGTTCTCTGAACTATGCTTTTCTAAAGAATGATTGTCAATCTAATTTCCGGATTGTATGTCAGACAATTATCACATGTAAAAATTCTTGTTTTGCACAGGAGATGAGAGCTAAAGCAGAAAATCAGAGGGATAATTGAATGAAGCAGAAACAAATCCCACCAATGAACAAAAATACATTTGATGTTCTGTGAAACAAGCTAGATACCATTCCACAACAGAAATTAAATACTTGGTAACTAGGTGAACCAGCTACATACAAATATCATTAAGGAACTCAGAATGTTATTTTATTTTTAAGAAAAGTTTCAATAAATGAAGAACATTTTAAAAAGAGAAATGCAGATTCATAATTAGAGCCACAACCTAAATGGGAATGGTCGTCTTAAATTCTATTACCCAACATTTAAACCAATGATTGTCAGAGTATTTCAACCCTAGATTCTGTGTTGTCACTTCAGTTCTCCGTAGTGCATCAATAAGCTGTATTGCAAGAGGAAGCAGTACTGCCCAAGGAACCTATTATATGAGGAAGGAGTACTATAGAAGGAAGAAATACTATAAGCTGTACTTCACAGGAAAATTATGACGATAATGTACTAAATGAGGAAGCTATCCTACACAAAGTAGCTGTCATACCCAAGGTAGACATAATGTACCAGGATGCTATGCTTTATGAAGAGTCATACTAACCGATTGTGCTGCTTCTTTCTTGTGGTTGTAAGTGTCCAGATATTCCTGTAATTCTAAAACACTGAACTTCAGCCTTTCCAGTAGTCCATAGGAAATGAGCTGGAGAAAAAAAATGTTTTATTATTGATTCTTGAATTTGATATAGCACCAACAAAGGCAAGAACATCTCCAAGTGCTTCAGAAAGTTTCTGTGGAGCGTGGTGACTGTATATCATTGCTGAGGGTTGACTCACGTAGTTCCTGCTACTCACAATCCACTAAGTGAAGTCTCATAACTGCACTTGTCAAATTACCAGCTAGTGACTATTATGCTGGGGAGGAACGGTAGGTAAGCAGGGTTGAAATAGCTCCAAAGTGACATGTTTGATCGCTTAGTGCAGGGATTCATCCTATTTAATTAGTCCTTGAAGACAAAGCCCTAACAGGTAAGGTGGTCCTAGTTGGACAAGTAATGGGAAGCTTGCCAGACAGCGATATCAATGGCAAGCTATGCGGTTTTAGCAGGTTAAACTACAGCAGTACCCAAGCACACTCTGTGGTCTTCAAACCTTGGTTCTTGCCAACCTGTGCTTTAACACTCTCTGGAAGCAGAGTGTGTCCCTCCAGGGAGAAAACATATATTGCATTCTAGACACATGGAAATTTCCAAGATGTATTTATACTTGGAATGCATTTAGAACTAAAGAACGTTTAAAACAATGAGAAATTTTGAAAACAAAGAATGATTACGTGTAAAGAATGCACCAAAATTAAAAGAGTGGAAGGTATGATTGGAGAAGATTGGTGGAGGTGAGACCATGGAGGGAATTGAAGATCAAGATAAAAATTAAAAATTCCGTCTTCTGAGGTACTGGAAGCCAATGGAGTTTTGCGAGGATGAGGGCAATAATGAGTGTGGACAATGAGCTTTTTGAGGGGAAGAACTCTACCTGCACAGTTCTGTAATAGGTGATGTGTCTGGAGAGTGGAGCTAGGGAGGTCAGTGAGGACAGCATTAGATTACATTACATATGTTGTACCGACTATGTTAAGACAGAATGCAAAATGCTCTTACAGATTTAAAAAGTAAAGTATCAGGAAAGTTAGCAATTAAATGAAAACAATTGTGCTAGATGGATATACTCACAGTTTCAGCGTCTACAAATACTGTGGGACAATCTGAGCAAGAGGTCAGCACCTCTGAAGAACTCATAAATTTGGATCCTATTCCCCGCAGACTGTCACCAAGGAAGCTTGCTGCATCCCAGGTTAGGGAACAGAATTTCTTCTGAATACACTAGAAAATACATTACATGATTTAATTTCTAATGTTTGGTGCCATGAATGTGAAGCAGTTCTTTCCGCTTCTAATTTCTGTTTAATTTCCAACCATTATGTACCGTTTTTAAATCCCTAATGTTCACAGTTATTTCTGTGCGGCCTTTCACATGAAAAGCAAATGGAGTCTTACACAATTAGGAAGCTAGAGATACAAAATTCTACCTAGTTGTATCATTTCAGACCTTTTCAACTTAAAATGCAAGATTGTGCAGGATTGGGAAAACTTCTTAAACTCAATCTTAGTAGATAACCAGCTATTTTTAAGAAGTGCAAAAGAGTAGTCTTTTTAGAGTAAAAAGGTAAACCAATAGTCCTAACTTTGTACAAATCAGTGGCTAGCCCACAGCTGGAGTACTCTGTTCAGTTTTGAGCAGAGTAAAGAGGGAGAAGCTATTTCCACAAGTAGGGCAGTCTATGACAAGGGGGCATAGTTATAAGATAGTCACAAGTTAAAGAAGCAGTCAGGAAGTGACTTCAGTGCTGACGTAGCAACTTGGGCCATTATTTTTGCACTTAAATACAAGATATATCTGAGTGATTAGATCCAGATGACCACATAGTAAAGGATGGCTCTGCACATTTTATTTCATTGTATCCTCTATGTTATGATATAATGACATTTTTGAGCAACTTAATATCGTTACTTATTTATCAAATCAAAGTATTGATTAATTTTTATTCATCTATATAGCAATAACCCTGTCAATTCCGGGAAAGCAACCGAGCAGATTAAAAACTGGGAATGAAATACAAAATCAAAGGGCAACATATCAAAATTCATCCCCTAAAAATAGAAAAAATTACTAGGTCAGGTTTCACAAAGATAGAATATTCAGTTTGTTTACAAATCCACTTATTTTATTTGTGTTACATTTGTCATCAGTTTTATTTTCTTGCCCTTTTAATAAAGCAGCATTTCCTGCAGATTTCCCTGTTGTCTCATAATGAGCACACAATCGGAAAATAATCTCTTTGAATGTGTGCTTGTCTCCAAATATTACTGTACAACACATTGCCAGACATATACAAATTATAGAATCACAGAATCATAGAATCGAGCAGCCCAAAAAGAGGCCATTCAGCCCATCAAGTCTGTGCCGTCTCTTTGAAAAGAGCAATGTAATGTCAATCCCACTCCCCAGCCCTTTCCCCATAACCCTGCAAACCCGTCCTCCTCAAATAACCCGTCCACCGCGTTTTTAAAAATAGTTATCGAATCGGCCTTGACCACCCTTTCAAGATTCTCACCTGAAACAGGGAAGAGAACACGTGAAATGTATGGACAGCGCACGAACCATCGGAGTCAGACATGAGCTGATTGATGTGGGTGCGCCAAGCCTCTTCTGCATCATCGCACGCTTTGGGCTGAAAGGCAGCAAGTATGGCGGAGAAGAAAGGCGAGGGCGGGGGTGATGCCCGAAGCTCATGAAGTCCATAAGAATCGCCCTCATTAAAACTGCGAACAAGATATAGAACAGGTAAAAGTCGAAAACAACACGTTTTGAAATTGAAAAAGAAAATTAATAAAGGGAATGGAAGCATACTTTAACTATTTCAAATTGCATCGTCTGCTTCAAAACACTGACTAAAAGTGCCGGCCAGCCGTTATTCCTCATTGCAATGGTCTTTGGGATTGTGTGGACCCTAACTATCATGTTACAACAGGACCCTACGGTTGTAACAGTTTCACACAGGAGTAGACCATTGTTCCTTCCATCCTATCTAACCAACTGCCCCCAAAAATATTTTGATATATCTCTCTCATCATGTTATACTTTTAATTTCCCAGGAACTTGTCTAGTTCCTTTTTAAAACCGTTGACCTGTACTGGTAGTTTGTTTCAAGGCATTTTATTATTTTACTTAAAGTAAAATCTCTTGCACCTCCAATTCACTTTTGTTGTCTTTATTTCTAAGCTTTGTCATTGAATATTGCACACAAATACTGAATGTAAAGTTATAATCCCACCTCGATCCTGACTGATCCATCTCTCCATCACCCTTTTCTTCTGGTTCCGTTATCTCAAGACTGAAGCTATCATTGGCCTCAAAAGCTGATGGAAGCTCATTTGTAAATCGAGAGAGTTCATCCTCATGGATAGCAGTGGTTTCCTCTTCTTCAGCCATAGACTGAGCCTGTTAAAATGATTTAACACTATTTAAGGAAAATGAGCAAAAAATTAATCCAGCATACTGTAGATTTCAGAATGCTCTACTCACACTGAATGACAAGCTGAACTCTTAACATAAAACACACCAGTCCACAATACATTAAACAGAATTCATGTACTCATTAATTTACTTTTAAAAATTCAAACATTTGTATCATCAGTTGTACCTTGATTGTGTCTATAAATACATGTTTCAAGATTCCAATCAGACTTCTATGTCAGATCAGTGATACAAATCTCCAATATCCATTGCATAGGCTATAATTAGACACTGTGAGATTCTAAGAAAAGATTCACAATTTCTCTTTTTATTAATTGGAATCAAGAATTTTATTAATAGGAAAAATCATGTCAAGTTGTGCTACAAATAGTGCTGTGATATTGTCATCCAGTGAGAGGTTAAAATCACTGTACAGCAAAGTGCTTGGTTCTAACCTGTGAGTTTTAAATAGGTGAGTTACCAAATTCAGCTGTGCCATCAAGAGTAAGTGTCAAATGGGAGGCAGAGACACCCTACGTAAACAAATGAGTGGCCAGTTCAAGAACGGAATTTGTAAGTGTCTATGAGCAGGTTGCTGCCATGCTCAGAAATAAGGGGATCGGAGTGGAGTCAAAGAATTGTTGGATCACTTACCATAGTCCTCCTTCTTTGAAGGAGGTAAAACCTCCTGATACAAATAGAACAACGCTAGTTTCCTACATCTTATCCATATTAAGATCTATCTATGTCTCCGAGACGCTGCCCCGCGTGAAGGGCGCTATATAAATGCAAGTAGTTGTGGTATCTGCAAATCCTTAACCCATGTATCTGAATGCTATCTATATTATAATAGTTCAATGACCAGATAACTTGGCACTGTCAGCAAATTTGAAACCTTACAAAGTACTCCCCTTTAAGTTATATATGTATAGTGAAATGAATCAGGATTTTTGTAGCCTGAAAAATACAGATTTTGTTTATAATAAGAATAGTCATCCTTTCATTTGATATACCACCTATAATGCCAAAACATTTCAAAGTGCTTCATAAGTAACTGTAGTCAAGTGAAGTGACTGTATTTGTAAGCAAACACTTAAGCTAATATGCACACAACAAGATTCCACAAATAGGCATGAGGTAAATGAACAATTTATTTGGAGTATTGTTGGACAGTCACTAAAAGAAATGTGTGTTGTTTCTTTGTTGTGTAAGGTCATACAGGTTAGACTGTTTTAGTTCTACACATATTAACTTGTGAATTGAGTTGCCATATAGCATTGAGCAAATTGAGCGAGTTAAGGGAGCTAACAAGGACTTGCCCAACTGTGCAAAGGAACAAAGCAATTTGAGCAGATGTACATTTGACAAGATGGATGTGGGAAGCAATTTGATATTGTGTACCAAGGTACTATTCAGAAACTGCACCAAAGGAACAATATCCTATTTGTATGTGGAGGTTGGATGAATGGAAAAGAACAGAAGATACTTAACACATAAATGCCATTTTAAAACAGGCAAGTATATAGTAATAATAATCCTTGCATTTGATACAGTGCCTTATCACGTCGTCGAGACGTCTCAAAGCATACATGTTGGAAAGTATATGTTGAAATGGCTATGTAAATTTACCTTTATGTCAGAATAGCCATGTAAATTTACCTTTATCTTGAGGCTACATATTTTCTTTGAATAAATATCTATTTTAATCAACACACTCTAGTAAAACAATTATAAATGTGTTTATTTCTTACCAACCTTTATGTCAGGAACAAAAGCCATATCCTCATGGCACTGTTGATTGTATTCTTTTGTGCTTGAAATGTCATTGTAAAATTTTCAAGAGCCAGGGTATAATATTTTGGCTGAATACCAGCAGGCATGGCCACAGAGCAATGCACACAACTAGTTAGGATTCTCCCAGACAGCACAGAAGCGTTGTTGTACATGCAGACACCCACCATATTGTTAAGCACATATGGTTAACAGTTAATAGAAAAGCAAAGCCCACAGAAAAATCCCATGGAGGCAGCATTGCAAAATCGAGCTTTGTTGGGCAATAAATTACTACAAATTAGTAAGGAAGTTTACACTGTTCTCTTTTAAAATGCAAACTCCCTAATGAAGCCATGCCCCCTGCTGAGAGAAGCAAAGGAAAGACAAATAGTAACATGCAGATTCACACACAAACGAGATAACTTAATCACAGACATCCATCCCTCATACTCCCAAAGTTAAAATGAAAAGTTAAAATCCCTCATACTCCCAAAGTTAAAATTATACAAGAGATTTGGAAATACTGGATCTTATTTATAATGAATACTGGTTAGCACGCCACCAAAGCTCCATCACCTTTGACCTCTCAGGCACCTGCTGGTTTGATTCATCAGGAAGAGAGACCTCTAAACTGGGGGTCCTTGTGTTAACTGACAGTGGATCTGCCGAGGTTGTGTCGCCTGAGGTGGACAATGAATCCACATGATTTGTGTCTTCAGAGGGTGTGAAATTCATTACCTGCAGAACATTAATTTCATTATGAAAATATCGCATTTACCTTATGAATATATAACACCACAATACAATACCAAATAAAACTTTACAAACAACACATCATGACTGATGGTTTGTGGTTTTAGATAATTTTAAAGAGTGCTGAGTTTACATAATACAGTAACAATAATCTCCTTGATGTTCAAAATACTTGAAACAAACATTTTATTGTTGCCTTATTAGCCTAGTTTCTTATGATCATCAATATCCACAGAATGAAAAACAGTCTTGTGATGATAAATAGGATCAGAAAATGTATATTAAGCAAAAAAAAACTTTTGCTAGTAAGGGTAGTAATTTTAAATAATTTTCCACTCTGGGGTAAAATGGGTGGGATTTATAACTTGTTATATAATTACTGCCAAGCCATGACAACTGCTGGAATGATCACAGTGGTAACATTTGCAATTATATGATGTTTAACACGAAAACATCACTCGGGGTTTGCACATCTTTCTGATTGCTAGAGATGGTTTCTCCCACCATCAGATTTCTCAGACTGGGATCACCACCATTTTTGATGTGAGGGAATATGGTATTTTAAATTGTAACAGCTTTTAACTAAATATTTTGTTTTGATACAGAACTATAGTGTATTCTGTGAAGCACTTTGAGACGTTTCAAAGACGTGATAAGGCGCTATATCAAATGCAAGGATTATTATTATTAATTTATTTTCCAACTATGATCTGGTGATTTAAGGGTTAAAACTGCACAGATTAGATAGTCATAGGTTTGAATCCTGCATTGTGTTGAATTTGCTGATCTCAGATGTAGTAGCAATTGGGGCGGTAGATTCTGGGTAAGAGAGGGGAAAATCAGTCAGACTTCCTGCTCCGTTTTGCAATCTGGAGATTCCTACAGTACAGCTTTCAAGTGATGAAAGAACTGGATTCAGCTGTGGTGCTTTTGAGGTCTAATTGCTTGACTCACTGTCAAGGTTCATATATGAACAATGGCCGTGTCATTTTAGGAGCAGAGGGGGAGGGGAAACATTGTGTTTTAGAAACGTATGAAAATAGTTGATATTTTTATCCCAGCGACTTAAATCCATACAACACCTTCCTACACTCCTTTACATAAGCTGTCTCCCATTTGACTTATCTTGACCCCCCCACCCGGCCCGGGGCCTAATCCCTGACTGTTCAGCGCCTTGGGGCGTCCTCCTGACGTGAAAGACGCTTTGCAAATGTCATTTTGGATTGTATTTTGACTGTGCTACAAAATGTTGTGATTTTGCTGTTCTCTTGATTATAACTACTAGGGGTGTTAGTAGATTCATTGCTCATCAAGTCAAAACAGAAAGAGGCATCAATAAACAAGGCGAACAGGATGCTGAGTTTTACTGCTAAATCAGATGAGTTCATATCCCAGAACACATGCGCATGTTGTATAGTGATCTGATCAGTGAGTACAGTTCTGTTTTCCATAATATAAGGGAGCTGCCAGGGCAGAGGAGAACAACAAGGATGATCCTCAGTGTTAAAAGAATGAACAATGATTCAACAATCTAGGGATCTTCTGTTTTAATCCTCCCATTTGATACAGTGCCTCATAACATCATCGAGATGTCTCAAAGTGCTTCACAGGATAAACAGTAAAATGGTGTGGAAGCAGGAAGTGGTCTATTTATCATTCAATTTAAAAGATTTCAAAGATATTTTGATGAAACTATTATTTCTATTTTTTTTACTAATTGTGATTGCATCAGGCTGGCAATGAGTACCTCTTCTTCAGACGACTCATCTGAATCCTCATGATGAATTTTCCTTAGACTGTGTGTGCTTCCTGAAAGATGGTTCTCCTCCAGAAGCTGTAAATCTCCCTTGTCCAGGCTGTCGAGAGAGCGCCTGCGTACTCCCCAATTAAACGTATCCATACTCTCACCCTGAAAGACAAAGTGTAACATTGCTGAATTCATAATTTCACAGAAAATAGATTTTGTCAGTTGATCAGAATTGATTATTTAACTGACAAAGGATTATGTAAAACACAAAAAACATTAATGTGACTATTTCTAAGCACAACAAAGTGCGTTTTGATCCGACTTTGTAAATTATTATTTTGGACAGTTAGAGGGTAGTTTTTCTTCCCCAGAAGCACTAACCTTGTATTATTAAGCGACAGCAGAAAATATGTACTGCCAATAGGGAAGCTTCAATGATTTGTTGACACTCACTATCAAGGCTCACACATCAAGAATGAGCACTTGGGGAAGGATAGATATGTATACTAGTGTAACCTTAGACCAGCACAAGTCAGTACCTTCAGGAGAGCAGAGAATATTGGGGAAAAGAAACAACTGTAACCCAGTAATTGCAGTTTCTTCAAGTAAAGGAACAGTTTTCCTTTAACACAGAATTAATTGTTTTAAAGGTATATTGTAAAAAATTGTTTTATAATTTGTTTACTGTATTTACTAAAATATTGATTGATTTAACAAAATAGTTTTTTAATAAAGTATCTGGTAAATTATTACCTGCCTGTATTGCTCTGATAGTTTTCACAACAGTAAACAATGCACTATAACACAAATTGTTACAATAGATTCTTAACAAATTAATTCAGTTAGTTTGGCAAATAGAAATAAGATTAATTGAAGAGCTGAATAATTTTAACAGGGGATGTTGGTAATGGCAGAGGACAGCATAAGCCATTGCCATTGTGATGGTAACCGTGTAACATTGTCTCCTGTAGTAACACTTCACTTTTCCGGAAAGATGGCGGTAGAAATCAATTATAAATATTACGATCACTGTTTGCCAATGTTAAATGTGTAGCCTTAACGTGAGAGCTTCTGAATGCTGAGCATGTTTCTGAAACAAAATCACAGCAGAAGCGCATTATCTGTTTTCATTATGGCTACTACCAGACCATCTCCTCTGAGAGATACGGTGAACACATGATGCCATCAATACCATTGATGTCTGAACATTGTACAACCAACTGGTTCTGGCTTAGAAGTCAAGAAGGCCCATCCAAACAGCCCCCCACGTACTTCATGGTAAGATTTAATAGCATCTTAATGTGCCCAAAACATGCACTTAAAAAAAATCTTCCCCTGTCTGGCATTAGGATCATGAGGTCACTTCCATTAGACAAAGCATTAAATGAGCTGTTTTAATGAGCTGCTAAATTACAATACAGCACAAACATTCCATTTGCCGGGTGCAACACATCAACAAAGCTGCACAAGGGAACATCTTACCTGAAGTTCCTAGACAGCAAGAGTAAAGAGTAAAAGAAAATCGCATTACACAAATATTAAAGCGTTTAGCTTCTAAATATAAAAGAAAAATATTTTCACCCCCATCTCTATATATCTCCCCCATTAGCTTCCATCATCACCATCAATGTCACGCTATGCTAAGCTGGCAGGAGGTGTTGAGTTTTCCTTGCTGGTTTATGTTCCACTTGAACCGCAGGACTATGGTATTAATTACTGGTCTATCTTGTGACTCAAATAATAAGTGTTGAAACACACTCAGAGGGCAGGAGAGCTCGGACGTCAATGGAGGCCGGAATTCAATACACAATGTTACCTTGGTCTAAGTGGTGTCAGATGGGCTGGCCCACGCCCACGCAACTATTTTAACTATGTATGAGATTGAAAAACCCTTTTGTAACTCCCCACATTTTCTTTAACATTTATTTCAAATATTATTGATTTCTGCAATTAACTATTTGTGGTGAGCATTTCGAAGAGGTTGGTCGCTTTTACATAATTAACTGCCTATCAATTTACTTCAGTTATGTTGAAACTCAGCAGACTGCATCAAGATTAAAACTTCTGTGCTAAAGGGTAGAGGGTCGCACACAGGGGTCCTCCAATCGTTGCTAGGTGGCGTCTTGCGCGAGCTCAATAAAAACAAGAGGCAGGAGCGATATTTACCGCAGGTTAAATATTAAAGTTTTATATTTTTATTTTGAGATAGGTGAAATATTTTGTGCATCGGGCTTCATTTTCAATTTGACTCAATGACGGCACAGTTCTATCGCTCCTTCCATTTGTCTTTTTGATGATGCGCGAGAGTGTCACCTATTGGCGACGGCTGGTTGGAGACCACCCCCCCCCCCCACCCGGTCTTATATAACAGGATAGAGTAAAAGGAAGCTTTGGAGCAGGCTACCATGTATTACTCAGCCTCTCTTAAAACCTGCTAATAAGTCCATCATTAGAGGAATGAGATAAAGTGCCAAATGATAAGCTATAAATCTTTTATGAATTAAATCACTGATGGCCTGAAATACCTGATGGTCTTAGCCTCATGATTATAGTTAAAACATAGTGTAGAATTTTGAAACATTCCTAAATATAGCCTTAAATTCGAAGCCGTTTTTCCACAGTTCTATAAAAAGCTAAGATAGATGACTGTCCTTCTAATTATCAAAAAACACTTGCCCAACTCCTTTCCACCAAAGGTTAGCAAGAACTGTACCTCTCCATCCTCCAGTTCGACATCCAGGAAGTCAAAGTCTCTAAAAACTCTGAACTGTTGCTCGCTGGTTGTATCATCCATGTTTTCTTGGTCTCTTGGGCCGTCCTCTGAAGATGACACCAAACTTGCCTGATGCTCAATAAGGTCAAGATCCCCACTTGATGAGAAAATAACCTGAAATAGATACAAACCCCACCTCAGTTTGTAAGTACTTCCCATGTGCGCATTCATACAATAATGTTGGCAAATTCCTTAACTTACTGAAAATTATCAATGTGAAATTATAAATCTCGAACTCAGAACATAGATATAGGTAACTTACAAAGCCAAAGACCATTTATTTAAGACAGATAACGCTGGTGTTCAGATCATATTTGTACAAGAAATCCACATGATCTGACTATTGCTTACAGTTTTGAAAAGACTTTGCACTAACCCTAAAACCTTACCTGTTTAAATCCATTCAGATATTAGTTACTTAAGCATATTTAAACAGAATTACTGAGCAACTTACCTGATTATGCCATGGTAACTGCATTTCATTCAAATACTGTCTAAGGAATATTTCACTCACATCACCTTTTTAAACTCATGCACTTAATAAATAACTCAAAAGCTAGTTACTGTTTCACATTAAACAATTCAGATGGTCTTTTGAAAGTGAAACAATAGTTGATTGTGCAGTGAGTACTGAGTTAACAATGTGACTTCAGTCAGTAGCAGGAAGTTGTGTCATTGCTTTCCTGTCTGCAGGCTATCAGTTTTCAGTATGTGCGACAACAACCTAGTTTGTAACTTTCTTTTTTAAAAGTTTGGAAATATTTTTAAACCTTTACATTCATTCTTTCATTCAACTGATTTCATTGAAAGGAAAAGATCCTGCTTATTCAACATTACATTGATCAAATTTTATTAATATTAAACTGATCAAACCTTTTCTTATTTTAACCTGTAGCTCAGTGGTTAGAGCACTCGCTTTGCAAACGAGAGACCTGAGTTCAATTCCAGGCAGGTCAGGGCGAAACCTTGGGCAAGTTCCTTACTCCACACAGAGCCTAATAATAATCCCTCCAAAACCAAAACCAATAATAAATTGGTCATTTTCAATCTACGACTGTTTGTGAGACATTGCTGTGCGCAATTGGCTGCCGCGTTCGCCCACAAATATACAGTCAATTCACTTTGCAGTATGTTCTGTGAAGCGCTTTGGGACGTCCTCCCGACGTGAAAAGCGCTATACCGAATGCAAGGATTATTATTATTATTATATTATAAAATACAGATCGCCAAAGCATAGGATCTGACGTTCCCCTTTTACCTAATTGCGATCATAAATCTTGTTTGACTGAATTATCAAAGAAAAGTCAATGAAATCATATGAGCACCTGGATTCTAAACGCAACCAAATTCACCACCAATGATGTCAAGCCTGCAGTCATTTTTATAGTTCACGCTAAAAATGTTATAACGTTTACTCTGGTTGCTAGGTTGTAGGAATGCTGAGTGGAGGATAAACACGGATGATTTATCCTTCACTGCGATCTACTGGCATTCCATCCTGTTCACACTCATCTATACTGCACTTCACTAAAATTAGCAACCACAAAAATGTTAGGTCAATGTTTGGTGGGAAGTGCATGCTGTAGGTTAAAATAAGAAAAGGTTTGATCAGTTTAATATTAATAAAATTTGATCAATTTAATGTTGAATAAGCATACACATTATAATAATAATAATAATCCTTGCATTTGATATAGCGCTTTTCACGTCGGGAGGATGTCCCAAAGCGCTTCACAGAATACACTGTAAAGTGAATTGACTGTATATTTGTGGGCAAACGCGGCAGCCAATTGCGCACAGCAATGTCCCACAAACAGTCGTAGATTGAAAATGACCAATTTATTATTGTTTTTGGTTTTGGAGGGATTATTATTAGGCTCTGTGTGGAGTAAGGAAACTTGCCCAAGGTTTCGCCCTGCCTGGAATTAAAGCGAGTGTTCTAACCACTGAGCTACAGGACTCCACATTATTTTCAACTTCTAATCATTTTTTGAAGCAGTTTATAACTAACAGTGTAAACATTTTTTAAAAAAGTATACTCCATTCATCATGTTTGCACTTAAAACAAAATAATAGACTCACAGATGGGTTTTTGGTTAGACCCACTTCCTGACCACACAAAGTAAGAACATTCACCAATTTTTCTCGTGTCCTTTTCTGTAAAAGAAAACAAGGTAGAATTAAAGCAACATGACACTTCTCCTATTCTTTCCTCTCACTTGTTTAGCTTTGTATTTATAATAATAATTGTGTCCAGTATGCTGCGTAACGTCAGGTAACTCTTAACAGGAGATAATGCACTGGAGGCCAAATGTTACAACATATTACCTGGGAGAACTGTGGTCTCTTCCAGCTCACAGGAACTAAAACATTTGAATTTGAGCTGGACGAAGTGGATGAAGTGCTGCGAGTGACTGCTATTGCCCTGGGTTTCCCGTCCCTCCCCGGAGGCCCATGTAGATCGTCATATCTTCTACCAATAACAGGCGTCTAAAAACACAAAGAAAATTGTTCATCAACCATATTCTCCAAATCACTAATAAGCAGGGCCTAAGTTTTTGTTTTCATTAAAAAGCAATTTACCGACTACAAACCCAGAGCACGACAGATAACATCTTAAGGATATCCGTATAAGTGTTTGATGGCAACAGCGAGCAAATAATCTTTAAGCTTCATATAATAGAACCAATCAAGGAAGGATCTTAAAAGCCTCATGACTTAATGGCTTGATTATTTAAAATGGAAACTGCTTACCAGCAGAATGCATGGGTCACTAGAAGAGCCATCAATATTTAATAGATAGTATCAGTATTTATTTCATGACTGAGAAGGAATCAATACAGAACATGCAGTGTATTCTGCCAGCTATTGAGTTGTTGAGTTATTTTCAGACATGAATATTTTACTAAATGTACCAATTATATTGTCTTCAGTTCAGAGATAATGGGCTTTGATATCATGACCTACAAATTACATCTCTAAGGGATCATATTTATTCCACAAATTGCCTAGAAGTTGCAGTTGACTTGAGGTATGTGTACCATAAAAGGAAAATTAAGAACATTAATTTCAGTAATTGACTTTCTTATTGTAAAATCAACAACAGAACACTGTTAGGAAAAAATACCCTACCAAATGAGTTTGCACAAAAAAGGATGTACATCTTGTCTTCGGTTTAAAAAACCTCTATTACAATAATTCATGATCCCTTATAATATTTATTAGTAATAAATATTTTCACATTTTACAGAATCCACAAAAGGTTTTAGATTATAAAAGGTTTTCCACTTAATTTGCTTTCCTATGATTTTTCCCCACTCTCATTGATTATTTATCATTGAGAATAAATCCTGACATTTCAAGGATTTGACTTTTCACAGTAGTAAAATTTAATTAAAAGATAGCACCACTGTAACCATGCTCATAAAATGGAAATTTTGCTATCCTAATATAGACAACTGCTCCTCTGAACTGGAAGCTACATTTCACAGTTAACAGCAATTTGTTTCACAAGGTCGTAAGAGAGATTCAGATGAAGAAATCCATTTGATCTCATCTTTCCAGAATAACCTTCAGCCTTCCTACCCCTTTGGAACTCCATCCCAGTCACTTCGCCTGGGCCCCTCCCTGCCTCTTTCAGGGTCCATCTCAATACCTTTTCCTCTTCAACCATATCTTCGGGCACCATCCTACCCCTACCCTCCCTGCCCTCCACCCCTCCTGATCCCAATCTCTAGCTTGGGTGTAAATCCTTGACTATCCCAGTGCTTTGGGACGTCCTCCCAATGTGAAAGGCATTATACAAATGTAATTTGTTGTTGTTGTAACTGCCCTATGAAATTGTATGCCTCAGCTTCCCAAATTATGGTACACATCTTAATTACCAATGTTTTGTGTGGAATTTACACCTCTCTGTCTTTTTGGAGGGAGCATTTTAACAGCATTGCTCACTCTCTGGCAAATCATTTATGGCTTCCAGACAATAATATGTAACATGCACACTGGTGCTGAGTCAAGACTGTGGCATTTGGTGTAAAAACGCATCTAATTATAGACTATGAGTAGAAGCTTTGAAAAAACAGTTCCAGTTATCCAGACCCCATCCTTACCAGCCCCCACCCAACTCCACCCCTGCCCACCGCATAATGGGTACTCAAGCAAGAGTTAGTGCCTTCAGTAGAGGAGAAATTACCCAACCAATGCATACACACCTCGGAAATGTCAAAGCGAAACTCTAATGTTTTTCCTGGTAATACTTTTGAAGCGTTTTTCCACATTCGATGCATGTCTACCTGAGATGGCTCACTAGCTTGAGATGATGGTAAAACCAAGCTCGCAGACCGATAGACGACTAATTTCAGAATGTTTAGGGCCTCTTTCCAATGAGCACTCTGCAAAGTTAATAAATAGAATACAAATGTGAATTATTTTCAAATATCGAATACAAAACAAAGGAACTGCCTACAGCACCTCTAAATGGTTGATAAGCTCTTGATACAGCTTGAGAAAGTTCACTTACCATACATCATACTGTGTGTGGGGTCTGGATTTTTGCTCCCCCTATATTGATTACCTTATTCCACTTTCTTATTTTCTCTACACTATCGTCCTCAATTAACAGAATGGGGAAGCCTACCTTAGGGATGTTGTTAAACCTACTTCTTGGTTGACATGTTAGGAGGTGTGTTTGAGTAATAAATAAAACACCTTGATTGGTTGGCAGAGGGGTAAGAAGAAGCTCACGCTCAAGCTCCGCATCTTCAACTGGTGGAACCATCGCTCAGTGGGAAGGAATGTGTTTCGAGCTGTGGGCAGAAAGATGGTGACCATGGTCTTCATGCATTTGACATCTGTCACGTGGGTTTGCGCCCTCAGATGGTGGATGCAGGTATCAGGTACTTGCTGAGAGATTCTTGGAGTTCCTGATACTTGTATCCACCTAGTGAGGGCTCAAACCCAGGTGACAAATATCAAATGACAAACCAGTGACTATCCTCCTCGGGGAGGGGGGGGGGGGGTAAACGGGGTTTCCTGGAACTGAACCGGCTCCAAAGTGACATGTTTGACAACTGAATGTCAGAATCAAAACAACCCTCTGTGGTGGTCTCAATTGTCTAGCTTCTGAGTCAGGTGGGTACTCAGTATTCCAGGGCGCTGCTGCTGCTAATAATAATCCTTGCATTTGATATAGCGCTTTTCATGTCTTCTAGACGTCTCAAAACGCTGCATGCTGTAAAGTGAATTGACTGTATATTTGTGGGCGAAATGCGGCAGACAATTGGCCACAGAAGTGTCCCACAAACAGTCGTGGATTGAAGTGACCAATGTTTCTTGAAGGATTATTATCAGGCGTGTGGAGTAAGGAAATTTGCCCAAGGTTTCGACCTGTCGGAATTGAACCCAATTGCGAGGCAAGTGCTCTAACCACTGAGCTACAGGACTGATGACAGCACAGGACCCATCGGCAGGACCTGGAAGGTCACTGGGAACAGGGACTCTTCCCACTCAGTTCCTGTTAACCCTGAAAGCCAAAGCCCTAACGTGAAGGTGGGCCTGGCTCCTTATTTAATTAATGTCAAAAAAGCATTTATAATTCCCCCCCACCCGACTATTGAATAATGGAACAACTAAACTTAACTGAGAAGCCCTGGGAGCTGCCAACTTGAATTCAATCTGAGCAGATGTGTTGAAAAATGGCTTTTTCAAGATTAAATCAGGGAATACTCGTCTAACGCAATCAGGGCTGGGAAAGGTCTGTAAAACTGAAACTTTGATTTCTTGTTGGATGATGCTATATTTTACCTGAACAAATTTTTCAATGATCTTCAGGACTTCCATGTTAAACTGCTTGACAGGTATAGATGATAAATCTACATGGCTTAGAAGACTGTAAATGATCTGAAGTAAGGACTGCTGCATGCTTGGAAGACCTTTATCCAACAGCTGTACAGACAAAAGTTTATTCAATAGCTTATTATTCATTTTCAAAATTATGTCACTCACATTCTATTCAAGTTGCTCCCATAAATTAATGCTGAATACGGTACAAGAAAAATAATATACACTTTTAACTTACTTTACACAAAAAATGTTGGTAACGAGGTCCAAAATCTGAGTCCTCCAAAGCCAAATTTTATTTCTGATAAAATTGGTTAAAGTCAATTAATGGTAGTTGTTTTTCCTCATGCTTATTAACATAAAGAAACTGTTCTTTAAACGTAACTGAGAAGTTGCATTACACAAAAAGGAAGAGAAGATCTAATAACATTTTCACTTCCAGGACCATATGTCCCTTAATGTAACACAATCTAACATAATTTGGGTATATAAATGGACAAATCGATCCCTGGTCACAAGGCTGTAGCACTACACAACATCCTGCTATAAGTAATCAGATTGAACCAGCGCTCGAACAGCATAACCATCAGCAAAAGCACTTTGTGATATAAACTGTGTTTTCTGTAAGGAATTCCCTGTATGTCACCCAACTCTCAAGACTTTAGCTCAGAACCGAGATCTCATCGAGTGCGGGTTTAGTGAGTCAGCATGACATTTGGAGATTCCCCTACTGGAGTGCAGATCCTCAGCCTAAAAATCCCAAAGTGATTGAAATACAGAACTTGACTAATTCTGATACTCACCAAGTTAAACAAAAGTGGTCCAATTTAGGTAATTTTCGGCTTGCGATTTTGCTCTACATTCAGCCCACTATTCAGCATACTATTATTCCTTAATACTAAAACAGTATTGTTAATTCTGAATACAATACCGAACAACTAACAGCTACACCTCAAAAATGATCAGAAAGAACAAGGACATTGCACTTACCTCCGCCAGGTATGTAATCAGGTTCAAAGTGACTTCTGCAAAGGACTCGTGAAGGTAACGGCAAACCACATTAACCCAGGTAATACAGTCTCGGGTATAACTGTGTGTCTTGTATAGAGTCATAACATGTGCTAAGTTTGAAAGCTTAGTGTTCTTTTCTTCCATACAGACCTATGAAGAGAATATCAATAAATCAGATATTAACATTTTAAAAAGATGCCTTTAAAAGTTCTGTGCTTGCTAAGCAAGGCTACATACCTGAGCTATCCTCTCTGCTGTATCCTTGCAGAATTGGGTAGGGTTATCAAAGTGCTGAATCAAATGCGGAAGGAGACAGAGCACATTTAAGGGGAAACCTGAAACAGACAAATGAATGGGATTTTACAGGAATCAATAATAATAATCCTTGCATGTAATACAACACCTTCCATGTCAGAAGGACGTCTTACCGTACTTCGCAATATTTTCTGCAAAGTGTACTGACTGTGTATACTGTAGGCAAAAATGGCTGCCAATTTATGCACAGCAATATCTCACAAAGAGTTATGAACTCAATGACCAATTTCAGCAGGATTGCTGGCCAGAACACTAGGAAAAACCCCTTCTCTTTTCGAGTAGTTAACGTCTACCCGAATAGGTAGTCAGTTCCTTAGTTTGACATCTCATCTGAAAGATGGTATCTCTGACAATACTGCACAAGTGGCTCAATACAAATCTGGGTTCGACAACACTGTCCTGGACAATAATCCTCCAGATAAAACTGTTTATTCACTTCATGGCTATTTTTGGCACACACTGCCATGTGTAAATTGGCTACAATGTTCACTACACTACCCTGTATGCTATGGGTATGCTTTGGGGTGTTTTGATGCCTTGATAAGGTACTATATTAAATGCAAATATTATAGTATTATTGCACCTACTACTTTAAAATTTGGCATTTTCTTATTATTGTTCCCATGTTACATTTCCAAGATGTAAAATATTATAATTATAATTACAATTATTTCTATCCACAATTTTATCCATTACTGTCTTACTAATCTGACAGTAAGTGTCTGTTGACAATTATTGTAGGAGATAATAGGGCAGCAGATAACTTGATTCAAAAAGGAAGTTTCAGTAAATTTTACTCCACAATGTCAGTAATTAATGGAGCATCCGGCCACCTCACTAAATACTGACAGTTCCTGAAGCGCATACATAATTAAAACACTTTGCTACAGCACTGTAAATAATGGGCATATTTTAGTGGATGTATTCCAAACACAATTTGTGGACAATGGTATAAAATGTTTGACCAAATGTCTGAAACTTAGCCAATTTCTTCTGTTTTTTCTACACAAATAATATTTAGTCACCAAATTCGTTTTTTTAAATAAAAAAATCCTTGCTTTTGAAATGGCACTTTTCACTTCTTCCAGATGTCTCAAGCACTTCACAGAATATACTGTAAAGTGAATTAACTGTATATTTTGTGGGTGAAATGCGGCAGCCAATTGCGCACAGCAGTGTCCCACAAACAGTCATGGATTGAAGCGACCAATTTATTATTGTTTTTTATTCTGGAGGGATTATTATCAGGTATTTTTCCCCTTGAATGGTGACAGAATGACAAAATCTGGCTGGTGAAATCTGTAATAAGATCAGGCTTCCAAACAATGACCTTGGTTATTTCAGGGTGGACAAAAAAGACTTGGAAAGCAGCCAGAGTAGGCATGGATGGATAATGCTCAAGTTTCTTTTGATTACCGTTAGGAGTCATGATGAAATTGTAGTGTGTACCTCACCCTCAAAAAGGTCATCGATAAAGCAGTATGTGACTGACTCAATTCTAAATTCATGTGATGTTCAGTCAAGGGCAAGATGTATTAGGAACTGACCAAACAGAAGGAGCGTAGGGTAGATGTAAATGATTAAACTGAAAGGAGATATTGGCCGGTTCATAGAATATTACAGCACCGAAGGAGGCCATTCGGCCCATCATGCCTGTGCTAGCTCTTTGGAGAGCTACTCAATCAGTCCCACTCCCCAGTTCTTTCTCAATACGCCTGCATTTTTTTCCTTTTCAAGTACCTATCTAATTCACTTTTGAAAGTTGTTCTTGAATCTGTTTCCATCACCCTTTCAGGCAGTACATTCCAAACCGTAATAACTCTCTGTGTGTAAAAAAAAATTCTCATCATCTCTCCCCTGGTTCTTTTGCCAAGGATTTCTTAAGGATTCATGCTGGGTCCCCTCCTCCACTACACCAAACTGAGAATTTATGCATTCTTTTGGGGGTTCATCAGCAGCAAAATTACTGATTCATTTTACAATTTTTTTTAAGTTTTTCCTTAAAGAAGCTACTAACATTGTGGAATTACTCAATAAATTAAAGCAAAGGCCCCAATTACATTTTGGTGTAGTTCTGTAATACTCTTTGACAATACAAATCCATACCTATAACTTGAGTTAAGTCCACCACTGGTATTCGAGAAACAGCAGTCAGTTGGCTGAAGAGCTGTAGTGTCAGATCAGTAGTAGCTAGTGAAGTAAAGCCTTTCAGCAAAAGCTGTTGTAACCCTGAGAAGTTTGTCCATTTCAGCTGCCCTTGCAGCTTTTCAAGCTTTTCCCTGGTTTCAGTCTTATCCAAAGGTAGGTGAATCAGAAGTTTAATCAGCAGTCGCTGTGCCATTTGGTATTCAAATTCAAAATCAGATTCCATCAGCGCTAGAGCAGACCAGAAGACAGTGGCCAAAAGATTCATGGGATTATTGATATTGGATGGATCTGTTATGTTGTCTTTAAGAGATGAGGAGCTCCGTGTTTTACACACCAGAACTTGTCCATCTGCTTGAATTCTGTCCAACGTTGCACTACGTGGAGGATCAGATGTTCTGTCTGAAACATCAAACTTCTTAGGTACAGAGAAACTCCTCTGATGTCTGCTCCGTTCTGCTGTAATACCACTGCTGTTCAAGATGCCTGACGTCAGATTCAGCTGCCCTGTACTCTTCCGACTTGTTGCTAGTTTGGTACTCATCATGAAATCTGGTGAGGATGACCTGATATGAACAAATCCAAAATGAGTGCTACAACAACAACAAAAATTACATTTATATAGCGCCTTTCACGTTGGGAGGATGTCCCAAGGCGTTTCAGAGAACAAAGCAATTTCAATGCACTAGTCATTTAATTGCACTCTATATTGTTGACATTGTTGGCAAAATGATAACTTGTGAATTTGAATTTAGCATAATCTCAAAAAAGTAAGCTTCATAAATAGAATCATAGAATTATACAGCACAGAAGGAGGCCATTCGGCCCATCTCTTAATATATCTGTGTCGGCTCCTTGAAAAGAGCTATCCAAATCAATCCCACTCCCCCGCGCTCTCCCCATAGCTCTGCAAACTTGTATAGCATCATAGAATGTTTGAAGAATACATTTAAAAAAATGACCAGTGTCTATCTGCATTTCTATCGATTTTGGCTATATCTCTTTGAAATTAATTAATAAATTAATTATTAATTGAAATTAATTTAGTGCTCTCAATTTCTTAGTCTTAACTCTTGAAAATCATTTTCTCAGATTATTAGTTCTATTTTATGCAGATCATTAAACATAGTAAACATAGCATTATAAAATGTAGTGAAAATATTTCTAGTTTTAACTCTCAGTGTAAGGTAGATACCTATATGAACTGTATTGCTTGTTTAAATAAAACATTCAAAACATCAGTAGAAATAGAAAGAAACTAATTAGCTGACAGAATTGCTTCTAATGTAGTTATTAGTCATTTTTGCAACTAGATACATAGTAGGTCAGCCGTTTCATGTAGCATAATTTATATATTAGCTGGGGTACAAGGTAGGATCACTTTCAACCGGTGTAAGAATACACTGCCTAGATTGTGATATGCACAAGTATTGCATTTGTAAGTGGTTTCTTGAGTTCAATCTGATCATGCACCTGAAGTAGTTAAACCAATGTTTATCAATTTGGATCTATGGATATTATAGGTGTAAAAATCTGCTCACTTTGAGCTACTAAATTCTATGCTTTGGCACTAGACATTAGAACATTAGTTTGAATCCCCCTAAAACTTAGTGAGTAAAGGATTACTCAGTGTATTAATAATTCAACAACAACAACTTAAACTTCCATAGCGCCCAGACCAAAAAGACAGGTTAAATCCTGGTCTGTGCTGAATTAGCTGTTCTGAATTGGGGAGCTACAATTTTGTGAACTGAGACATAATCTCTAGCATATTCCTTATCTTTGTGATATAAAGCTTCTAAATACTATAGGAAATACATTCAATCCTTCTAAACCAGTGTTAAATTCCTGATGGATGTCATTCTTAGTTGACAATACACCACAAGAAACAGTAAATGCTGCATTAGCTGCATGAGAGTTGGATTGTCCACTGCTATGATCTTCACCATTGCTTCAGTGATAAGGAGGACCATGCAGCTGCAGTGAATCAATGTCGTGTTCACAATTACAGTTTTTTCTTTGATCAAAACAATCTTAGCAGTAAAACTGACTTCTAAAACATTAAACAATATGGGGAAAAAAATAACAGGAAAGTGAGATCAATTAAATAAGCGACTAAGGCAAACAAGTAGCAGTGGCACAATTACCAGTGACCTAATGTTTCTATATGAATCAGAGGCTGGGGGCACTCATAGAAACAAATGCACCTAGACAAAGTTAACATGTTCAGTAGAGGAGGGAGATTTGTTTTTAAAATACTGTATTCATGGCATAAGGGACAACAAGATCTTACCGAGACAAAACAGCTAGAAGATCACTGTTCTTCAAACAATCTGCCAAATTGTCAATGGCTGCTTCCAGTGTAAGGAGTGCTTCCATCACATAACCCTAGTTGTAACAGAAGTCATTATAGCATTCAAAGCAAAACTGCAAAGTGAGTTAAAAGAGCATATGATGAAAGACAGAAATTCACAGAACCTGTTTTTAACCATTACATTTCTAAATAAATTGGGGAGTCTTGGAAATTATGCAATAACAATAACTTGCTATATCTCTATTGAAATTAATTTAGTGCTCTCAATTTCTTAATCTTAACTCTTAATATAATGCCCTTCACCTGAGACATCGTCCCAGAGCATTCAGCAGTGGCAGAGCCCGACTCCTAAGTGGGTGGAAGGGAAAGAGGGAGGGAGGAGGTGACCGTAAGCACGGTCGAAGAGGAAGGTCTTCTTCTTTATCTCCCTATGCAGGCTGAGTGCAGCTTGCCAAATAATTCTCACAATCTAGCTAAAGTTTTCAATCTTAAAATGGAATGTACTATAATTATTTGTACACCGTTATCGAACTTTGACACAATAAATATGAATAGATATGAACCCTTCACGGTCAACAATTGCCACCTGCTTGATGGTGGAAATATATTTAAAGGGAGGACTCTATTCTTATGAAGAAAGATACTTCCTCTTATCAGAATCTTGCAGAGCTACAGTTATGTGTTCAAACTGTGCGTCCAGTAGCAAAGATTTTTTTTTGCACCATTGTGTGTTGAGAATTGGCCCACACCTACCGCTAGAATTCACTTTAACACCTTGCATTTATACAGCGCCCTTCACGTGGGGCAGGGTCTAGGAGAACATGGCAGTTTGACACTGAGCTGGGGAGTAAGGGGAGGTGACTGTAGATACTTTGAATTATGTCTCAGTGCTGGAGATATCTGAGAAAAATAGTATGAACAGCCACAATCAGAGTGTCACAGCTATACAAGGTGCAACTACATTTCATCTTCTATGTTAGAGAAGAAAAGTGAACAAAAATATACCTGAACCTCATCCCCATGTTCTCCGACAACTTCAACCAGCCTTGAAAGAAGGTCAGACAAGGCATGGGCAGATAGAGGTTGCTTCAATGCCCTGAAGATCTGGAAAGATCGGCCAGCATAATGTCTTGAGGAACTAGAAAGTGCTGTTTGTAGGGACACTTCACTCAGTCGTTGTTCCAGACGGCAACCTATGAAAGATGGAAATATTATTCATTTTATGCTGAGTTGCGCTGCTCACTGGGCGGTTTGCGACGAATCCCTGGCACCTGCTCTTCACCAAGCAATGGTTCAAACCTGCGCTGGTCAGATTTCTAATGATTATCTAGTGATATTATCTCCTAATCCTGCAAGCAAAGTCCAACAGGTAGAGGTGGTGTTAGCTGGACAAACAGCAGGACGTTTACAAGTGCTTTGAAATGGTAAACTATGAGGCTCTAGCTGGTTAAACTCCAGAAGTAACCTAACAAGACCCTGGGAGTCCCCAGGCCTTGACTCTTGCCAATCTGCAACTACGCTCTCAGGGATAGGTAGGTAAGCATGTGCATTACTGAGGGGAGAGTACACATTCCATACCACACACATGGGTACAATACATATGTGGTACTCCAGTAGTTTGGTTTGGAGATTTTTAAGCATAGTGACGAATTTCCACTTGTATCAGATACAACAACAAATTACATTTATATAGCACCCCTCAAATACCTGTCTGACTATATGTTTTTTACTGTTATAAAATAACAGTAACTATAATACTGCTAATACCTATAGGCACTACATAAAAACATAAAGGAAAAAGGCCACATTTAAATTTCTCGACGTTTTACATTAGTATTGATATTAATATATATTACTGTAGTAGTTGCCTCATGAATTAGAAGTGCACTGGACTGGTAAACAGAAAGCTCAAGGTTGAATCTGAGGATTGGCTACCCTCAATGTGTACACAAGGACAGCTCTTCTCTGACAACAAGATGAAATGTTCCCCATTGCAACCTAGGGGGTGGGGAAATAATATGGAACCATTTCAGCTCCTTGAAAACCATCTGTTAATAGGGATTAATGGAGGTCTGCAGATATATCATCTCACTCTGCTGACTGAAGAACAAACCAGTAGAATTGCGTTGAATGGTGGACAGGGAATGGTAATAAAATGTAAATACTATTGTATCAAGTTTACATAATTTAATTTTAAGCAACAATTTGTATTTATACCTTCAGGTAGGCTAGTGTCTGAGTGCAGAACAGCACATTTAATAAATAACAGTGGAAAATTAAATTCTCTTCTCCAGAAAAAGTTGAACTTTAAATGAATCTGAGTTTTTAAAATGCAAGAAATCAATCCTACCGGAACCATTTTGTTCCCACGTATACAATCAATGTTTTAGTAATCAATAAATATATTCTTTTATGCTATATTTTTCTTTGAAAATTTTAGGTTGGCACTAATGTAATTCTTTTATCTATGATCTCATAGTAGACTGACCAATTTATTTATGCAAACTGAAGCAGTTTCTGCACCCCTGCTTAATCCCGGAACATTTAGATGCTTGATCTGATAACCAGATTAAAGATTTACAGAAGACACCCATTAAGAATATGAAAGCTCGGAACGTAGTAAACCTGGATTCAAACTCATTCACTGGCTGGCGGGTTTTCAGCCTCTTGGCGTCTGCTCTCCAGAATGCCATTTCAGGCCCCTCCAATAAGCTCCATCCCTTCCCTCTTTCAAGGCACGCCTCAAAGTTGAATGTGTTTTCAGGCATCTTTCCCTCCTCCCTCTCTCAGCTGCAGCGCGCAGCCAGAACACTCAGGCACTTTGGGATGTCCTCTCGACATGTTGCATTACGTAAATTGCATTGTAAGTATGTTGCTCTGCCACTTGGTATCTTTGATTTTCTTAATAGTTTTGCTCATTTTTTATAGAGTAAAATGTTTGTTTCGGTAAATCTCAGTAAATTATTAAATTAGGGATTAATAGTAAATTAATGTTTAAAGCTACATAATCACATCTTACAGAATCACAAATTAATGCCTAGAAAGAGTTTGTAAAAACCCGCTGTTATTTTGAAATGCGGGTCTGAGCGTAGTTGTAACTGCAAATAGCGTAGCTTTAAATAATGAAGTTAAATACCTGATTTAACATCTTTGAACACTGACACAACATGACGTAGGAAATTAGTCAGTTCTTCAACACTTCTACAATTTTGATTCTTGGGAGTAATGTCTTCATGGCACCAAAGAGGACCATATGCCCTGTATAAAAATAATTGTATTTAATAATCGTATCAAACTAATAATAGTCTAATTTCCACCATAGTTCTCAAGATTGAACACGAAGAACTAACTCACAGATCTCAAAATGTAACACCAGGAACTTGGACTTGAAAACAAATGTACCAGACATTGGAACCAGACATGCTTCATAATGTAGCTTTTGCCCTTATTATTCAGGACAATTAGTGGGGTGCTTTCAGTATTACGTATATATAAGAAAAAATATCTACTGTACATTATAAAAAAATCCTTTTCATTGCTCATCCCAGCCAAAAAAGACCTTCCATTGCAGGTCAAACTGTGAAAATGAGGGAACTAACCAACATAAAATTCACTGCAATGATACCCAGGATAATAATAATAATCATTACATTTGATACAGCGCCTTATTACTTCATTGAGACAGCTCAAAACGCTTTGCAGGATATTCTGTAAAGTGTAGTGAATGTGCATTTTGTGGGCGAAACACAACCGCTAATTGCGCACAGTAGGATGAATGGTTTGCGATGGTGAGGCTTGAACAAGTGTTTTTTTTTGGAACACAGGTTAAGTGTTCCTCACTGATCCATAGTCAGTAACAAGAGGGTGAAATTTAGAATTATTGGTAAAAGAAAAATGGGAGGAAGAAGCTTAAAAGAAATTTCACACAAAGGACTGTTAGAAAATGGGTGCTAAGTCCATATCAACAATTAATAGCCGAATGGCCTCCTTCTGTGTTGTAAATATCTGATGATTCTATGCCAGTCAAACAGTAGATGGCACTGTAAGATCATTGTGTGTTACAGATGACTCAATAATCATGTGACTGAATCGTTGACAAAGTGTTTACTGAATTGATTAACACAAACGATTAAAGTATCAACAAATCTGTTCCCCCAATTGCACATTGGTAAAAACAGTGCAACACTAAAGCTACAGAACCATAGAACCTTACAGCCCAGAAGGAGGCTATTCAGTGTACCGTATCCATGCTGGTTCCCTGAAAAAGGTATCCGTTTAAGCCTCACCGTCGCAAACCTTTCATCCTACTGTGCGCAATTGGCTGTTGTGTTTTGCCCACAAAATACACATTCACTACACTTTACAGAATATCCTGCAAAGCGCTTTGAGCTGTCTCAATTACGTAAAAAGGCGCTATATCAAATGATTCCGTTTTTTCCTAATACCCTTTTATATATTTCTCCTTTCCAAATATTTGTCTAATTCCCTCTTAAAAGCCAATAAGATTCTGCTTCAACCATGGTTCCAAGTAGGTAATTTGCATTGAATCTAGAGATTGTGATTTGTACTTACGCCAAATAATGTCCAGCACTTGTCCTGAATTCATGCAGTAGAATCATTTTCTTAGAATTAGTGTAAAGAGAATTCTTTACAGTTTTACGTATACTAATATTATCAATAGAAAGCAATGACCATTTTTAATAACGTACCATCAAAGTAATATTTATCCAAATACAAAAAACCTTTGAAGAAATGGGTAGATAAAGCTTATTCTCATTACCTGGTTGCTAAAAACTCAATTAGTTTGTGGGCCTTCTCATTCATTTCAGCTGCGGTCTCAATATCTTCCATCTCCTGAGAGATTTGTGGAAGGTTCCCACTGCTACCTCCCAGGCTGATGCTGGAAGAGGTGGAACTGCAACTTAGACCTGAGTCCGGGACTGGTGAGGTCTGATATTCCCTCAAGAAATCATAACCACCTAAAACAAGACAGGGGAGATCATCAATTAGCAAACTAATATTGACCACACAAGCTATATAGGTAAAGTTTGCAATTGATTAGTTTTTCTTTCAGTTTACGCTAAAAAAACACTAGGTTAGTGTTACCATTGTGTGACCAAGTGAACTCTTCCTTCTTTAGCAAAAACGGAAATCGCTGGGAACGCACAGCAGGTCAGGCAGCATCTAAGGAGAGAGGAAAGTGAGTTCAACTCACTTTCATCTCCCATAGATGCTCCCTGACGTACTGAGTGTTCCCAGCGACTTGTTTTTATTTCAGATTTGCAGCATCTGCAGTATTTTGCATTTTCTTCCTTCTTTAGATCTTCATTGATATCTTTTGTTTTCTTTAAAAAAGCTAAATTGAGGGTGAATATTCTAAAATATAAGCTCTCCAAAAACTTCTAACTTTTATTTTGCTAAATAAATTAAATGTGCATGCGACTGTCAGGATGGTGGAAGGTAATCTGGATGGACCTTGGTCTTCTTTTGTCCAGCAATTCTTATGTTCTTATTAACAACAACAACAACAAGATTATATTTGTATAGCACCTTTCAAGTCAGGAGGATGTCCCAAGGCGCTGGACAGTGTACAGCATTTCGGACCTTAGCTGGGGGGGAGAAGGGAGGGGAGGGGAAGGGAGTTGGCCGATGGCATGGTCGAAGAGGAGGGTCTTGAGGCGGGACTTGAAGGAGGCTAAGAAGGGGGCGAAGTGGAGTGATTGGGGGAATGGAATTCCAGAGGTTGGGAGCAGAGTGGATGAAGGCTCTCCCGCCAATGGTGGGGTGGGTGGGTCGAGGGACGTGGAGCAGGCTGGAGCAGGCCGGAGCCAGCTGAGCGGAGGGAACGGGCAGGTTGGTAGAGGGTTAGGAGGTCGCAGAGGTAGGGTGGGGCGAGTCCATGGAGGGCTTTGTATGTGAGGACCAGTATCTTGAATTGGATCCTCTGAAGGATAAGGAGCCAATGGAGTCGGGCGAGAGTGGAGGAGATGGAGTCACGGAGTTTGGTGCGGGAGAGAGTTCTGGATTATCTGCAGCCTGTGGAGGGAGGAGTTGGGAAGGCTGACAAGCAGAGCGTTTGCATAGTTGAGCCTGGAGGTGATGAGGGCATGGACAAGAATTTCAGGCCTGAGGGGTGAGGTAGTGGCGGAGTCGGGCGATGTTACAGAGGTGAAGGAAGGCAGAGCGAGTCATGGCTTGAATATGGGGAAGAAAAGACAGTTGAGGGTCGAACAAGACACCTAGGTTCCTGACTGGTTTGGTGAGTTGAAGTGAGCAACCATGGAGGTTGATGCTGCCAGAGCCTGAGGTGCAGAGGCACTGGCGTGAGCCAATCAGGAGGGCCTCAGTTTTGTTCACATTCAACTGTAGGAAATTTGCCCTCATCCAGGACTTGATGTCCGACGGGCAGTCTGTCAGGACAGCAGTGGTCCTGGAGTTGAGGGTGGAGGCAGAAAGATATAAAGACGGGTGTCATCCGCAAACATGTGGAAGTTGACCCCATGACTGTGGATGATGTCACCAAAGGGGAGCATGCAGATATTAAAGAGGAGAGGGCCAAGGACAGAGCCCTGGGGGACACCAGACGTGACAGTGCAGGGGCTGGAGGAGAAACCGTTAGAGGCAACAAAGTGGAGATGGTGAGAGAGATAGGAATCAAACCAGGCAAGGGCAGATCCGTGAAGATTGAGTAAAGCGGTGTATGAGGATGGAATGCTTGACAGTGTCGAAGGCGGCAGAGAGGTCGAGGAGGATAAGGAGGCAGAGGGATGTTCAGAATGTCATTAGTGACTTTGACCAGGCCTGTAATCACACGTATAATTTTAATTCTGTAAACTCACAATCCTTTTGTTCAAGTATTTAATGTAACACTTTCATTGACTCATTTTTGTTCAATTTAATTTTTACCTGTGTGGAGATATTCTGGTGGATAAGGTGCTTTGACTGTAAGTGTTTTACGATTACTGATTTCTCTGTTCAGCAGTAGAACTGTAGCCACAGCCTGGAAATTAGCATTGCATGACAACGCAATCAAAAGATGCATAAGTAATCTTTTGCTGTGTTCAAACACTTCTGGACGATAATGATCAATGCCTAAAAATGAAAGAAATTGATTCAGTGAACTTTGTATTTAATAGAGACATACTGTAACTACTACTGCAGAAAACAAGGTTTAGTAATGGCAACCTTAAACTGATAAATGGTTCTAATTTTTTATGTTTTTCTGGTGCAAACAACATCCACCTGTTGAATATGTGAACTGTAAACATGCATATCTTGTTGTTCAGATTTGGTGGCACAAGAAAGCCTGTTAGATCTTCGTTTGAACAGCTATGATTCTATGATGAACTGAAGCTTGTGTATGTTAAAGTTTTGCCTATAATGTCTATGTCTGATAGTTCTCCTCCTTAGAAAACAATTATTTTCAATAATCATAATTTTTTCTTTGCTGTATACCTATCTACATGGACGCAATATAAATATTTAAGAGTATACCGAAGAGCAGCTGTATTCTTTAGGGGAAAAATACAAAACAAGAACAGAAATTATTAAGTACTTTTTGAGATTATGTTGTTTCGGTGGTCACAGTATGTTAATTGTAAAATAGTGAACTTTATTCTAACACAAATGCATATTACATTTCTAATGTTAAGAGAACTGAATATTTTTCACCCTTACCAAGAAAGAGTGCATGGATTAATAGGGGTAGGTGTAGAGCCCAGTCTTCTCTAACACTGTGATCAACTACCATCTCAGTCATGAAGATAACAGCTATATTACACCTGTTATGGCAGAAGACAAAATGTAAATACCATAAAACAATTACTGTTAAGATTTGGTACCAATATTTAAAAATATTATCTTTAAAAATATCAATAAAAAACACATCAGATCAAGCTACAATAAAACAATTCTGACTAAATTCAATCTAGAGTCGAATGGGGTCTAATTTGTGGCATTTAACAGAAACGTTAAAATTCCTGTCAACCCTCAGGAACTCTACTCCAGAAGTAAATAGTGTAGGAGCAGAGTATACACGGAGGTGGAATAATATAATTCCAGTTATTAGAGGGAACCCTCATTTGCAAGGACTAGGACTAGAGAATCATATGGATACAAAATAGGGTAATTAAATCCATGGGAATCAAAAAGAATAATTGATTCTAGAATACGATTTATGTAGATTGTAATCTAACTTCTTCTTCTATCATCTTTTTCTTCATGTATATATATATACACTACTAAAAAACGACAATGTCTGTCTGCGCTTCAAGAAGAATCTCAATAACCGATTAACATAGAGACATGATTTATACCTCACCAAAAAAGTCTTGCACTTGGGAGTGACAAGGGCATATTTGTTTTCGGGTATCTCCTATCGTTCAAGAGTTATTTTCAGTTTTGCGCTTTTCGTTGCAGTTACATCTAGTGGCCACCGAGTCAAAGTGGCGCTGTGGTATCGTGCGTCACAGAGCACCTGCGTACGTACGCACACACAGCAGTTACACCTGGTGGCTGCGCCGGCTGACTGTGGCGCTGTGGCATCGTGCGTCACAGAGCACGTAGGTATGTACGCATGCATTGCAGTTACACCTGGTGACCGCTAGCTGACTGTGGCATCGTGCGTCACAGAGCGTGCACGTAGCCAAGCGGCGGGAACAAAATAAAGAACACAGACAAAGCTAAGTCGCGGCAACAACAACAAAGTTACATTTTTAAAGTGCCGAATCCTCCCACAGGAGTCCTCCCAGAGGAGTATAGGTAAAGATGAAATGTATGTTTGTGTGTCAATCCACATTCCATATCGGATCCTTTGGTTGCAAGCGAAGCTGCAATGGGTACTGCTAGTAAAATGTAAATCCTTTACCCTCTATGAACCAATTGTCTCCAACCATCAATGAAACACATTCATACTTGAGATACAGTATTCTCTATGCATTTGCTAGCCACTAAATAAACAAAATGTTGCCAAACATTTTTTGCTGATATATTGTTGTGAATATATTAGGCTCAATAAGATGTTTCATTTTAATGTTTCTGGTTATCACTACATCTTTAACACACAGAGTTCATAAAAGGAGAATTGCTTTGATTTTCTGTATGTGAGAATGTAATCAACAACAATGAGTTTCATTTATATAGTGTCCTTGATGAAGGGTAGTGTCCCGGAGCGCTTGAACATTATCTTAACCCAGTATATCAGATCTCGTTATTGATGACCTGGATCTTGCCATTTTACAATTGTGCCAAGGAACATTTATATAACATTCATCATGCACCATAAATCTATGAAACTGGCAGCTCAATGCTTGGCAGCAATATCAAATGCAGTTATACGATATGTTTCATTATCAGAGTGAGAGAGTAATAGTTAAAATTGTTTGTATTACTACACTACTGATCATTCTTATATAGAATACTATTTTCAGTTTCTTATTAAGCATATTTAGCACTCTCTTTGACAGGTACATAGGATAATGACAATAATAGAAATTTGAGCTACAAGGGGAGGTTAAAAAAGATCTGCCATGATACATCAGATAATGTGAAATGTAGAGAGAAATGTTTTGGGGCTGTTAAGATATTATCAGTTTTAATATTAATAAAGTATAGAAAAAGAAAATAATGATAATAATCCTTGCATTTGATACAGCGGCTAATCACGTCGTTAAGATGTCTCGAAGCGTTTCACAGAATATACCGTAAAGTCAGTTGACTGTATATGCTGTGAGAGAAAAGACCATTAGGGTAGAAGTGAGCTTACCATGATTGAATAAAATTTAATAAAATGATGGAACATGTTTGATAGTTTGAAGGTCTTACTCCTGTTCCTAGTTGGTAGTTATTTCCTTTGATAAAGTGGAGATTTTCTCGGATTTGGCAAAGATTGATAATGAATCCCAGACTCTGCAAGACCAGTTTTCCAGATGACTACACAAGAGGCTTTGAGTATCAGCCATCAAAATAATGATCATCTTCATGGTATATAATTTAATTCATATTAGGGTCAAATGTGCAGTATTCCTAAACACATTCAGTTTTGTGTTGAGTTTTGAAATTCCCCCTCCCTCACCACTTTTGAATAGTGGTAGCACTCAAATGGGCAAAAAGCCCAATGCACTTCCATCTTGAATTTGACTATCAGTCCTCAAAATAACGAATGTGCCTTCATGTATGAAGTAAATCAGTTAGGTCTGATTTGAATCCTAATGGAACTATTCTTTCTTAAAAAGGAATTATTTAGTTGGGTTGATCTAGGTAAGTGATTCATTAAGTAGATTCATTCAAATATCAAGGAAAACACATTAAGATAAAAAAATAAAGTGTTAGAGGAGAGATTTTAAGTAGGATGTTTTCATCCATAGGTTAATAGATGTGTGGAGTATCACAGAATTACAGAATCTTGAAGTGGACAATATGAATGGTTTCAAGAAAGAATAATGTATTTTTGCTATAAAAAGGGATTGAGGTGAGAAGGATCTAAGTGGGATTGATCCACCAGAAAGGGTCTAATGACTCTCTTAAAAAAAATCTTATATCTATTGTTCATCCCTTTCTTCAAAAAACTCACCCTTGACCTGTCAAGCATGTTCGATCTTCTTGACCTGTCAAACTGCGCTGAGTACCAGACCATCTCAAACCTGCCTTTCCTTTCTAAAGTCATGGAGTGTATTGTTGTCACCCAACGTCGCTCACACCTTTCCTCCCATTAACCTCTCGACTCCCTCCTGTTGGGTTTGCAGTTTGTTCACAGAACTGAGACAGCACTTGCCTAGGTTACAAATGACATTCTCTATCTCTATGTCCAGGGGACTCTCTGCTTCCTTGTCCTCCTGGACATCTCCCCTGCTTTTCACACAATGGGCCATGCCATCCTCCTCGACCGCCTCTCCCCCTTCATCTCAGTGGGACTGACTTCTCCCGGTTCAAGGCCTACTTGACCTACCACCGCCATTTTGTCTTCTCTAATGGTTTCTTCTGCCGCCCCCACAATGTCACCTATGGTGTACCACAATGCTAGATTCTTGGATCCCTCCTTTTTGTCTTTTATATGACCTCTCGTGGTGATATCATCTGAGAAATGGGGTCAACCTCCGCATGCATGCAAATGACATACAAATGTATTTTTCCTCCCCTAGTCGAGACCCCAGTCCTTTCAATGCTCTGACTGGCTGCTTGTCTAACATCAAGGTCTGGATGAGCGACAACTTTCTGCAGCTGAATATGGACAAGATGAAAGCTTTCCTATTTGGCTCCTGTCATCGTTTTCTCACCTGTGGTTTTAAACTCCTTAACCTTCCCCGCTTATCCTTCAGACTCAATAAACCTGCATGCAACCTTGGGAACATGTTCGATCCCGAGTTATCCCCATCCCTGTCCTCCACCTCCAGCACATTGCCCGCCTTCGCTCCTATCTAACTTCAAATGCTGCTGATATTCTCAATCATGTTTTGTCAACTGCCGCCTTGATTTTTCCATATACAGTCCTCGCTGGTCTCCCCAGCTCCACTATTAACAAGGTCCAAATGATATAAGGCTCTGCTGCTAATGTCCTCACCCGAACTATGCTCTGAACCTCCATCACCCCAGTCTTGCCAGGCTCCACTGCCTCCCTGTTGCAAAACAAATCAATTTCAACGCACTCATTCTCATTCACAATTCACTTCATGCCTGGACACTTCCCTACCTCCAATTTGCTGACATCCCACTCCATTCCTCCCGCAGCCTACGCCAAGCTGGTGTCTTCTGCAAGTCCCTCATCCCCTCTGCTCTACCACTCGTGCTTTCAGCCACTCTGCCCTGATCTATGGAACTCCCTCCCTCTGTCTTGCCCCTTCCTTGCCTGTCTTCAGATCACGACTGAAGTCTTTCAACCAAGCCTTTGGTCACCTTCCCTTTCTTTCCAGCTCGGCATTAAACCACTCCGTTGTTCAGCACTCCATGATGTTAGTGGCAGGAAGAGCGCTATATTGTTGTTCTTAGGATTTGTCCAAGAATATAGAAATGTGGACTACAATCATATTTAACTTTGCTGCATGGTCGGGAAGTAGGAGTAATTATTGCCAGTGAGAATTATGCTTTGTTGTCAAGGTCAGAAATCACTGCATTGATAACGATCAGAATTATTGTACAATTTAGACAGCTCTGAAGATAGTAATTTCATGTGCTAACCCAAACAGATTAGTCATACTCATCTTGTTAGTGATAGTGATTATAGTGTTAGGACAAAATATAATCATTCAAGCAAATTAGTCAGGGTAGGTCAAGGCAAATTATTGTAACCAGAGAGTCTATCGAAGTTATATCCATGTCATTTGGGATCAAATTTTAAACTGTTAATAATCTGATCACTAAAGTAATAAAATGTTATACTTGACAATTATGTAAGCTAATTGACTGTGTAAAAGCTTACAGGTCAATACTGTCTTTTAAGTGCATGGAGAAAATAAAATCTGTATTATTGTCCAAATGTTTCATTGCAATATTAAATATCTCTTAAATGGTAAGGATAACATCCTAAAGAAAACATCCTGACCTGTGAAGTGGACCACGCGGGGTGATGGTTTCTGGCAGATAATCCACCAGTGGAGCCCAACAACCTCCATTAACCGGCATTGGTAGGGGCTGTGGTGCATTTGCCTCTACAATTCTCACCAACCAACTAGCATAGGGAGGCAACGGGTCACCTGAAAGTTAAAAGAATGATATTGAAGTAACCTCCAGTGAAATACTAAGAATATGAAGTACATTAAAAGGAAATCCTATTTTAGCATTATCTGTCACATCAAGAAAAAATCGATTAACCTGCAGTGCTGGCTGTTCTGGCAGCATAAACAACACATGCATAAATAAACCTCCCGACATTAAAAATCTATGTATTGTGCCGTGAATATATTTAATCTGAATAATAATCATGATCTTGTCTGCCTGTTCAAGTAAATATTAAAGATCCCATGACACTATTTGAAAAGAGAACGGAGTTTCTCCTGGTGTCCTTCCTGGCCATGGTCATTTGTTTCATGGCTGTTTGTGGGACACTGCTGTGCACAAATTGGCTGCTGCGTTTGCTAATGAAATAGAATAGAGTTTGAATCCAACTCTCCATTTGAAGACCAGAATATCTCAGCCGAACACTTAAATGCTAGTGGTAGAAATACCATACTTAGAATAATTTGGAACCAGGCCCATGTAAAGGGCACATACTGTACTGGCTATAACAGAATGTGGCAGATTTATAATGAATTGCACACTTCCCATAAATTTGAAGATTAGTTGTCCTGATGACTATGAAAGAGAAATTCAAATAATGATGGACATGAAAGTGTTTTCATGTATGAAACAACCCTACGAGTGCTAATGTGAAGCCAAATTTGCCTTCAATACAAAGGATTTCAGGACACTGAGGTCTAAAATGGAGCAAACAAACTTGATAGAAAAAGGACTGGAATAGATCCTTATTTTTCCTGGCTTTGATGTGTGGCCTCCACATTCTCTTGTCACAAGGAAATGATTCCTGATATCCATTATGCAGTAGAGGGTATTGTCTCTCTTCAAAATGCAGTGACATGAAGTTGTTTATAACCTTGAGCGTGGCTCTTGCTGGTAATACAGGTTAGATGGGATTGTGAATAAAAGAGGTGAGGTGACAGGATAGTCAAGGTGACCTTGAATCACTGCTGGTGTAAGGTGTGCAGCAGGTGGAGGCACATGCTGCTCACCTGCCATTGTTTCTGCTTTTAAACAGCAGAATAAACGCGATTCTACTGTCCCTTATCCTCCATTTCAATAGATTATACAGCAGTTAAATAGTTCATTTTCTGTGCCTTGTATTGTGGACATATGATATAAAAATTCAGCAATTGAATTCATGCCTAGCATAATTTGTGATGGTTGACCTGCAACAAGCTGGAGACAAAATCTTTCATGTTTACTTCCTTGAGACGTTTTGCAACATTCGATGCCACAACTTGTTATCTTGTACATTAATCAGGGGCAGTAAAATTTAACATGCCATATCTGGGAGGAGCTGGTTAATGCTTGTTGCCACTAATGAGCTGATTTTCTGTGGCAAGGTGTGAACCAATCTCTCAGCTAACTCGTGGTCTATTCATTATGTTGATAAGAATGTTTTTGTTAAAAATCTTGTGATTCATTTTTGCGAAATCCTTTGGCTGTTGTTACAGTTGTGTAATTCCACTGACGTGTATGTTTAATTAATGGATGATCTCGTAGGACTTCTTCAACCTTTCAAAGTTCAATAATGATATCAAGCATACGCTTTTGCTCCTGAGCTAATTTTTTTCCTCCATGCGGAAATGCGATCCTATCTCTCACACAAGCTCCACTTTGTCTCCACAAACGGCTTCTCCTCCAGCCCCCGCACCATCTCATTTCCTCAGGGCTCTGTCCTCGGCCCGCTCCTCTTCAACCTGTACATGCTCCCACTTGGTGACATCATCCACAGACATGGGGTCAACTTCCATATGTATGCGGATGAGACCCAACTCTATTTCTGCCTCCACCCTCGACTCCAGGATCACTGATGTCCTGACAGACTGCCTGTCAGACATCAGGTCCTGGATGAGAGCCAACTTTCTACAGTTGAACGTCAGTAAGACCGAGGCTCTCCTGATTGGCTCGTTCCACAGCCTCAGCACTTCAGGCACTGGCAGCTTCCACTGATGCGCACCCCACCTCACCTCACCAGTCAGGAACCTGGGCATCTTGTACGACCCTCAACTGTCCTTTCTCCCCCATATCCGTGCCATGACCTGCTCTGCCTTCCTCCACCTCTGCAACATTGCCCGACTCCACCACTGCCTCATCCCTCAGGCTGCGGAAACCCTCATACATGCCTTCATTACATCTAGGCTAGTCTATGACCAACTTCCTACTTGTCACCCTTCCCAACTCTTCCCTCCACAAGCTGCAGATCATCCCAACCTCTGCAGCTTATTTCCTCTCCCACACCAGGCTCCGTGACCCCATCACACTCACCCTCGCCTGGCTCCACTGGCTCCCCATCCCTCAGAGGATCGAGTTCAAAATCCTCGAACTCACCTTCAAGATCCTCCATGGCCTTGCCCCCTCCTACCTCTCTGACCTGCTGACCCACTATCAATCTGTCCACTCCCTCCGCTCAGCAGGCTCCGGCCTGCTCCATTTACCCCACCATTGGCGGTCAGACCTTCAGCCTCTCTGCCCCCACCCTGTGGAACTCCATCCCACATTCCCTTCACCTTCCTCCCTCCTTTGCCTCCTTCAAGGCACACCTCTTCTTAAACTGTGCCTTTGGCCACCCTCCTACCCTCTCTGCTCTCCACCGTCTCTGACCCCAAACAACCCCCACCCACCCCTTGCTTGGGTCCCATTGACCCTGATTGTTCAGCGCGTTCTCCCGATGTGAAAGGCGCTTTTCAAATGTAATTTTGTATTGTGTGATCTCTGAGTCCAAGCCTAGTTATTCAAGCTTCAGAATCCAGAGCAGCAAAATGGTCAACTAGAAGTTATGTGATCAAGTGGTTACACACTTAGGAGTTTTTTTGCTCTTGGCAGCAATGTTCAGTGATATCATATGATAATAATAATCCTTGCATTTGATTTAGCTATTATCACATCTTCGAAACATCTCAAAACGCCTCACAGAATATACTGTAAAGTGAACTGACTGTATATTGTGTGGGTGTAACATAACAGCCAATTGTGTAAGGCAGTGTCCCACAAATACTTGCGGATTGAGTCACTAAATTATTATTATTTTTTTTTGGAAGGGATTATTACCCCTGGAAAAGCGATCAACCAATTGACTAACAACCGGGTTCCTACTTACTACTAGGTAAACAGAGGTGTGTGGAGTAATGTTTTGCCCTGCCCGGGAATCAAACCAGGGTCTTCTCGCTTGCGAGGTGAGTGCTCTTACGAATACGCTACTGAGTAGTATGAATACGATACAGGATTCCAGTGATTTTTAAAGATAAATATATAATAACTCATTAGAAAAGGGAGTAGTGCCAGAGGACTGGAGGATAGCTAATGTTATACCTATATTTAAACAGGGAGATAGAACAACCCAGGGAACTATAGATCTCTCAGCTTAACATCGGTAGTAGGAAAGATAATCGAATCCTTACTGAAGGAGGTAATAGAAAAACATCTAGAAACTTAAAATATAATAAAGAATGATCAACATGGATTTCAAAAAGGAAGGTCATGCTTGACCAACCTCACTGGATTCTTTGAAAGGGTAACAGAAAGAGTAGACAAGGGTAGACAAGCGTAATGCGGTAGATGTATCTAGATTTCCAAAAGGCATTCGATAAGGTAACCACATAATAAACTAATGAATAAGGTCAGAGCATGTGGAGTCAGGGGAAAAATAACAGAATGGATAGCAAGCTGGCTGCAAGGCAAACAGTAGGGGTAAAGGATAGCTACTCAGACTGGCCGGGGGTGGGCAGTGGTGTTCCACAAGGATCGGTATTGGGACCACTGTTGTTCACAATATAAATTAATGATTTGGATTCGGGAATCAGCAGTACAAACGGATGACACTAAATTGGGGGGAGTAGTTAATACAGAGGAGGACTGCAACAAATTACAGCAAGACATTAATAAACTTGCTGAGTGGGCATTTAAATGGCAAATGCATTTCAATGTAGAAAAATGTGAGGCGGTACATTTTGGTAGAAGGAATAAGGAAGTCACAAAAATCCTGGAAAATAAAAACTTAAATGGGGTAGAGGAGTAAAGTGACCTAGGGGTACACATACACAATTCACTAAAAGTAGCAACACAGGTTAATAAGGCCATTAAAAAAAAGCAAACCAGGCATTGGGGTTCATTTCTAGAGGGATAGAAATGAAAATAGGGAAGTTATGCTAAACTGCTTAGAACCTTCTTTAGACCCCACTTAGAATAATGTGTGCAGTTCTGATCCCCACATACAGTCATTTCACTTGAAAGTATATTCTTTAAGACGTCTAGAAGACGTGAAAAGCGCTATATCAAATGCAAGGATTATTATGATGATTATGATGATGATTATTATTATAATAGAAGGGATATAGAGGCACTGGAGAGGGTGCAAAGGAGATTCACAAGGATGATCCCAGAACTGAGAGATTATACCTATCAGGAAAGGCTGAACATACTTGGACTCTTTTCTCTTGAAAAGAGGGTAAGGGATGACCTAATAGAGGTCTTAAAAAAAATGAAAGGTTTTGATAGGGTAGACATAGGGAAGATGTTTCCACTTGTGGGGGAGACCAAAACCAGGGTCCATAAATATAAAATAGTCACAAATAGATCAGATGGGGAAGTTAGAAGAAATTTCTTCACACAGAGAGTAGTGGGAATGTGGAACATGCTACCACAAGGAGTTGTTGAGGCAAATAGCATAGATGTATTTAAGGGAAAGCCAGATAGGTACATGAGGGAGAAAGGAATAGAAGGTTATGCTTGAAAGCTTAGTTTAGGAAAGCCAGGAGGAGGCTCATGTGGAGCATAAACACCGGCATAGACCAGTTGGGATGAATGGCCTGTTTCTGTACTATATATTCTAATGTATTCTAATGTAAATCATTTAACTCATTATTAGATACATCCAACATCAAATAAATATAAGATGTGAGCTGAATGCCTCCAAGCTACTTACTTTTGTCATCGTCATAAGAGCCACCAGAGCTGTTGCTGTACCTTGATTCAAGACGAGAATGTGCTCTAATCGCAATGTTGTTGAACCTTTACAAAACATGAGAAAAGCTTGATATCAATAGGTTTCTAAAATAGGGCAAATACAAAAATAAGTTTATAAAAATCATTGCATGTAATTTTAATAATAATAATCCTTGCATTTGATATAGCGCCTTATCACGTCTTCGAGATGTCTCAAAAAATGTGAAATGCTTATACTCAGCCCAGTTTCTGTAGAGAATGAGTCCACTAGACAGAACTACCCACAATATGTCTCATTTAGAATATAAGCGTGAAACCACACTGACGCGGTGAGATATTCCTCTGTGGTTGAGCATAATGTATAAACATTTTTTTAAAAAAATGTTTTTCGTCACTCAATGGTCACTCAATCCATAGCTGTTTACCCTGTAATAATAATCCTTGCATTTGATTAAGCCCTTTTCACGTCTTCTAGACATCTCAAAGTGCTTCACAGAATATACTGTAAAGTGAATTGACAGTATTTTTGTGGGCGAAACACAGCAGCCAATTGCCCACAGCAACGTCCCACAAACAGTCGTGGATTGAGTGACCAAATTATTTTTTTTAGGGTTTATTATCCCCGGAAAAGCGATCTGTCAATTGACTAACAACCGAGTTCCTACTTACTGCTAGGTAAGCAGAGGCGTGTGGAGTAAAGAAACTTACCCAACATTTCGCCCTGCCAGGAATCAAACCCAGATCTCTCGCTTGTGAGGCGAGTGCTCTAACCACTGAGCTACAGGGCTCCACGTAGTTCAAATGTACAATAAAAAGGGCCATATCATGGAATGGAAGAACACAAATTCATCAAACTCTCAACTATTGACATCCTTTGAACCTCTGTGAAACCTTTACACATTTGTGATCCATTGCTGCTATAAATGTTGTTAATGCGATTTGGCAGATAATCCGCTTAAATAAATGGCTTCTTTAATTAATCTTCAGTTTCTTTATACAGGCTCTTTTGAGAATAAGATGTCTATAAATGGAAAACAACATTTCTGTGGTTGTAACTGGTGTTGAAAATCAAATTCAAGGATTATTATTATTATTAATAAAGCTCTTCACAGAATATACTGTAAAGTGAATTGTCTGTATATTTTGTGGCCGATGTTTTCACATATAATACAAACTATTTCGAAATACTGCATAGGTAATTAATATCAAGTATAGTAATAGTATATTTATAGGTAACTGTGGCAGCTATTTTGCTCACAGTGAGGTCCCACAAATAGCAATGAAGTAAATGACCAATTTAGATATTTGTAGGCATATGAGGCATCCAATTTGCACAGAGCAATCTCCCTCAAACAGCCATGAAATGAGTGACCAATTTTATCTGGAGGACACAGACAGAAACCTCCCTTTTTTCTGAATAGTGCCATGGGATCTTTAATGTCCACCTGTATGGGTAAAAGGGATCTTGGTTTAACATCTCATCTTAACATCTCAGCACCTCTAACAAAGCAGAGCTCATGGAGCACTGCATTGGATTGACAAAGACTCAAAGTAGGGCTTGAACCCACATCCACCTGTTCCAAAGTGAATAGTACTGTCAACTAGACCAGGTTTAACACAAGGATGCTATTATCAATGGCACTGTAAGATAAAGAAGACATAATTTATCCTAGAGCAGAAGTCAAACCTGATACTCTCCTCATCTACGTAGCTCTGTGTCAAACCAGGTGTTACATTTTCTTACTCTTAAATAAGGGATAATGTACTGTACCTTTTAATACTTGGTCTGAGACATTTACAAGTTACTGATGAAAGCAGGAATCCACACAAACCTCTCATCTGTTTCTTTCATTGTCCTTCCCTCATCTATTTCTGGGAAATTTTCCTGCCCGGCCACCAAAGTGTTAGTGCTGGATGTTGTTCCTGTAAGGAGAGCTACATTCAGTTATATCAAAAACTCATCAAAAACTCAATAACTGTTGAATATTTTACTATTAATTGAAGTCTGTGATCTCCTGCCCTTTCCTCTGTTCGCCTTATCAGGCTTTCTGTGCGCACTATATACTCTCTGCGCCCCATTAATTCCTCTGGAATTCCATCCCTTTATCCCTGCATCTCACCCCCTCTCTATCTATCTAAGTCTTACCTTAAAATCTACCTCTTTGACCGTACTTATGGCCACCTCCCCCTTCCCTCCTCTGCACTACTCAACGTTTGACACCACCTTTTTATAAGCACTCCGAGATGTTATCTTCTGTGAAGGGCACTATATAAACGCAAATTGTTGTTGCTGTGCCTTACCAGATGCAGCTGTGGAGGTTTTGTTGCTTGAAGCAAAGCGGTAGAAAGGCGGATTATCACAGTGTACCACCACAGGGTTTACAGGATCTGTCTGTTGCATCTCAAACAAAAGCTCTTCCATTGTCTGAATAGTGTTATTTCGACACAAGTAAATCACTACTTTCTTAATCTGAAACATAAAATTCACATTCAATTCACACTAAAATGCACTGCTGGTAGGATTCCTTTTGGAACCAAACATTTTTATTTGTACTTTGTTTTCTTTATTTTTCAATATATTTTCCCGCTCCAATTTCTTCAATGTGGTATTTTTTATGCAGTAAGAATCATCTAGGTTGGGGCATTCTAATACACAACCAAGTGATTTACACAAGTACTCCAATTATACATACAGAACTTCAATGTCAAAATGAAGAAAGCACATATTGTCACCTCTATCTGTATTGGTAGATTTCTTTCATATAGAATCTGGAAATGCTGACTGATGTTCGGTGATAGAAGATCCAATAAATAGCTATTTTGAACCCAATAAGGGAATACTATATTTACTAACGTCAGCCACCTATATTTTATAAACGATTCTGTGTGAAAACAGTATGAAAACAGTGGAAGGCGGGAATTTACCATTCCAAGGCAGTCTAGTTGCCTTAATTGTTTGAATTAACATCTTTTTTATGTGTTATTACATATTCCAACCTCTTCCCCGCCAAAGCAATTACGTCATACTAAAATAACTACTGGTCTTATGTGCTCTTTTCTCAACTTGGTACCTTTTGCTTAGAATATCAAAGCAGAACTTTCAAAATCCAAAAATGACTACTAAAGCAAAGTTCCTTTAGTCTCTTCTACTAAAGCCTCAAATCTTAGAGGGATGGGTCTTATCTGGGCCAATCTGCCTATTTTCTATGCATAGCTACAAGGATTATTTATTATCTGATTCACTAAAACTTATTTGAACTTCTGCTTCCACTATCTCCCTAGGGAGTCTGTTCCATACATTTGCCAGTCAGCATCTGCTATTTTACTTAAAACATAAATGAATTTTCAAAGGAAAATTATTCTGTCCCTATTTAAAATTCAAATACTGTACTTTTTCAATTTCGTTTAAAACATTACCTTCAATACTCTCTTGTTGCAAAGAATTCCATGTCAAAATAACCCCCTGCATGAAAATATTTAATTTAACCTCTTTAACTCTTTCAGTGACAGTCCTGTGCTTATGCCCTTTCGTTATTGATTTACTAACTAGCAAGAATACATTGTCAAAACACAAAATACTGCAGATACTAGAAATCTGAAAACAAAAACAGAAGTCGCAAGAAACATTCAGCAGGTCAGGCAGCATCTATGGAGAAAGGAAAACGTTGACCCACTTTCCTTTCTCCATAGATGCTGCCTGATCTGCTGAGTATTCTCAGCGACTTCTGCTTTTGTTTTCAAGAATATTGTCACTAATTATCCTCTCAAATTTTCAGCATTCTGAAGACCTCTATTAGATCCTCTTTTTATCTTCTCTGCTCCAGTGAACAGTCCTAATTTTTCAACACCATAAGAACATAAAAATTGCTAGACAAAAGAAGTCTAAGGTCTATCCAGTTCACCTTCCACCATCTTAGCAGTCCCATGTGCATGTCATATCCCAAACTATACACTGTATTCCAAGATATTATTTGCTGAAATAAATCTATCTAATTTGCTTTTCAAAGAATCAACACTTTCTGCTTCTACCATCTTCCCATGCAGCCTGTTCCATACATTTACCAGTCAGCACTGCTATTTTACTAAAAATAGTCACCCGAAATAGTATCCTGAAGCTACTCACATACAGCAGAAGAGGTGTGTCGCTGCTAACTCCACATAGACTGATCAGAAATTGCAGGGCAATTCTGAGGTTATTGTTCCACTTTTCATTGTTTACCAGAGCATTCCAGGCATTTTCCATCTCTGATCCAGGAACTTCATCTCCATACTGAAAAGAGCATCCAGAAATATAGTTGTGTTACATATCTGACACAATGAAGCACAAAATAATTATTTATTCATCAGAATTCATATTATTAGGAATTATTTCACAATGAATTGCCACAACACTTTAGAGCTCCATTGTTTTATGGCAGAGAATTGTATAATTCAGATTCCCCAGTTGCTGACGTGCTGTTTCTGATCTCAGTCATGTCTAATGATTTTAATTGTGCCATTATTGAGATATGGCAAGAGAAAAAAGTATAACAGAGATAAAATGATTCAGGCTACCTCTTGTCCATCTTGTGGTAACTAGCTCTAATATAGAATACACATGCAGTACGTTGTTTTATCTGAGGAATGTGCATGCTGCTACCAATCTTAAAGATGGAAGAATATGGGATACCATGACATTATCAGAAAGAAAAAGCAGCTTCTTCCAGTATCCTGCGAACGAATCTCTGGATTAATCAGGCATTCACTTCAAGGCTGTTGCAGGACATGACTGCCGTAAATTGTAGGTGTGCTTTCCAACAAGATCAGTCACTAGACGTGACAGTTATTGTGAATCATTTTGAGGATCTTCAACAAAAATGCAATATGTTATCATTCATGCATCACGTTCTCTTTCAAGAACAAAGCACTAGTCACACACCTTAAATTAATGTTGGAAATATATTATTTCAGGTTAACTACCAAATTTGAATTGTTTCCTAAAGTTAATAATGAACAGATGAAGAAAACATAATACTCCACCTTCGCAGTCATATACATGAGGTTATTGAGAACCAGGGAAGTGGCCTGTGGTGAACCCCAGCCATTTCCCTTTAGCCCATAATCCACAGCTGTTCCATCTTCCTTGTACTGGGTTTCTTCATCAGGGGATTGTGGGTTTGATGTTACAGCAAGCAGTCCACCATCCACCAGCTCAATGTTACGAAGCCACGGCAGAAGATAGGTGAGCATGATTTGACGTCCATTTGGGTGCGTAGTTGGAAACCTCTGGCTAACCTCTGGTCAAAGAAATGTGAATAAAAACATGTAACCTTTCAGTGTATTCTGAAAAAATATACCAACATATACAAATGTAAAACTATGCATTGTCTAAAACAAATTATAGTTACTACCTGGAAAAACTGAGATATGATTAGATCCAGAATTTTAAGTGTGGAATCTCACAGAACTAAATGCTTTCAATGTGCAATATTTCTTGACAGAATTAAATTCTTGGAAATGAAGTGAAACAGAAATGGCGAAATAGACACTTCATAAAAAGGTACTTCAAGGAGCTAATTAATGTTGAATCTCTTATATAATTAAACTGAAATCTGAAATATTTTTTGTTATGAAGCTTTTACAGATGAAGAGTACCTGAAAACATTGGAAGAGTGAGCTCTGGGTACATTCTTGCCAATTCTTTTGACAGCTGAGAGAGTGATACAGAATACAGATGTGGTAATGGTCCATGTGTCCCAAACAGTATACTTTCGGGTTTCTGTTCAGCTACTTTCTTGGAATATAGGAACAGTTTTGCTTCTAAAATCTGAAAGGAAGAAACAGATGTAACAGAAATTAGTTTTTGTAACAGATTTAATCTGGGTACCCAACGACATTAGAGGACGCTATATCAAATCCTAGTACATGTGGGAATTGTTCATGTTTTTCTTATACCCAGGAAAATGATCCTACTTACTCTGTAAACTATCACTCACATGTGAATACAATATTCTAAAGTTATGGAGGCTGTTGTTAGCTCTCAAATTCTCCATCAGTTTGAGAATTCTGGCCGTACAGTGCTTGGCATGGTCGCTTCATTAGTGATTTTCTTCTCTATGGTATGCACCTCTTATGAACATTTTAGTGATTCATTTGTCATTGTTTTGCACATTTCCAAATCCTATGATTTGTTCTGCCACTGGCACCATTTACTTCTAAACATGTTGCCATCTTTTGATCTACCAAAGTTATGTTCATTGAGATCACAGGTTTTCTCTTAATCACAACAATGCAGTACAAATGCAACAGTTTGGGATATACCCTCAGGCTCTTTTAGGAGCTCCCGAGGAAATTAAATTTTAATTTAGAATCATAGAAATTTACAGCACAGAAGAAGGCCATTTCGCCCATTGAGTCTGCACCAGCTCTCAGAGTATGGTATTTATTCAATCCCACTGCCCTGCCTTATCCCCATACTCCTTAAAGCCTCTGTCTCTCTTATACCTATCTACTTACTTCTTGAAACCCACAATGGTCTCTGCCTCTCCCAACCTTACAATTTCTTGTGATTCTTTGAACATGATTTTCCGGCATTTATCTCTGCAACACCGCCACTGCCTCACCCCTCAGGCTGCCGAAACCCTCACCCACGCATTCATCACATCAAGGCTTGATTACGGAAACTCTGTCCTCATCGGCCTTCCCAACTCTTCCCTTCACAAGCTGCAGATCATCCAAAACTCTGCAGCTCGTGTATTCTCGCACACCAGGCTCCGTGACCCCATCACTCCCACCCTCGCTCGACTCTGGCTCCCCATCCCCCAGAGGATCAAGTTTAAGATCCTCGTCCTCACTTTCAAGGCCATCCATGGCCTTGCCCCCTCCTACCTCTCTGACCTGCTGACGTTCGGCAGGCTCCAGTCTGCTCGATGTCTCCCGCCCAACCCGCCCTACCATCGGTGGCCGGGCTTTCAGCCTCTCTGCCTGCACACTCTGGAACTCCATCCCATGGTCCCTTCACCTCGCTTCCTCCCTCGCTTCCTTCAAGGCCGGTCTCAAGGCCCTCCTCTTCGATTGTGCCTTTGGTCGCCCTCCCACCTCTCTGCCTTCCCTCCCCCTACGCCAGCCGTCCCCCATGCTCGGGTCCTGACCCCTGACTGTTCAGTGCTTTGGGACGTCCTCCTGACGTGAAAGGCACTCTATACATGTAATTTTGTTGTTGTTGTTTTTGCAAGTCTAAAGAAGAGATTCTATCTCTTACCATCCATCCATTTTATCTAGTGATCCTCATCCTCACCTACAAGGCCATTCACGGCCTTGCTCCCTCCTACCTCTCCGATCTACTATCCCCCTATCTACCTGCCCGTACCCTCTGTTCCTCTGGCTCCGGTCTGCTCCACATCCCCCGCCCCAACCGCCCTACCATCGGTGGCCGGGCCTTCAGCCCCTAAGCTCTGGAACTCTATCCCCCAGTGCCTTCGCCGCCTCCTCCCTTTCCTCCTTCAAGGCCGGTCTCAAGACCTTTCTCTTTGACCGTACCTTCAGCTCCCCTCTCGACTCTCTACCCCTTCCTCGCCCCCTCCCTTCCCTCCACTCACCCTGACCATTTCCCCCCTGCTCGGGTCCTGACCCAACTGTACAGCGCCTTGGGACGTCCTCCCGATGTGAAAGGCGCTCAATAAATGGAATGTTGTTGTTGTTGTTGCCTTACTGTCTAGTTTAAAATTGAATGTTTTGATCTGTAACAGTGCTAAAACGGCCTTAAAGTAGCTTGGTGTTCTCTTTCATCAAACTTTCATCTTCAATATCTCTTTACTGTCTATAAAACAGATGTCTGTCCAAGGCATAAATAATGTTCCCATAATTCGGTAGTCTCTTATAACACCCCTATTCACTCATAGACAGAAGGCTTGTTACAACACATTGAGGCTTGTTAAAAAACATTGAGAATTTGGGATTTAAACTTCAACACTTTTTGTTGATAATTGTTTGTTGAGTTTGAATTAAAGACTTTATTTTGCATCGTTGTGTTAATCTTAAATAACATTAATTGTGTTAAACAAAAATGAATTATCAATTCATAATACCTGGATTTTATTTGATAAGTTACTCACAGTTTTGCAAAGGCCTGGCAACAACTATTACACCAATGAGATAATTCTATTGTTAAATGGAAAGATATTAATGTAGTAGTGAAGGGAGTATTTCCCTTGAGACATCCTGCTGACATGAAATATGCTATCTAAATGCAATTTGTTGCTGTTATTGTGTATTCATAATACATTCAAAAGATTAAACCACAGGACAATTGACACTCAAGTTGAAGACTTCGGGAGAGTAACATGACATGAAGAACACTTAATACAATGCAAATTGCTGATTGGAACTTGATTCGATCAAAGCATCAAAAATAATTAAGATTTGAAATACAATATATTACCTGCAGGAGCTGCATTGAGATTTCATAAATCTCCCTGTCGGTGTCAGACGCTTTAAAAAGTACCAGGTTTAGAAGTGTCACTATATCGCATGGGTAGTTCCTATGAAAAAAATTAAAACAGTTTTATTTTCAGATATGCTGAGGCAGCAGGGTGAGAAGCCATAACATATTGAAAACATAGGGAAACAGTAATCAGGTAACAAAAAAAAGTAATATGTAAATATCACAAATGTCAGACATGATGGTATCTTGGTATGCGCAAAATGTGCTCGACATTGTTCAGCAAAACTGAAGTATTTTACCTGCTTCCGCACACAGTTGCAATGGCTTTGAAACAGCCAGATGCTAGCTGGCGAGAACCAGTGTAGCAGCGATCTACAGCCCAGTTGAAAAGGTTCACTTGATCTGGGTTTAGTTCTAGCAGTAAGATCACAACTTCACACCCAAGCTGATTGACCTACAATATCAAATGAAAAAAAAATCTGTATTACATGCATAATATGTACAGTATTTAAAAATGGTATTTGATCAATAAATTACTTGTTTTAACATTTCGAAAGCTTTCCACTGCTTGTCCAGCTGGGACCATCCCATCCATTAGGGATTTGCCGTTCAGTGTTAAAAGGAGCTGATTGGGAAGAATCCCTGTCCCTAGTGACCAGTCTGTCCCAAGTCCTGCTGATGAGCCAGGCTGGCTGGTGTGTTATTAGCAGTGTCCTGTGTATTTTGTGGGTGTCAGTTGTGCACAGGAATGTCACACAAACAGCCATGGAGTGAGTGACCAATTTTATTTGGGGGATTTAGGGCCGAGTCCAAAAATAGATAAAGGAATTCCCAGGAATAGTATTGCATTATATGTTATATATGCTTCAAGGTCATACAAAATGTCTATGATCTCTCAATTTAAATTCCAATTTACATTAATTTGTATCACAAAACATAAAGATTGCCAGTTTTTAAAAAAATTTAGTACTTTAATAATAATATACTATAATAGTAAGTTTTGGCCAGTATCACACATGTTTATATGTATGGTTATATATGTATTATTACATATATATTATGTATTATGTATGGTTATATAAACATTCCATGCAACTTGTGGAACTTGACAATCACTAGAAAATTAAACTAAGAATTTCTTACCCGTAGATCATGACATGCCAAAATATTATCTAACCATTTATAAAGGTAACCATCTGGAGAGAGACCAACATTGTCAAACACTGGCCCACAGCAAAGTACAGCTGACATTGCCTAGTAGAAAAGACAAGAGAAGGACATTTTAATATGCAACTGCTCCAGCTCAATCACAATTATGTTTACAATAAACAGTTCAAGCCACAGGATATGCAGATACTTGTTTTGTTTTACAGCAGATTGATTCAATCTGATATTATAGCAAATAGAACTAAAAGTATCTTTTACAATTTCTTTACAACCTAAAACACTCTAAGGTAGCAATGAAACATTCAATTAAATCCCTCTTCATTATTTTTAATTATACAATAACTTTTTTTTTAATATAAATAATGCAACCCATCTTACAATTTTCAGCCTGACAAACCAGACATTTGTTGAAAAAGTGAATGTTATTGAATAGTACTTGTAATGTTTAATCTGCAGATTGTACAAAACAATATAATGTTACAGGCACTGTGGCTTCAAACAGTTTCAACAACTAGTTCAATCCTCCTACAACACCAGAACACATTACTTTGAAATATTGTAAATAACTCATAAGTCAAAGAAGCTTGCAGGCTTCATGAACTCAGATGATCCTTCAATTTTGATTTCCAACTTATATTTCAAACACATTGTTGTACTTTTGCCACATCATCTTAAGCCAGAATGGGCAGTATCTGCCAAGTTGTATTTTCAAATATAACTAACCCATACTTTGGACATTTTATTGCCAAACGCATAGAAGGCAGCTACTTTGAAACTGAACGTTTTGTACTCAAGGAAAAGGCAATGTTTGTTTCTTTTCTTCCTCTAATTTTCGCTCTTAACCTTCTTCTTCTCTTTCTTTGAAGAGTCGATCAATGGGGACTCAATGACCTCTGATAACTCATCTAAGTCAGAGCTCTTGTACAGTATAGTGAGTTCTGGCGGATGAGATTTTTTTCTCTCTATTTCAGACTGTGGATGATGCTGCCAATTTGCCAACATTTATTATCCATCTCTGGATAATCAGGGGGGGCTTAGTCTTTACTCAACTGTGCACATGTACACACATCGGGGGACAACGAATAATAGAAGTATTCCTTCCCAGCAGTTGGGTTGTTGAAGCCAATTGTAAGACCTGCACAGCTGGAGCATTCTTACTCAGCACAGAGACCATAGATCGAATCTTCAAACATCCTTCGACTCTTTGACTCACGACTACTTCAATATGCATGCAAGACTTCTTGAATTTGCCCTAATATAATCATTACACATTAAAAAACGTATCTAGCAGAATGTATTACAATTTTTCATTTGGGAAAATCATGTGGTAAATACATTGTTACAGGTGTGTGAAGGAAACGTATTCAAGAGGGTTCTCTGGAATTACTGAATGGTTTGGTTCTAGAGTAGACCGAGGCTGTGCATCAAGAAAAGATTAATGATTAAGTGAATGTGGCAAAGAGTGAAAATTAAGCTGTGGTGTTTTATGACTTTGTAGGAACATGGGGAGATAATTAATGGATGCCTGTTAATAACCCTTAAACTGCTGCATATCTGGGAAAATGTTCTGTACATTTATAGCTCAAGCCTGGTAATACTATAAATAATCTGAAAATAGATGAGTATTTTTGAAGAAAGGATTTTGATCAGCTAAAAAATGTTGAGTTTCCTCCCAACATAATGATTTGATATTTCACTGGTGGCTGTCAGTCAATCATGAATTCATAAAGTCTCATCCAAATGCAAAAAAAAGTTAATAGTATTAATCCTTGTACTTGATATAAAATCCCGACATGGGATTTGAATCCTCAACCTTCTGACTCAGAGGCAAGAGTGATAACAACTGAGTCAGTTAAAAATAATATTTTTTGAACCAAATCCATACAAAAAAAGCTTATTGGATGATTTGCCAGGAAAATTTGATGTGAAATCAATTAGATAAAGGAGAACATACCTTTAATGCACAGTACTGGTATCTTGTAATTTGGTGGTTTCTGTCACTATAACGATCCAGAGGAGTAAACATGACACTAAATGGCCCTGCCCACTGGCTGAACAAGATGAAGAGATGATGACGCAAACTCTGTTGTGGAAATAGGAATCTGCGATGATGTACTACAGAGAAAAAAAAATGATAAATCTCTGCTGATCAGGTCAAAAGCATTCTGATCAAAGAGAAGACACATGGCAGAACTATAGGAATGACTAAGGACTAAATACTAAATCATGTCAATGTCATCAGTTACATGCTTCAGATGACAAATAAGGTCTCTTGAAATGCAACACCCTCATGTTATTTTAGACAAAATTGCTTTCACAATTAAGGCTTTGTAGTGATATTGCTAGGCTATGTAATACTGCTAGGATGAATGAATTACAGATCTCTGACACTGATTTTACCCCATACAATTTTTTATGCATTACAAAGTTTTGGATCAGTATAACCATAGTAATGTCACTATAACATGGTAATCAGTAGCAAACCATAGAAACAGTTTTTTAAACTTTTTTTTATTTCACAAGAATAATAGAGTTGGAAATGTTTCCATCAACAAATTTGTCAAAGGTCATTTAACTGACATGTCTCTCGAATACATGTCTTATTTCTTATTAAAGAGAAAAAATGCTAGCCTGTCTTGGTGGAGCTAGAACTGTATTTAGAAAAGTGAGCAACAGGACATGTACACTGGAAAATATTGGTACCCCTGAATTTGGGAAATATTTAAAGAAACATGAACTCAAATTGAAATAATAATGTTAGTTTTGTACAAACAAAATGGTAGGAAGAGCATATACAACTGTAATCTTGAAAAAGATCTAAAACTCGAGCATATGTGTGAGATTTTGTGTTTGTGCAGGTGCAGTTTTGGGGCAGATTTCAAGTTGCTTTCAGGACTACAGCTAATTATGCACAGCAGAGACGTATTTCTTTTAGGATTTTTTAATATAACATAAGCAAAAGTAAATTAACTAAGCAAGGAAATGTTTTAATGAAATATTTACTGCAGCAACATTAAACAATGCACATTAACATAATCATCTCTCAGTGTAGGAAAGGATCAACATATATAGAATGACTTTACCTGGAACACACTGAATCAAATTGGCTACCATTGCGCTAAAATGGGCTCGAATGTCTTTTAGGATTTCAACATCTTTGTCATTTTCTGCCTCCAGCAGCATCCTGGTTAGATCAACATATTCCAAGAACAAGGCTCCCAGTGCCAGAGTATCTCTTTCTAAAGCTCCATTAGTACTGGCAAGGAAAAAGAAGGCAGGTTAACCTGCTGCTGTTGAAACCTAACATTTATTTATAAAAGCTAAATTTGTAAATCACAAAACATATCCAAACATTTTCATTTATTCTAAGCAAAAAAAGCCAATGGACTTTCAAACCTTTAATGGTGAAATGCAGTGTGGTTTTGTTAAAAACATGAACTTGATTTGATGCAAAATATCTTCACGGATATTTTGGAGTTTTGGCTAGCTTTGGGTCGCATTACAGCTCATTGTCCCAAAAAACATCCTTTCAAAAATGTTTATACAGGTGCAATATTTGTTTCCTTTGGGAGCAGAAAGCATCTGAACCTTGTACGTATCCGTTCTATATATACTATTGAACACTGAATTATGTGGGACCTCAGCACTAGAAATGTTGCTAAATGTTTCCTTTGCAAGATGACTTGCACACTTACTTGTCACTTATAACACCAGCATCAGCGAGGAGTTCAAATATCCTTAGCAGCTGTAGTCGCAATAAATCTCGACGCTCACGACGCTTCTTGTTCTAAAACAGACACAGAAGGCAGAGAATACAGGCTGAATAGTAAAATAACATTAATAATTGTTGCATTTGATTTTTCGTTTGCATTTGGTATAGCGCTTTTCACATCGGAAGTTCGTCTCAAAGCGCTTTACTTAATTTACTCTAATGTGTAAGTGACTGTGTATTCTGCAAGTCAATCAGATAGTGGAGATGCATCTAAGAGGAAACTAGAACTTCACTTGAGGGCGAGAGGAATGGAAGAATCTGGGAGAGAATGGGTAAACACTCATGTGGAGTATGAACAGCACAGACTGGTTGGACTGACTGGCCTGCTTCCGTATTGCACATTCTTTGTGATCTTTGAAATTACTAGGAATTCACGCACTTCCGTTCCATATACATATATGATACCACAGTTGGGAGCACTTGAAGTCAGCTGGTTGTGAGATATAGCTCCACGTCAGAATTTTAAACGCATATTCCATGTTGACACTCCAATCCAGTGGTGGGGGAGAGGAGAGCTGCATTGGCGGAGGTACTGTTCTCCAGACACAATAATAATTGTGTATTTGTATAGTGCCCTTTACACGGGGCAGAGCCTCAGAGCACTTTGGATGGTGGACCATGGCACTATTTGAAAAAAGAAGGGAGTTCCTTCTGGTCTCCTGGCCAACTATCCTCCAACTAAAAATGGTTATTCTCTTCATGGCTGCTTGTAGGACATTGCTATGCGTAGATTGGCTGCTGTTTGCCTACAAATACATGGTGCTTTGAGATGTTTAAGGCGTTTTATCAAATGTAACGATTAAAAAAAAGCTAACAAACAAACCTCTGGCCGACGTTCAAGGGCTTCCTTCATCAATGGATGTAGCTCTTCAACTAATTCCCTGTAAGAGAAAAATAAAATTGTTTGATAGCGTTTGTAATGCTCCTCAACCTAAGAGAGCATTTGAATCTTGTGAAACTTATGTTTGTTTAAACAACAACTTGTATTTGTATAGCAGGTCGAACACCTATCAGGAAGGCAAAGGAGGAGATAAGAATAACAACAAAATTACATTTGTATAGCGCCTTTCATGTCAGGAGGACGTTCCAGGCGCTGGTTTGGGATAACTGTAGGCACGGTGGAAAAGATAGGTTAAAAAGCGGGATTTAAAGGCAAAAAGAGAGGGAATGCTATGAAAGTGAAGAAGGAGGGAGTTCCAAAGGCTAGAAGTGTAATAGCTGAAAGCTGGTAGTGATGTGGAGGGGACAGGGGAGGCACAGCAAGCCCGGGTTAGGCAATCGGAGGGGCTGAACAGAGGAGCGGGAGGAGAAGATCACAGAGATAGGGAGGAACTAGGGAATAAAGGGTTTCATAGGTGATGATGACCTTGAAATTGATCTGTTAGGAGACAGAATTTGTTTCGGGTGAAGATATGGGCAGTGGAGGTTTGAATGGTGGAGCTAGGGCGACCAGTGAGAAGTGCATTTGAAAAATCCAAGTGTGAGGGAAAAAATTATAACAAAAATTATGATCAGTTATAATTTACTGGGAAGTTTCATAATTAGATACAGATTCTTCGATACCTTAGCCATGAACGAAAACCCATAAACAATATAATTTAAGCAATAATACAATAGAATATAAATTTACATTTACATAGTACTTTTCATGACGGGAGGACGCCCCAAGACGCTTGTATAACAGCTGTAAAATATATGATAACCTTCTATTCTTACTGAATTTTCCTTATCAGATCCTTTGTGAAAACTGAGGTAAAGTAATAATTTAGTATTTCCGCCATTTCCTTATTATCTGCTGTGAGCTTCTCCCCTTAATGGACCTATCCTACTTTAATATTCTTTTATTGCATTTTCTTTTATACCCTTGCAAGTCTGTCTTGAGTGAGGTATTAATAATTAAGTTATTGTCTACAGGGTCATAAAAAATGAAAATTTGAATCCTTGCCTTAATGTCTAGAGAAATACAAAAGTAGGGAAGAAATGTTAAATGTGTACAAAACTTTGGTTAGATCACATTTGGAGTACAGAGTGCAGTTCTGGTTGCCATTTTACAGAAAGGATATTGTAGCAATTGAGAGAATGCTGCATAGATTTACTAATATGTTACGAGAGGAGAGAGAATATAGCTACCAAGAAAGACTGGTCAGGTTAGAACATTATCTCTCTGAACATGAGTTGACTGATAGCGTACCTAATGGAGGTGTTTAAAATTATAAAAGGAATTGGATAGTCTGTTTTCACCTTCCAAGATAAGGAAGATAGCATAAGCATTAGATAGCCACTTACAGATGAGAAATGGAGTTTAGAAAGAACATATTTATGCGGCGGGTGGTGACAATGCGAAACCCACTGTCAGACACTGTGGTTGAAGCAGAAAGCATCAACATATTTAAAAGGAAACTTGATGCATGCATGAGGGAGAAGGGAACAGAAGAGGAGAGAGGTGGTTAGGAGGCTTGGAGGTTCATGTGGAACAGTCAAGATACAATATAATTTACACATATAATGATTTTCATGTCACAAAGCTTAAACAATTCTTACTCGGCACCGGAGCTGAAGGTGGGAGCTGAGAGGGGGAGGTGGGGGGTTGAGTAAGGGAAAGATGAACAAAAACACAGTAAAAGAGGTACGTTTTGAGATGTACCTTGAAAGAGGGGAGGGAGTGTGCAAGTCAGAGTTGGACCTAATGCCCTTCTTCCGTGCTGTAACAGCTCATGTAATTTTATCAAAGAGCATATCAATATTAGCATCTGTTTTGAAAATTGAACAGCTGCAAAAATTATAATCATCACCAACATCTGTTGCTGTCTAGTTATTTTGTTCTTGAAAATTAGTTTTAAAAATGAATGTTTCTGACCTCATTAAGGAAATGTTCTCGGAGGGTTACTCAACCTGAATAGAGTATACGACAGCTTTCAAATTAAAAATTCTCTACCATTTCATTTTTCTATTAACATTTTAAATTCCACGCATACATTGTAATTATTGTCATTATCAAACCACAATTACCACAAACACAAATTGGTAACACATTAACTCTTGAACTTTTAGTTCAAAGTTCTTTTCCATGTCTTTTATTTTTCTCCTTATGTTTTCTCCATTGGGATGCCCTTTTATGCAGCTGCCTTCACTGCATACATTACAAATCGTTTTTAACCGTTAGCAATGTTTAATAAATGTACAGGTCCGCTCTAAATAGGTACCTTCTGGATTCCATCTAAGTCAACCATTTTGAAGCATGGTTAGGAAGCTGGAAGATGAATGGAACATATGTTGATTTTCATCAAGCTGCTTGTCTCACTGCCAGACTAAAAGTTTACATCAATCAACTAACCATTCCATGAGCTTAAACATCACAAGTATTGTCATCAAGTATTGTCTTGAACAATATTGAGGTGACAATATTGCTTTTTACAACTGTGCAAATTATGGTACCAGTTTTGAAAAGGAAATTGATGAAAAGAAGAATTTATGTCATTTAGACAAAATATGCTTTAGTCCACACCCTGGAACAGTACTAAGCCATACCAACCTGTAAAATATAAAAGGGAATGTGGAAAGGGTAAACAAGTGGGATTAAATGGATACTTCTTTCAGAACTGGCACTGGGTCAATAGATGCATTTATTCTGTAAAATTCTCTGATTCTCTGAATGTTCCAGGTTTGATTTATGTTAGTTGATCCTACTCTGGGTTGCAGTAGACCTGAATGTTCTGGAGTAGAATTGATCGTGATCAAATGAGCCAGTGCCTTCAGAAGAGCGGATAAAATTGTTGCAATAAAATAAAAAACAGGATTAGTTCTAGAAAAGACAAATATTGATTATTGATAGATAACCATAGTTTCCAATTTGAAATTAGAAAGGTAAACTTTTTCTTTAAATAAAATAAACAAAATCTGTTAAACTGTGAGATCAGAAGACGACTTGGTGTTGTGTAAATGAAATTCATCATTATCATTCCAATAAAAACTGCACGGGTAGCATTAAATATCTTGATGTGATTTTTTTGTTACTGAAAATCTGGCAGAAAATTGGTTCTTAACGTACCTGAATACAAGAGAATTTGTCCTTCCAAATCCGAGCACCAGTGATTCTGTAATTTCTATGCTCTCAACACGCATCAGAGGAACAAGCTGCTTCAACAGCACTGCCACGGATGGTGTTCCAATGACCTGGGTGATGACAAACAGTGTAACTCTAAAGCATATCAATTAAATCTGTAATTTCAGAGTAAAATAAAATCATCTTTTCACTCTTCACCTCAATAGCAATTCAATACTTCACACACAAAAAAGTGCAGTCAATTATATTTGTTTAAATCAGTGAAAATGGCTCACTTTTAATTTTTTTTGTTTTTGTTAATTTACTGTTTTTGTTTCCTGTTTTCCCATAGGATTCTACCTTCCAACTTTTGTGGGAGACGTTATTTGCATTAGATGTGGATAGTAAGTCAAACTGCTCTATAATATACTGTGTCAGACGTGTGATTCTTAGGAGTGCAGAATGCGTGGAAGATCCCACTCAAAATTCTCGTACACATTTTTCTTTAATCAACATTTAGAAAAATAATTTACCATACCCTCTTAGACAAGATATAAAATATTAAACTAAAATAAAAACTATTTGGGTGAGGGCCAAGCCCACACTTTGCTCAATCTGGCAAACTGATATGACTTATGTGAGCAAAACGCAGAATACCACAGATGCTAGAATCTGAACAAAAACAGAGAGAGCTGGGAAAACTCAGCAGGTCAGGCAGCATCTATGGAGAAAGGAAAGTGAGTCAACGTTTCAGGTCCACAACCCTTCGTCAGAACTGGGGCATGTTGGGAGGGAGAGGCTTTTAAGGACAAGTTGAGAGGGGGAGGCAGGACAAGGACGACAAAGACGACAAAAAAGAAGACAAAGGAGAGATTGTAGAGAATGTGTTAGTTGATGGGTTAAAGAGGTGAAAGTGGCATAAAACAAAAGGGGGGTTGTACAACAAAAGGGGGTGGGTTGAAACAAAACTGGGTAGGAGAGGTGTTAATAGTGCATGACTTGTGTGAGGTTTATTGTACCACAATATTTGTGAATCAACATTTATTCTGTAGATAAATAAAAATTATACAACACATTTGTGATTTTTGGATAGAAATGCTACAGCAATGCAATAGATTACCAGATCAGAAAACATTCATTTACTCCCTTATTACCTTGTTATCGTAGCTGGAGCTACCATCAGGGGTTGTTGCCATGATTTCTGGAGTTGAAGCTCGGAGGTGGCCAGGACTCATGATACTTGGCTTTGCAACTCCAAAACAAAGGATAAGATAGTTCCTCCAAAGGGTCACATAGTTATCTGCGCCGCTTGATGTACTCACTTTCTTCGTGTACATAGGACTACTGAAAATAACAGGATGTTAGACATTTTAATTCCAAAATTTGTAATGATTCTAATTAATATTAAGCACTTTTATTAAGAAAATCAATCCCTCAAATATATTGTCAGCTTGTGATTTATATTTAGATTAACAAATGTAAAGTAGAGAACAATGTTATTCGGGCAGAGGTTATTGTCACAAAATTACAGTGATTTCAAAACTAAGCGCAACTTACTTGGGATCAATGTGTGGCATCAACAACTGCAGCCTGGTAAAGGCGTATGGCCAGGCGTAGCTAAGTGCAGTTGGGCAATGCTTCGGGAGATTCTCCAGTCTGAGGAAACTGAAGAGGCACAGAACCCAGGGATCCTTCACAGACTGTGCAAATATCCAGACATGAGAAGGGCTCTTCACATCATAATGGCTGTTAACCAAAACTGCATTCCATTCTACCAGCCACTGTAAGTCACCATTGTGTCCAAAGGGTAGAGCAGCCTGCACAGAATTATGAGTATTAGTATTAATTATGTTGAAACCAATGTTAAGACTACATCTACGTGTTCATATTCAATACAGTGTCTTTCCTCAGTGATGATCTATGTGCTTATTCTGAGTTTATGCTGAGTGGCTTCAATCTCCGAAATCTACAGTTCGGAATCTCTCTATACTTACCGAATCTGAGACTGCGACATGGATGAAACTCTCCAGGATGGATGAACTCAATTGATCCATGACTTCAATCATTGGTTTATCATCATCCTACATTTGGAACAACATTTGTATCAACATGAGTATACAGAAAAAAGCTTGCAAAGTTAGATACTTCCAAAATATAATCATTACATATTTAAAAAAACATACATTAAATTATAGTAAAAAGCTATATAAATGAGCACATTTTTGATCATTTTATAGTTGATCATTTAAAACTGTCAGGATTAGTGAATATTTTAGTTTTACTATTTTGTATTAAGGTTTATAATCTATTTTGGTTTGTCTACTTTAAAAAGGCATGATAGTATAATATATGATGGTTGTGTCGTTTTACCACAACTAACAACACTTTAATTTCTGGTTGCAAGTTGAATTCCCATTCCAGGAATTAACCTTATTATCTAGGCTGACAATCCAGTGCAGTACTGGGAGTACTGAGTATTGGAGGTGCTTTCTTTCAGATGAGATGTTGAAGTGTGGTCCTATCTGCTTGTTCAAGTGGATGATAACGATCCATAACACTCACCTACCTCTCATGCCGGTTGGTGGGATATTGCTGGCACAAGTGACAGCTATGTTTCCTACNAAAAAGGCACCACACTTGACAGCAATTATTTGTGTAGCACATAGATTTGTTATGATGTGATAAAAGTATTATAAAAATGCAAGTTCTTTCTTGATCACTGTCCGCACATTAATATTCATTATAAATTATATTGAAGTGGCAAAGGAAAAATAAAAACCCATACCTCTGATTGTCCTAAGACGGAAAACAAAGCCCGAACTTCCCTCAGGATAGAAACAGCCAGCTTTCGTGTTGCAATCTGACAACTGCACAATAAAACGAGGGCAAATCCTTCCACAGCATGCAGCACATTTGAATGAGGACTTCTTTCCTGTTGAAGTAGAAGATGTGATCCATTTGAAATCATCTGGATAAAACTAAATAAGTTCAATGTATTCTAAATGTTCATGATAAAATATTCTAGTTTCATATATAATCTAATCATTTCAGGTTAGGTTTTGAGCACATGCCACTCTATGTATTTTTATTCCAGAGTGTAAGACATTTCTGAAGAATATTGCAACCTGCAAGTTATGGTATATTCATCATTAGATGAGTTTGTAATTTTCACGTCCCTCCAGTTTTCTAACAAGGACTTTACAGTTTACAAGGGTGACTGAATTTTATTTTAAGTTTGTTACAATGTATGGATTTTGAGGCCAGGGAAATCCTTCTTACATGATAATAAGATTTACATTTAAGTCTGATTGAGAATAACGTAATCTCCATAAGCATATTGAATGATAATCAACAGAAAATAATATTGTCAAGGTATCACACATATCTGATAGTTGTCAATATTATTAATAATTTTGTGGTAGAACTACATACTCTGCAATGCTTTTACTTAGTTTTAATTTCAATTGATTTGTGGATATTTTTATTTAAATGTGTACTGTTATGATGAGTTGAAGAAATGACTGAACCAGAAAGTGTGAGAAAGCAGCATTAGTATCAGTGCAGATACATCTTGGTCTTGCTTCAGTTGTTTGTTAACCGTTAGTGAGCTGATGTGTATTAAATATCAGGGTGCTATTTTCTATATTGTCCCCATGTTCACCATTGTAAACTTCAAAGTTTAATTTTACCTCTGTTGATAATGATTATACAATCCTGGGCTACAACCAACTACTGACTTTCCTTGCTTATTCTGGATCTTAGTTTTTAACTGGATATTTTGAGCCAGAAAAACAAAACATTTAAAACTGTTGCTGCCATCTTCCGAAATGTATGGTGGGGGAGAGAAATAAATAAAAGCAACCAAGTAGGTTTCAATTATATTTTTAGGATTGGTTGAAAATTTATTTTAGAAAAGGTAGAAAATACATGAAAAAACTAATTTAAAAGACAGAAAGAGAGAATAGAGAAGATTAAAAAAAGATTTTGCTCACAGTTAATTCACTTTACAGCGCTTTGAGGCGTCTCAACGACGTGATCAGGTGGTATATCAAATGCAAGGATTATTATTGTTATAGAATTTAAAGAGACAGTAAATGCAAGCAAATGTTTTTAAATGATTTATTTTAATTTGAATTACTTTATGGTTTGGCTTGATATTGCAGTGATAAAGCTATTTCCCATGTTTGAATGGCTTTATCTTTATATTAATATTCTGTCAAAGTAACAAAGATCATGACATGTATCTACAGGATAGGATCAATCATACCTCGGAAGTCCTTAGTCTTATATGGTCTTGACTCTTGCCTTGAGTCTGTATTGCGAGCTTCCACTGAGAGAGCAAATGTACCAGCAATTTCAGTGAGCCATCGAGAAGGCTCTGGTGTGTGTCATTCACCTCCCGAAGTAAGAAGTTAGTGAAACCAAACAATACATCTTCTCTCCAGTCAGCAAAATCAACAAGTAAGCTCTGAAGAGAGTTTTGTGCAATATGACGCAGTTCATCATCCATGTGGATAGTGAGCCTAAAGTAGAAATTAGAAAGTTTTTTTTAAACAAAATGCTGTTGGTCTACCACAGTGGAGATATTAAAAGTCATGCTTCACTTCACCTCTGCTGGTAATGATTATAAAGCACAGTTCAGATAAAATTAACATTGGTTACATGTGTGTATCGTATTAGTACTCTGTGTATGTATCTTCATATCTCACTTTAAAACATAGCTCTTCGACCAAGCGATGATCACCTCCCCCTTTCCTACCTCCTAGCTCAACTTCCAAACCCGCTAATGCGAAGTGTTCCAAGTTATTCTATGCACTACAGAAAAGCCAGTTATTGTTGTTATACTTGATATTATAAACTGGATGCTTCAAGCCATTAGTGGAGCTGTCTCGCTTCAAACATAATAGCATTTTGCCTGAACAACAGACCACGTTCCCATTACATGCTGTAATAAATCAAGGATCAATGGTTTTGTCGCATAAGTCAGACCGATTGACTGCACATTTTACTCAGTTGTTACATCATATAATCACTTCTCTTAGCACTTAAAAGTGAACAAAGTATGTAATGTTTTACTAGCTAAGTTGATAATTTGCTTTGGCTTCCACTTCAAGTTTAAAGGGAAGGCATTTTGGCCTGACAGCAAACCATTTGAAATCTCAAAATGAAATTAGGCAATAAACATACCAGCCAGCATGAATATACTTTTGCTCTAATTCTATGTGTTTAGCTAATAGAAAAACTGCACCTTGCCAGTAGGTCAATCAGTTCCAGCTTTGACATTCCGTCAGGTATTATTCGTGGAATGGCAGCCACACTGGTCCTAAAAAGGTCAATTTTAGGTTTTCTTTCGCCCCTAAGACAAAAACAAAACAACACTGATAATTTCCAAATGACTTACAAAAACAGACACTGCATTTATTTCATTATTTCCATCTTTGAGAGTTAAGTTGTCTTCCTCAATTACCTTTAGTGAAGATTTGCTTGTTACAGTAACGCTTGCTACAACTAATGAACAATACTTGTTAAACACTTTGTGTGACCAGTTTTTAAAATTAATGTAATGCACACAACAGGCAATTCACTTCTGAGTAATAATAATATACTTGCATTTAGATATTTTTTGAAAAATGTATTTTTCAAATTCCACGAAGACACTTGCAATTGAGGTTTACCTGAACTTCAGATTAGCTACAGTGACAGATGATTAGTAATGTCTCTGTTATCTGCGGTTTTATAGGAGATTGGGTCAAACTATAGGTGGCTGAGTTGGAAAGCTCGGCTTCAATCTGCTGATTTTTTTTATTTTTGGACAATTGAGTGTCTGACACACACCAACACCAATTGAGCTATTCAGTGTTCAACAAATGAATGAAAAACCTTTGAATCTGACAATTAATAAAACAAGATTGGGTGGCAAATGTGGAGAAAAACACCAGCACAAACTTGTTGGGCCAGAAGTGCTGTAATATTCTATCATTTTGCAGAGCAGACAGTCATAATAATAATAATAATCCTTGCATTTGATATAGCGCTTTTCACGTCGGGAGGACGTCCCAAAGCGCTTCACAGAACACACTGTAAAGTGAACTGACTGTATATTTGTGGGCGAACGCGGCAGCCAATTGCGCACAGCAATGACCCACAAACAGTCGTAGATTTAAAATGACCAATTTATTATTGTTTTTGGTTTTGGAGGGATTATTATTAGGCTCTGTGTGGAGTAAGGAAACTTGCCCAAGGTTTCGCCCTCTGCCTGGAATTGAATTCAGGTCTCTCGCTTGCAAAGCGAGTGCTCTAACCACTGAGCTACAGGACTCCAAATGACACAGTACAAACCATGTGCATTAATCCCTAGAAATGAATAGATTGGATGGGAGACCTACATAGTTAGAAGATGCTCAAATGCAAGGATTATTATGATGCTTCATTCATAGAATGAAGAAAACCAAACAACTAATTAATTGTACTTTCTTCCTCACTCAGCATCCTCCACCAAGGCAGCAGAACAAGAGGGAACAGCTTACAGTTCTGGAGAGCCATGTTAACCTCAGATTTTTTATTGAAGGTGCAATTATCTGTCACTTCACAAATATAATTTGACATTTATGCACTCAAATATGGGTGTGGGCAATCGTTTCACTGCCTTTCACAAATGAATGACAGCAGATGGTTCTTGCTTGCTGTTGGCTAACCATTAACATTCCTTAGAACTTAGTAAATCCTTGTGCCACATCACCAATGGGCTGAATAGGTTCAAATTTGCATTCAGCTTTAATAAGCTGTTTGTTGAACAGGGTGTAACTTTACTTTTGTATCAATATCTCAGAACTGAATTCTGCCTGTCTTATATGCCTAACTTACGTGATCATGTCTTCAGGTTCTTTGTTCAAAATCTGTACATTGGTCAACATCATGCATCGCCCAACTTCTTTATCGAGGTGTCTCAGGATGCTATCCAGGGCCTTTCGTAGTTGTGGGTAGTACAAAGACATGCCTGTTGGGTCAAGGGAAAAAAGATGCATTTAGATTTTTTTTTAAAGCAAGTCCATTGTTATTGTCCAATTTAAATTTTTCCTTCTCTAATAAAGCGATAAATCTGTCCTTCTAAATTGTGAGAATGCACGGGGAAGAAATGTAATTATTATCATCAGACCAAAAATGAGGTCAGAAGTAGTCACTAGTCCCTGATAGGACTTGGGGGTCAAATGTCCCCTTTATCAGCAGAAGCCAGGCATAAAGCCATCGTAAAACTGGTTCACTGACCCCTTTCTTGTTATTGATTGTGTAGATTACATGGGCCATTAGCTTACTTGTTGTGGAGTCCTGTACCTCCTGATTGGCTCCCGTCAGCACCTCCACACCTCAGGCGCTCACAGCACCACCATCCAAGGATGCATATTCCACCTTACTAAGCCAGTCCAGAACCTTGGCATCTTGTTTGACTTTCAACTATCCTTTCTATCTCATATCCGTGCCATGACCCGCTCTGCCTTCCTCCACCTCATCGCCCGACTCCACCACTGTCTCACACCACAGGCCGCCGAAATCCTCATACATGCATGCATAATATCCAGGCTTGATTATGCAAACTCCCTGCTTGTCGGCCTCCCCAACTCCTCCTTCCATGGGCTGTAGATCATCCAGAACTCTGCAGCCCGCGTCCTCTCCCACACCAGGCTCCTTGACCCTATCACCCCCATCCTCGCCCGACTCCACTGGCTTCCCATCACACAGAGGGTACAGTTCAAGATCCTGCTCCTCACCTTCAAAGCCCTCCATGGTTTTGCTCCCCCCCACCTCTGCAACCTCCTTAACCTCTACGAACTTATCCGCTCCCTCAGCTCAGCGGGCTCCGGCCTGCTTCACGTCCCCCGGCCCACCATCCCGCAGTACCACTGCCTCGCCGCGTCCCTTGCCTCCTTCAAGACCCATCTCAAGACCCTCCTCTTTGACTGTGCTTTCGATCACCCTCCTTCCCTCCCTTAAAAAAAATGTGGTCACTCAATCCATGACTGTTTATGAGACACGGCTGTACACAAATGTTTGCCACGTTTCGCCCACATAATATACAGTCAATTCACTTTACAGTTTGTAAACGTCACAAAGACATGATAAGGCGCTATATAAATGCAAGGATTACTATTATTTGTTCGGGAAATTGTCACTTACCTTATTATAGCTTATTTCACCAAGTGAAGGTAGCCATACCATATTTAATTGTATTTTTTTTACCAATTTGGAATTTTATTAATGTTTTACAATGAATAAGGTGTTGTATTTGCAGAAGTTTATTTTTACTGTGATTTATTGCACAAAACGATTACACGTTAGAACTCACCTATCATTTTTGCTTCGTCTTCTGTTAGGGTTTTACTTAAGTAGGTCTTCTTTACTCTGAGCGTGTTGCCAGATGGGAGCACAGCTCCTGTATTAGGCATTGGTGGTTCCCCATCCTTCTGCTGCAGGTTGTCAGCAACCACAAGGAAGGCTCTCAAACCGATGTTCATTCTCTGTGGAATATATTGTGTGAGTAAACTTAACTGATAATAAATATTAATAATATTGTTTGCATTTGATATAGCGTCTTATCACGTTATTGAGGTGTCTCAAAGCGCATCACAGGATATACTGTAAAGTGTAGTGACTGTTTATTTTGTAGGCAAATATATTATTTCCTTTATTTGCAAGGGCGAGGATTAAAATGAAACTTGTCAATTATCATATCAATAAATTATTATCTAGTGTTATACCATTCCAAGACATCAAACCATTTATTTTTAGTTTCCACAGAATTTTGCCTAATGGGAGTACAGCTCCTGTAATAGGCATTGGTGGCAGTCTGTCAGTAACCATGACAGATTACATTTCATTTAATGCATTTTCCAGGGGTTAAGTGCTTAACTTGCTGTGTATCATTTTCAAACTTTAAATCATAGTTTGTCACACTATGTTTTTATGAGCTGCTTTTATGTTAAAGCTCAATTGCTAGGAAACATTTTACTGACAAATTTAAAAGATTCAGCAGAGCCCTGCTATAACCCAGCTGGTTGGGAGGAGGGGGTGGGAGAAGCATAAAATACCAGCTATCAAGGGGAGGAATTGCTAGTCAGTGTTTCCACATTTACAGTGCATATACACAGAAAGACAGCTGGCTCCATCAGCACTTCAAAGCACTAGCCGGCGGGCAGGAAGCCAATTTGACTGACTTCCAGTTGATCAAGTCACTGCTGATGTTACTTCCTGTGCACATTTTTTTGTGGGATAAATGAACATCAGAGGCCAACCCAATTTGAAGTGAAATCGTGTTATAACAAGGCCCATATTAAAGTAATGCTTTGCTATTAAATAAATGACTATGCTTCATTCCATTTTTGCTGCTTTCTAACTTCAGATTGAACTATACTGATNAAAAAAAGTATTAATTTCTTCATCCAAAATTTGGAGATTTGATAACATTAAGAGCAGTCTTCTTTGTAAAATAAAACAATTAAAACCTATTTCACCATGTTTTTAAATAAACAGCAATAAAATGACATCAAAACACAAATTGCGCAATTTAGTTAATGAAAAATGTGATAGCAAACATAGGTAGGAAAGGAAAGTTTGTAAAAAGACTGCAACACATATGTCATGTACAAATAATGGTGTGCATCACAAGGCATTTATTTTTAATAAAACCANTTTTTTCTGATTTTTGACACTGATCACAATTAAATTTGTTTCCTAGAAATACCATGTAATGTAGAGCACAGGCATTTTGATTAAACCATGAGAGAAAAATTGTCTTTTGCATTTTGAACTTTTCAAAATAAATTGAAAATGTCACTGCATTGTCAATGAGAACAAAGGGCATTTCCTAAGGTAAATTTTAATTATTATCTATGCCAAGAATCTTACATTAAAAAATCATAAACAATAAGTACCTCAGGATTCAGACTGAAGGTTTTTGGTGACTTTCCAACACTCAGAAGGTCAAATATGACTTCCTTCATAGCAAAATCGAGTCTTTCCTGAAAAGAGGAAAGCACAGTTTTAATGTTATTTTAAATCAAAGTCAATATCAATACATTTCCTGTAATACATGGCAGAACAGAATAGTTGGGATAATCAGCAACAAAATCAACTAACACATGCTGCAAAGAACATTACTTTGTTCATTTTTATCAAATTTAGACTGTCAAACATTCTGCACATAGAATTTAGATCTTATAATAATAATAATCTTTGCATTTCCTTGCATTTGATATAGCGCCTTATCACGTCTTTGAGACATCTCAAAGCTCTTCACAGAATATACTGTGAAGTAGGGTTTTGTGAATACCGAATGTCGGATCTCAAATGATACTGGGGCCAGGGATGCTTCCCATTCAGCTGCTGTTAACCATGCAAGCCAAAGGCCTAACAGGTAGGCTCTTCCTAGTTGGACAAGCAGTGGGAAGTCTCCAGACAACCAGACAATGTTCACAATGGCAAGCTATGTGGTTTTAGCTGGTAAAACTCAAGCACCTCAATGAACATTTTGGAGTCACCAAGCTTGGCTCTTGTTAACCTGCATCTAAGACTTTCTGGAATTACTTAAGCCGGGCACATCTCTCTGGGGGAGGGTGTGTGCATCATTCCACCTCCCCCAAAATCCGTAGCTGCAGAATCGATTGATATGTTTGAAAGGGAGGTAAAGAGATACTTGGTTAGTTGTCATATTGAGGAATATAGAGAAAAGGGAGGGAAATTATGTAATAGAATGGCAGAATATAAGATTGGCCAATCCATGTTCAATGACCGAGCTGGTGAGGGCCGGGCCAGGGGGGCAGTTGATAGGTGTCCGAAAACACGGCGTAAGAGGAAGGTCTTGAGGCAGACCTTGAAGGGAGATACAAAGGCACTCTGGGATGGAGTTCCAGAGAGTGGGGGCGGAATATTTTCAAAAATTAAGAATATTTTACACATTCGGCTTAATTTAATCAGTCACTGAACAATTTTAAGATAACTAACAGCAATAGGTATATTAGTAGAGCTGTACTAAAACATGACACCCTTTAGATAAATAAAGAGACTCAATCAATCAGGACACTGTGGTGTCTGTAAAGCAATATTTCCCTACCTGGGCAATGAACTGAATGATTTTTACAAAGATGTTGAGAGGCATATCTCTTGGCACAACACTGCGAGATCCTTTGGGAAAAAGCGTTGTGGTAATGCTTGCAAGTCGACTGTAAAGAGAAAGACAGATAGACAGTTGGCAGAGTTCTATTAATAATAGTAATCCTCATTTGATATTGAGCCTTATTACCTCTTCTAGACATCTCCAAGCGCTTCACAGAATATACTGTAAAATGAATTGACTATTCTCTCAAAACAAATTATTCAGTCTTAATGCAGATTGCATTACAATGGCAACTAATGACTTTATTGTTCATTACTGTTATTTTAAATGATGAATTTGCAAAAGTGAAATTCAAAATATTTGCAGAATAATGACATTTAAATGCCCTGAATTTGAGCTTTCTGTTGCAAGGAGTCTTGAGTATTTTTGGATAATTTCATAAAGACTGCATAAGATAACTTGAAAGCTGCAATTATTTGTTCACTTAGAGAAGATTGAAATCATTGGAACGCAGGCCGACCCATTAAATATAAGCAAATCACTTTTTTTTTTTGTGAAGAGATAAGAGTTCTGCAAAGTCCAGCATAACTGACATAGTACACTTAAAGGCAGAATTCTGTTACCTCTGTGTTACATTATTGCTTTCACATTTGATCCTTATCATGTAGACCCACAACAGTCTGTACAGCGATTCCAGTGCAACTCGAGCCATTTTGGGATCTCTATTCTGGAAAAATATATAAAATTGTTAGCTTCTTGGTCTATATATGCAGCTGATTCCAAAGGGAAAAGTTATATTTAGACTACAATTGCTACTTTCTAAGTAAGTGTGTACTGAGTTAAAGTGAATAGCCTCTTTCAAATGTTTACTCAGCCATTTTGCACAGCGAATGAACAGCACATAGGCTGAAGCAGTGGTGTACACAGAGCAACATCGCATATGAAATGCACCTGTACCACAATGTCTACAAATAAAGTGAAATCTAGGAAGTAAGATCACTTACCATGTTACCTGTTAACATAGTAATTGTACTTTGGATTGATCATTGATAAAAGTCATATAGGTACAATACTATGGAACAATAGTAGGAATAGTTTTTACAAGAGAAAATATAGATGGTATATGGTTTGCCCCGAAACTGGGGTGAGGATGTGTAGCAAGCATTCAATTTCTTCAACATTAAATAATTCTAAAAATTTGATAAGTTGATTTCAATAAAATTTGACGATCTTTTAAGTGATTAGTGAGTTTGAAAACTATATAATCCAGCTCGGTTTCACTTAATTGTAGCAGAAGTATATTTAAACTGTTTTCTGCTAGCCTTTTGAGATAAAACTTTACAAAATATAAAATAATCTATTTTATGTCATCTTGACATTAGACCCACTCTAACAATGAGGCAACACCCTTTAAGACCAGATTGTTTTTAATGTTTTGTTCTCATCACTTTCTCTCTAAGGAATGATGAATATCTACAGGCTAGAAATCTAACTTTTTCTTTATTAAAGTATTAAAGTATCCTCCACTTAGCACAAAGATTGCATAGAGTCGGAAGTTCAGAGGAGAAAGGTGATTCAGGAATTTGGTCACGTAAGCCAGGCATTTAGGCCTAGGGACATTGATCCCTGGGGAAAACACAGGATCTCTTTACTAGTACAATATGTATTATATCAGTGTACACCTCGTCTCAATTCTCCTTCTGCTTCCATTAATTCAGTCCGAGCAAAGATATGTAAACAAACCAAGTCATCTGGGTGGGATGGGAATTGTAGGCAAACACATGGAATGGGTGGGAAAGGAAAAATCTGTCTGTCCTGTCAGACAATGTTCCAGTACTCCATATGTCCACAAAGATTACAGCAAAACTGGTTAACATCACAGGTAAAAAAAAAAATACTTTGTGGGAAAGAAAGTGTGAGCCATGTTTTCAAGACAAAATTTGTTCGCACATTAGGATTATTTATCACACCAGGTTTCTTCCTGAAAAGAGCAAGTTTTATTTGACCATGATAAACCAGTTCTGCGGTACCTTACTCCTGTGGACTTGGCGCAGGGGACTGCTTGATAGTATTAAGCCCTGGGCAATCTAAATTTTTTAGCAGAATATTATAAAAACTACAACTTGCATTTATACAGCGCACCTCCAGCCGACCGGGCAGTGTCCCAGAGCACTTGACAGTGGTGGAGTAGGACACCGAGCCAGGGGGAGGGGGTGGTGATCATAAAAACAGTCAGAGAGGAAGGTCTTCAGGTGCGATCTGAAGACAGGGAAGGTACAGGAAAAGTGGAGGGATAGAGGAAGAGTGTTCCAGAGTTTCGGACGTAGTGGCTAAAAGTGCAGCCACCGATGGTGGAACGGAGGGCATGAGGGACATGCAGGAGGCAGTCAAGTGAAGGCAGCGGGTAGTGAGTTGGGGGGTAAGCAGGTCAGAGAGACAGGGGGGTGCCAGGGCATGAAGGGATTTGAAAGCAAATGCGAGGATCTTGAAATCGATCGGTTCGGCAATAGGGAGCCAGTGGAGCCTGGCTAAAACTGGCCTGTATTTTTTATCCACATTTGAAAATTAATATTTTAATTTATTGCTATATTTTGGTGTAAACCGGAAGAAAAGGGTGGAACTAATTAACAAATTAATCTGTTTTTTAAAAATCAAGCATTTGATGCTTGTTCTGTTTCTTTCTCTACAGACTGAACTTGTCCTACACAAGGTGAAACTTATATTGTCGTGTCAGTTAAATATGGACTACAAAACAAAATCAATGACTGGACTAATGCATAGACCAGAAATCTTTTTTTACTGACTTTAAGATTGGATAAGCAGTTGTTCATGAAGATATGCCATCTGCTGAGAAAGAACTGCTTCTGGCTGACACAGAGGAGGCAGGTCACCAAAGGGAACAGGGCCTAAAAAGCAAAATAAGAAACATATTAGATATGTTATCTATAACAGTGCAAAATAACTGTTTACAACAGAACCACCTGATCAATATAGGATCCAATCTAATTGCTGAATGAGGCCCCAAAAAGTAACAGATACCTTGGAGCCGAAGGGCTGTTATAAACTATTTAAGCATTAATCTGAGATGTTTAAACTTTGAACACTCTTGAGCTCTCCCTCTCTTCGTCTTCTCCATTTCCGGACTTCCCAATTCTTCGCTTCAAAAGTCGCAAATTAGTCAGAACTCTGCAGGTCGGGTCTTCTCCCACACCAGGCTCCGTGAACTGATTACCCATCCTCTCCCGGCTTCACTGGCTCCCCATCCCTCAGAGGAACGAGTTTAAAATCTTCGTCCTCACTTTTAAAGCCCTCCATGGCCTTGCTCCTCCCTAATTCAGGGCCCGTTAACACCATACCGATCTGCCCGTTCCCTTCGCTTGGCAGGGACTGGCCTGTTTCTTGTTCCCCCGCCCTACCTGACACACCATTGACAGTCGGGTCTTCAGCTTTTCTGCCCACTCCCTCTAGAACTCCATCCCTGAATCGTTCCACCTCACCCCCTCCCTTGTCTCCTTCAAGGCCCCAGTCTCAAGACTGTGCTTTCAGCCAACTCCCCTACCCTCCACCCCTCTTGATTCCAAACCTCAGCTCGGGTGGAAATTCTTAACTCTCCATTGCCTTGGGATGTCCTTCCTCTATATAAATATAATTTTGTTATTGCTGTTAATGACCTGGAATAGATCAAATGCTGTGAAAAGAATAATAGAGGAAGCAAATCCACATCCTACCATCAGATTGCTTATGGATTATTTTCATAAATTCTACTGCAATGGAAGACATGGTGTTTTACTCACCAGTGAATGTTTCTTGCGTGTTGATAATTCTAACGTTGTGTCATAAAGGCTCTCAACAAAGTTTCGAAGACATGGAACATTGACTTCATTTTTAACAGCCTGAAAAACAAGCATCAAAAGAAATTACACAAATATACCTGCTGTGTATTTTCTGCAGACTTCAATCAATTCAGTTTTTATTATGATGTCTAACTCACCGCAGCCACTGGGAATAGAATCTCCACAAAAAGTCCAGCTAGTGCATGCCTCACATCCTTGTCCTTAACTTCCAAAAAATACTGTGCACATTCCTAAATAAATCAAAAGGAATAAATGGGAGAATCAGTAATGTTGTACACATTTACATTTTATTTTCAATGGCTCATCACTCATTGTATTCAAAGTCAAGGTATTACAACTAAATTATTGAACTATTAATGGAATCTCACCTAATAATAAATATTATCATGTGTAACTTATTTAGTATAAATATTTAATAGCAGTTTAAACTGAAATCCTTCCAAGGTATATTTTAGGGGTGAGATCAAAAGCTTTTTAGGGAATTATTTCTTATTGAAGGATGAGAATGTGTTTCAAACATAAAATTATTTTTTATAATTGCTTCAAATTAAATCAAACAATCTTTTCATAAGAGCGTTTTCAATTTATCAAAGCAAAGGTAATGCATACCATAGAAAATTCTTAATCAGCTAAGTACAGAAGAGCCCCATTATAGCTCGCTGTTTTGGGTGCATAAATCCAATCATTGAGTTACAACAACAAAAGCCCAACTGGTTGCCATGATGTAGAATTCTGTGCACTCGCAAGCATTCAACAGGCAAGAAGCACAGCTGATATAATTTCATGACAAATGGCCACTGCAGATATCATTTCCTGCACACTGCACTGGGTCAGTTTCCCATGCTACAAAATGGCTGACTTTCTGGTCATTAAGTTGCCGTTGTCATTTCCTGCATGTCTGTACTTATTGTGGGGCGCAGCAAATGGAACTGGTGAAAACCTGACCGAATATGGCTTAAGTCAACCATTTTTAGTATGCGGGAATCCATCCAGAGCACAACTGCAGATGCGCAGGGTACTGTACTTTTGGTGTCCCAGGAATGATGTGCAATAACAAGGTATAATTTGCGAGATTAACTAAGGAGTTCTAAATAGCAAATCTTGCACATGTTGCTGTTGACCCTCCTCTCTGATATCAACCTCATGGAAGTGGAACTGAGGTTGCCATCTGAGCGGTGCTCCAGTAGGTTGGCTTGCACATCCAGGATTCACTATTTACAAAGAAAATCATTTGCTATCTTGCAAATTAGACACCAACATCACAAAAAAACCTGACATAGAGGAAATATAACCAAACCAGTTTCAGAATAAGAAATCAATTACCTGCATGAACTGAAAAGAGGCTTCAAAGTCCTCCACAGGATACATTTTAATACGAAAGAACTTCATACCCATTATGAGGCTTACACTGCTTTGCACTACATATGGGCTCTGTTCTTTCTGGCGCAGTTCCTTAAGCTCTGACATAAATTTCTTCTTCACGGCAGGAAATCTACAGGGTAAAAGATGTTCTCATTTTGGTTTCTAGTTTTAAGCAGAAATATAGGAGCCAAATATACGGCTTAAATTTTTCAAACAATGTTATTAGTGAAATGTGACATTCATTTAGGAAAACAGAAGTTCCTTCACACTTAGTATTCGTAAACAAGTTGCAGACAAGTCCCTGACAATCAATGTTTGTACAACAGAATCTATAAACATATACTGTTGTCTAAGTGCTCAGAGATGCTACCTCACTTGAAGCGCACTATATAAATTCAAGTTGTTGTTATTGTTGGAAGAGTTGGAAAAATTATGAATTAAACAATTCAATAGTTAAGGTCCTACTATGATGTTGAGAGGCATGCATTACTATACAACAGTACCTGTTGTTCATTGCCACATTAATCCAAAAAAGGGTAAGAACAAATAATTGTTATTGTTGATATCTTTAGCCTATTTATAGTAGCAAAATCAGTGACCCCCCCCCCCCCCCCCCTCAGGCCGACTTTGCCCAGATTTCCGTGTCATCATTGTTTTGATCGCAATTTAGGTCCAGCTTCATAGTACACTGACTTAACTCAATATCCTATGAATAATAATAATCCTTGCATTGGATCTAGTGCTTTATCACGTCATCGATATGTCTCAAAGCACTTTGCAGGATATACTGTAAAGTGGATTGACTGTGTATTCTGTGAGCAAAACACAGCAGCCAGTTTGTGAACAGCAATGTTCCACAAACAGTAGAGTGACTGACCAATTTTATTTGTTGGCTGGGACACCGGGAGAAACTAACTTCTCTTTTTGAATAGAGCCAATGGATCTTCAACATCCAACTGAACAGGCAGAAGGGACCTCGATTTAACGCCTCATCCAAAGGATGGGAATCCAATGAAGCAGCATTCAGATCCTGCCTCTGGAGTCAGGAAAAGACTTGGGAGCCACGAAGCACAAATCCAGGTTAGAGATGCTTAAAATCTCAGAACCAGATTTGGTCATAATTTTATGCTGAAGTTAGCAGGGTGGGGTGTGCCGTTCATATCCACGGCCAGCATGTAGGAATAGATAGAAAACTGTAACTTTTCATAACAGATTTGATAAGACATACGACAATCAGTTATGAAACATTTCATTTTTCACTCCTGGGCACCTAGAATCCTCTGTAAAATTGCACGAGTCATTGCCTTCCAAACAGAGTTGTTTTTCACTTCTGATCACCTTAGATTTACGATTGCCAGGTTAATTTTAAATTCAACTAATTCAAACGTAGAAATTTATCAATGAGTTCTTAACATCCATTCAAAATATATTCATTTAGCTACGAAAAAAGACTTTATTTTTAAGTAGCTATTCGTTTGTGACTATGTGACAATCTTGACAAAATAAATCTCTAACATCCTTACACACTATATATTCCTAAGTGAAATTAATCATCTTCTCTCAAAGATTGAACAGTACTCACTTTGACTGTGCCAGAACGCCTATTACTTCTGCATATAGATCTGCTATAATATGCATATTTCCAGTGTTAGGACCAAGGTAACTGAACAAACAAAACATGGACACACATTAAGAGTCAGCAATAAAAATGGGTAAAAATTATTGAATAAATGTATTGTTTACAATAATATCTGCTGTACCCCTCCTTATATTTAAAATGTTTGAATGCCAGGTTAATAACTTCATGGACCAAGTTATCTGGTACCGGATGCTGTGAAACCTGAAAACAAATAAAACAGGTTTTAACATATACAAATGGATAGCATTAATTTATTCTTATCAATGATATTTAGAAGGGTGGAGGTAGATATGTCATGGCCTCCAACTCGTACCATGTTAATACCTTGTTCTCATTCTGAGAACAGTAATATGTTTAAAAAAAACTATAACAAAGCTGAGAAATTATATCCCATTACATTTTATGCGACTAACTGGTTCTTGTTTTACATTCCCAATTCCCAGGCTGGAGTCAGCGGTGAATCTGATTATGTTTCAACATAATTCTTTCTGTTAACATCAAATTATGATTACAAATTCATTAATAAGATACATGTTGTATATACAGTACTACACAATAGTCCAGTTGTGTGCATTAGAACTGTAAATTTGTATACTGTTAACAGGCCCACAATTAACACACACTGAACGGAGAAACTGTCCTTACACAAAGGCATGTCATTTCACATTTTTTGTGCATGACTGGATTGTTTGCTGGTAGCTTGCAGCCCCTTTGCAGGTCCTTGAGAGAGCCATTGCCTTGCAGCTTCGTTCTTTCCTCTCGTCTCACTTACTCCATGAACCCCTCCAATCGGGTTTCCGTGCTGCCCACAGCACGGAAACTGCTCTGGTCAAGGTCACAAACACATCCTGACCATGTGTGACCAGGGCTCCCTCTGTCTCCTCGACCTCCTTTGACACCGTGTACCACTCAATCCTCCTCCACCGCCTCTCCTTCCACCTCAAACTTCTGTCCTTGACTGGTTCAGGTCCTACCTTTCACACCACCTCCACTTTGTCGCGGCAAATAGCTTCTCCTCCAGCCCCTGCACTCGTGGGGTGTTCCTCAGGGCTCTGTTCTCGGACCCCTCCTCTTCACCCTCTACATGCTCCCCTTTGGTGACATCATCCGCAGACATGGGGTAAATTTCCACATGTATGAGGATGACATCCATCTCTACCTCTCTGCCTCCACCCTCAACTCCAGGACTACTGGCCTCCTAACCGACTGCCTGTCCGACTTCCAAGTTCTGGATGAGGGACAACTTTCTCCAACTCAACGTCAGCAAGACTGAGGCCCTTCTGATTGGCTCCAGCCAGCGCCTCCGCACCTCAGGCGCTGGCAGCATCAGCCTCCACGGCTGCACACTCAACCTCACCAAGCCAGTCAGGAACCTGGGTCTTGTTTGACCCTGAACTGTCCTTTCTCTCCCACATCCGCGCCATAACCGGCAATGCCTACTGTCAGTGCCTAATGTCCGCAACATTGCCAGATTCGCCACTGTCTCATCGCTCAGGCTGCCGAAACCCTCACCCACACATTCGTCACATCAAGACTCGACTACGGGAACTCCCTCCTCGTCGGCCTTCCCAAATCTTCCCTTCACAAGCTGCAGATCATCCAAAACTCTGCAGCTCCTGTACTCTCAAGCACCAGATTCCACGACCCCATCTCTCGCACCCTCACCCAACTCCACTGGCTCCGCATCCCCCAGAGGATCGAATTCAAGATCGTTCTCACTTTCAAGGCTATCCATGGTCTTGCCCCCTCCTACCTCTCTGACCTGCTGATTCCCTACCAACCTGCCCGCTCCCTTCATTCAGCGGGTTCCGGTATGCTCCATATCTCCCGCCTGACCCACCCTACCATCGTTGGCCGGGCTTTCAGCCTCTCTGCCTGCACACTCTGGAACTCCATCCCACGGTCCCTTCACCTCGCTTCCTCCCTTGCCTCCTTCAAGGCCGGTCTCTTCGACCGTGCCTTCAGTCACTCTCCCACCTCACTGCCTTCCCTCACCCCTACACCACCCCTCCCCCTGCTCGGGCCCCGACACCTGACTGTTCAGCTCTTGGGACGTCCTCCCGATGTGAAAGGTGTTCTATAAGTGCAATTTTGTTGTTGTTGTTGCTATGGGTTTCTACCATTTTTCTGTCCATAAATAGTGATTAGCAATTTTTGAGCTGTAATTTACAACGCAAAAAAATTGCCTTATTTGGAGCAATACGGTAATCGAAAGAGCAAATGAGTGAACTTTTGCTTAGTTTAAATAATCTGTACTGATGTTTAAGAAACACACGTAATTCCTTTCTGGGATGAGTTTAAATCCATCTCCTCTATCTGGAGCAGATATTCCACCTGGGTTTAAATATATTCCATTAATATAGCATTTCAGAGAAACCTGAATTTGGCAAATTCTTAAATGCAGCCTTATATTTGAAGTCTATTTTCAATAAGTCCTTTTACGAAAATCTGCTTCAATGTTAAGACTGAATTCAACAATTTGCCTGATTCCTGCTGCTTTGAAAGGCTAAGTAAATAAGAATAAATCTACGTCGGGGGAGAATTTCTCACCACCTGTGTGCTAGTTGAGACGGTGCTAAATTGAAACAGCTTTGAGCAGTATAAGACCACCTCCTTGTGTGTGTAGACTCTTTAAGACTTCTCACCATTCAACACAACCGTATAGTAGCAGCAAATTGGCAATGTTACCCACAGATGCTAAGTAAAGACCGATGTGGGAATTGTAAACATTCACGCAGTAGAGTTGCTTTTTTAATGTTGTCAGTTAAAGCATATCTTCAATATATTGATATTACCTCTGTACTATACATTGGGTGGTAAAGATACTTCATTTCCTAACAATGGCAACCCTCAATGCTAGGAAATACTAAGCATAAACATTCTAAAAACATACTTACATACTGCCATCTCTCAAATACAATGTTCATTTAAAATTTTCACATTAGTAAAAGACAATACAATTAATTTCAGTATACTTTGGAGAATCAAATATGCAAGTACAAAAAACATAGTAAAATAACTATTTACCTGTTTCAATACTTCTATTAGAACTAGAGAAAAAATAAAATCAATGGCTAGATCCCTTCTTTCCAGGAGATAATCCCTTTGTTGTTCATCACTGAAATAACAAGCCAAAAACAATATAATTAACTATCCAATGACATATTAATGCTTTATCAAATGCAACAATCAAGCTACACTACATGAGTATATATTTAAACAATATATACAATGTATGTTGTGAGAGGAACAAGAATCAAGAATCTTTAATATACATTACAATATAACATAAAACAAGTGACTGTATTGTGAGAGCAGAATGGATGGGCATCATTTTTATATTAAAATGCATCAATCTGGACTAAGATTAGAAGATTAGGTTTCTTGCAGAATATTGAATGGGTGGAATAGGCTGTGATAGCTGATTTTGAGTTGTTCAACTCCTTCAAAAAAAAACTAGATTTGTACCTGCTTGAGACCAGAGATAGGTATAGGAATAGGTGAGATCTGAAATTAATGTATACTTGATGATATAGCTGTCAGCCTGGCTCAGCTGATAGAGCTATCATCTTTATTTCACAAGGTTGTTGTTTGAAGCCCTATGTTGTGACTTTGAGCTCACGGTCTAGGATGACTTCTTTTGAACGAGTCATGAAATAATGTCCCATCTAACTGTTCTGGTGCCCATTAAAGATCCAATAGCATGATTGATTTGAAAAGAGAAGAAAGTTTCTCCTGATGTCCTTGGCCAATAATCTTCCAAATAAATTCATCGCTGTTTATGGGACATTTCTGTGCCAAATTGGTCGCCACATTCGCCTACAACTGCAAATTCACTGCACTTCAAAGAAGCTTTCTGAAGCGCTTTGAGACGTGCTCAATGTTGTAAGCACAATATCAATGCAAGCATTATTATTATTACACAATGATCGCAAGTGCTGTTGTGGTCAGTGGAGAAAAGGAGGCTTTATCGAGTAGTTGAGACGGATAAATATTCTGGAGCTTCATTGCCTTTGGTGTTCTTGGGAGTCGATTTGGAATATTTTCCTCAGTGGGTTGATTGATGAGTGGAGTCTATGATAGGATATGATAGGCTATGAGAGGGATCTACATGGTTATGATGCCCTTTTATCATTCCATGCAGTTCTCTTGTAGTTTGAGTTAAAGTAGGTTTATGGGTGCTATTTGATTTTCATAGATATAGTCTAATCAATTTCGACACAAAGAAAAATTAGTTTTGAACGTCAGGTGCCTATAGTGCCACCATGACTTGACTTTTTTCCAGTGAAGTCTGGCAGCAAAAACAAATTGAAGCTGTTTGTGGCAAATGCCCGAAAAAAAGAAGAAAGCATGGATAAATACCTGCATGAGCAGGATATAGGGTTAGGTACAGACAGAAGTGAAAAAGTATTCGATACACAATGATTTCTGTGATGAAGGATCTGGTGCCAATGTTATCAGTGTAGGAAAAGATAAAAATAACTTCTGAAGACAATGGGAAATGAATAAGTAGCAAATACCCTTTTGACTTTGCACTTGTTCTTGGTCGATATTCATGCGATTCATCTTCAATTCCATTCTGCCTTTTGTACCAGTCAAATAAAGTACGTAAAACAGATGGCAAGCAGTACTCTGCAAGTGAACTCATTGAGCTTATCAACTGGAGGGAAAAAAGGTCAAAAGATGAAAAGTTACAGAGATAAATACATCCTAGCTGTCGATAAGAGTTCAATTCATAGTAAGTTTTGAAACAATCAGATCAGGATTTAATGACGTCACAACATTACTCTTCCAGCATCATCTGTGCAGTAGCGTGAGATACAATGTGGAGTTACACTGACATTCTGTGTTAGGGATTACAGAGATCTCAGCATATGCATGGTATAATTCATTAAATAAGTATAAGATCTTATCCGGTCAATGATTGTTCTATGTTTCAAAATAAAACACAGTAAACTTCAGCCTATGAACAACAAATAAACCAATAGGAAGTGCAAGCGAATTTCTTTTAGCAAAAGAGTAATACGAAGGGGAACAAACTACCAACACTGGTCGTGGAACAACCGATTATAAAAAGGTTTCAAAACCAGGAAAACAAGACCTGGAAATGAAAAGAATTTAGGGTACAATACAAAACAATTTTACAACACATTACAATTCACATTTATATAATGCCTTTCATGTCAGGAAGACGTCTCAAAGCAACTCACTGAACTAAGGGTGGGAACTGAAAACTACTGAAAGAGCAGTCAAAGAGGTATGTCCTGAGATGAGCTTTGAAGAAGGGAGGGAGTTGGAGGAACTCCAGGATGGATTTCCAGTGAGTGGAGGTAGAATAGCTGAAAGCCCACTCGTCAATGGTATGGCCGATAAGGTGAGGGACACGAAACAGGCCAGTGTCCATTAAGCGAAGGCAGAGACTGGGTTGGTAGGGTTGAAAGAGGCCACTGAGGTGGGGTGGGGCAAGGCTGTGGAGGGTTTTGAAGGTGAGAACAAGGAACTTGAATGCAATCTGCTTGAGAATGGGGAGCCAGTTGGGTGGAGCAAGGAAGGGGTTGATAGGATCTGGGAGTATGATGTGGGAGAGGACACAGGCTGTAAGGTTGTGGAAAGTCTGCAGCCTGTGTAGATAATTGAATGATGAGGTAATGTGTTCAAAAGAACTTTGAGAAGTTGGATTGGTACAGTGGATGGACCAATGGTCCAGCTCTGCCTGTTGTTTCTAACTCACGTGGAGTATAAACACTGGCACGACTGGTTGAACTGAATGGCCCGTTTCTGTGCTGTACATTCTTTGGAAATCTTTGACACTGTTACTATGTAAAGCATGGTGGAAATTGCACATTTGTGCCAGAAAGAGCAATTTGGGGCATAAAATGTCTTCTCCAGGGAATCTCATGTACGTCAAGCTGATCTACGAGAATCTGAGTCTGATGAGACCGTGGATTAGAGCCGAGTCCTTGTGAATTGAAGTAACATACAAAGGGTTCTAGGTCTAAGAATCCATTTACAAATGTGCTAAAAGCACGTTTTTAACCCAAATGTTAATATGTTACTAAAGGTGGCCTTTGATTCATACAAACATTGCTCAGTAGCATATCAAGCTTGTCAACCTGTAGCATATTACATCGCAATAAAACAGATCATTTGGCTCAACTAGTCTTTGTCAGTATTTATACTGTCAATGAGCTTTCACCCCTCCTAATCCCCTGTCTTTATACCTCTTTATTTCCTTTTTCCTCATGTATCAACTTTCCTCTTAAATACATTGATGTGGTTAGCGCGCTCGCCTCGCAAGTGAGAGGATCCAGGTTCCATTCCCGGGCTGAGTGAAATCTTAGACAAGTTTCCTTACTCCGCACGCCTATTAACCTGGCAGTAAGTAGGAAGCGGGTGGTAGTTAATTGGCGGATCGCTATCCGGGGGTAATAATCCCTCAAAAAAAATTGGTCACTCAATACACGACTGTTTGTGGGACACTACTGTGTGCAATTCGCTGCTGCGTTTTGCCCACAAAATACATAGTCAATTCACTTTACAATATATTTGTGAAGTGCTTTGAGACTTCAAAACAGACATCTCAACAACCTGATAAGGCGCTTTATAAAATGCAATAATAATAATAATCCTTTCATTTGATATAGCGCCTAATCACGTCTTCGAGATGTCCCAAAGCGCTTCACAGAATATACTGTATTACATTTATTATATTTATTTATTAGTTAATTAATACATTAACTAATCCAGGATTATTATTATGCTTTCTGCTTCAATCACAGTTTGAGATACTGAGTTTCACAGTATCACAATCCTCTATGTGAAGGAAACCTCCTCAACTCTCGTTGTCTCTTTTGGTGAGTATCTAACTTTCTGTCTCTGTCTCTGTTATTTCTTTCTGTCTCTTTGACTATCTATCTCTTTGCTTGACTTATCTGATTTGGTTTAAGTTATCAAATGTGCACACTGAGAGCAGTGTATACCTTACTTCTACTTGGGGGGAAAGTGTTGTACAGTACATTTAAGGAAGAAAAATATTTCTTACTTTTTTCAAACATTTTTACATGGCCATGATTTTTTGCTTGTTTCCAGCAGTAATAAGAAAATTTCAAATGTACTGCCAATAGGTCAATAAATTAACCAACTACAGCGGAACCCCCTCTTCACCATGGGTGAAACATCTGAAAAATGTGGATGGTTGGTTAAGTTTACCGACCTGATCCATGTCCTCCTAAATGGTAAACGTTGTGATGTGTTCAAGTTTTGTTTTTCATTTATTATCATGTAGGTTGGATAAAAATATTAATGCCATTCCAAAATAATTTCTGTCTAAAACTCAATCTGTAACTTGCAGCAGGCAGCTTGGCCAAGTTTGGTCTCTTAGTCTATGAGTTCTGCTCAAAGCAAAGCATTACAAAATTAAGTTGCACTCNTTTTTTCACACTTTCTTTCAGTTGATATATACTCTAGCGTGTACTTAAAAATGTTTTTATATACACAAACAGAATAATAAAATTACCTTGCAGCAGCACCAAATTTGTAACCTGCAATTGCAATTCAATATTACTGCAAAAAATGCTCATTCATTACTATTGGGTGCAGTACCAAATCGCACTTGTATTAAAATGTTTGGAAGACTGTCCACAAAATGTCAGGTATTGTCTCATTTAATAATTAGGCACTCCATTCAATTTGTCTGCAGAAATGGACAAGGAGTCTTTAAAAGTAGAACTGTGGTATGAAATACATATCTTTTTGAGGTATTCTGGTTAAAAAAAAGCACGATGTAACCCTAAATCACACTTATTTAGTAATTCTGAACTCTATCAATATCTACCATGGTTAGTTTTTTTCTAAATCCTATCTAAAATATTTATTACGATTTTTAATTTCTTATAGTAGTCTTATAATTATCAAAGCAAATTTTGTATCAGTGTATTCTGCACATTTGAAAATAATAATAATTATTTAAAATAGCGCTTCATCATCTCGTTGAAATGTCTCAAAGCACTTTACAGGATTTACTGTAAAGTGTAAGTGTAATGACTGTGTATTTTGTTGAATAAGGAATGTCCCATAAATAGACATGAAGTGAATGGCCAATTTTGTCTGAGGAATTGTTGTCCAGGACACAGGGAGAAACTCACTTTTCATTTTGAATAGTGCTAGTGGATCTTTAATTATTTGCTTTTATTTCAAAATATGAAAATATTCCACATTTTTACTTTAATGGGGGAAAAAAATCACTCGTCATTGCTTTCTTAGTCACTATTATATTTCAAAAATACAGTAATTGAATTCATTAGCAGAGGCTAAATACAGTACCTCTGTTTCTGCGTATGTCACAATAAAGGTGCTTTTTAACCAGATGAAGAGATCTAGCATGATTTTGTCTGTCATTGCTTGTTTTAAAATCACTTTGTGAAGTCAAAGCAGGAAGGAAGGGTGGAACTTGAAAAGGTCTCCACTTGGAACAGGAAGGGAGGAGAGTCTGGACAGCCTGAACTACAGAGCTCATTCATGTACTCATTTTCGAGCCAGTGAAGAGATGAATCTTGGTTCTGTGTTACTGTTGGAACACACTAAACCTATGTACAAATATGGTCTTGTTGCAATGAATGATCATTTTTCTTTCATAATAAATGAGCTTCATACAGTTGGTGGATATTGCTCCAGTATACTCATAAGCCTAGCGGTCTTGACCTTGGGTTTCAACTAAAATACACTTGTCTGTTTAAAAGAAGTCTCATGCTGTTTTTACTGGCACACATTCACATAAATAAACTGAATGAAGGTTTTCTCCTTGACAGCTACCCACACAGGATAACATTTTTTATATCAATGTCTTTATTATACTGCAAAATTTGTATGGGTAACTTTATCACTTGGGATAGCAATTGCTTGGATGATGATTTTTTAAAAATCATGAATACTTGGAATGTCTCGTTTTGAAACCTAATGCATAATTAATTATCCTCTATTATTGAACAGCAGATTATTGTGTGAAGAGATTATGATATAATTCCCAAATAATCCCTTCAGAAAAAAATAATAATTTGCTTACTCAAACCATGTCAATGCTGTGCGCAATTTCGCTGCCGTGTTTCGCCCACAAAATACAGTCAATTCACTTTACAGCACATTCTGTGAAGTGTTTTGAAGTGCCTCAATGACATGATAAGGCACTATATCAAATGCAAGGCTTATTATTATGAAAACTAGAAACTCTTACGTGTGCTATAGTTGGTGGCTTTATAAATTCACCTGGATTCTAATTTAAAATTTAATTGATTTTTTTAGTCTTCAATCAATGCCGGAGAGTGAGTGGATTTGAACATGAATGTGAGGATCTTGAAGTCGATCCGTTCGGTGATGGGGAGTCAGTGGAGCCTGGCTAGAACTGTGAGATGTGGGTACGGAGGTTGGTCTGGGTCAGTATGCGGGCTGCAGAGTTCTGAATGAGCTGGATCTTGTGAATGGTGGAGCTGGAGAGACTGGCGAGGAATGCGTTGGAGTAATCCAAGCGGGAGGTGACAAACACATGCACGAGGGTTTCGGCTGCATTTGGGGCAATGCACGGTCAGTGGTGGGAAATGTGGCGAAGGTGGAAGAAGGCGGTCCTGGTCAGGGACCAGATATGGGGGAGGAAGGACAGTTAGGGGTCGAGCCAGACGCCTAGATTGCACACTGGTTCGTTGAGTATAAGGGAGAGCCCAGGGAGGTTGAGGAGTTCAGATCCGCAGGAGTGAAGACGTTGACGGGAGTTAAGGAGTATGGTGGAGGCATTTCAGACTACATATTAATGCATGTCGTTTGAAATATTAGAAAACCCAAACAATACCAAAAAGTCTGGGTATACCATCTTCAAAATGTAAATACTCTTAGTTTTTTTTAAAAAAGGTTATTGCCCCATTTTAAACACATGCCAATAGTAGTATCATTTGAATAATAGTACCATTTGAACTTATTGGGCACTTGAATTTGCTACTGAAGCAAGCCATTGTTGGTTACTTCATCAGTAACTTCTCCAATTTAATCACATCTGCATAAGAAAGTATTAAGCACCTCAGTATCAGGGTTTTGGCTCTACTTTCAAATATTTCTATGCAGAAAACTGTAGTATTAAAAAGGTTAAAGAACGCAGGATACGTTATTATTTTGTGTTGAAATGCTATTTGTTTGAAAAAGAATCTACAGTGGACTTCTGTCATCAGTGCGATTGCATCTTAAAAAATAAAGTGCGCAATAAAATGCAAGTTGGTGCTTAAACACAGTATTCAAAGATGGTATAATCACTTTACAAAGTCTAAAAATTCTATTAAGTATTAGTGAGAATGAAATTAATGTGCAATTCACACCACAGCCTCAGTTGGCTCTGCTGGACCTTCTGGTAACTATTTTGTCCTCTTGCTGTTTGCTCAGTCACTTTTTTTATGTGTATTGCACTGCGAAGTGGGGCAAAACACAGCACTGAATCACTTCCTTGAGTTGGCATCACTAGCATTTTGTTGATGTTAAATGGCACATTTGTCATATAACATCCAACACAAGAGTTTGCAATTCAACAGTAAATTCTACATAAATTACGTAAATTCTAATTTACTTATGTATATCAACTAAAAATCCAACTGAATTTGATTCTCTAAAAGGCTTTTATATTCTGTAAGGTAAAACAATATTGTATTGCTTTTCAATCTCAAGGAGAAAATGGCCTCTCTATTTGTAATATGCCTTATGAAGCATTTCCTTTCATGAGAGCCCATTTCCATCTTAGCACTGATAGTTACAGCAAACTACCACAAAGCTCTACAGATGTAATCTGCAATGTAAATATTTATTTAACTGTGCAAAAAATACAAAATTGTGCCAAATCTTGGCGCACTGTTAAAAACAGGAATAATATTTTTTAACATTAGCAGACAGTGTCTTAACGTGAATGCCAATATACCATTCAAGTATAAAATTCAACCCAAAATAGGTTCAATAGCATTTAAGGTACTGGGTAAACATATATTTCAAACTGTTGTTGTTAGATATTTGGTATTCCTAATCATTATAAAAATTTACTTTTTCCTTTGAACACTAATAAAATAGCCAAATGCAAATTGGAGTAACCTGAACCTCCAGATACACAATAATCGTTTTAGTCCTTCTATCCAGTTTTTACAGTGTCACAGTTGTTACTTAATACAGAATAATACAGCAACATATTTCATTAATTTATTGACACATTAATTTGTGGAGCAATATCTGAACTAGATTTTGATGTCAATCAATAATAGCTTTCATAACCGCATTTTTTAAGGCTGCGATATCTCAACATGAGCAAAAAAACTACATCAACAATTCACTTATGTTCCTGATTTGCTTACCTGATCAAACTGTGGATCTTCTCCCCTTTGTAAAGACTTTGTAAGTGGCTTTTCCTGCAACAGAAACCGTTCCAAGTGTTAAAACAGAAATGCAACATTTGATGTACTGACTAAAAATTGGATTGCTGTGGAGTGAGAGGTAAGGTGGGGCAAGATAGTGGAAGGATTTAAAAGTGAGGATCATCTGGGTGAGTCAGTGTAGCTGGATGAGGATGGGGGTAACTGGCTCGTTGAGCCTAGCCCAAAAGAGAACACGAGCTGCAGAATTCTGGATGATCTGCAGCTTATGAAGGGAAGTGTTGGGAAGTTCGGCGAGCAGAGAGTTGATGAGGCTAGCCTGGACGTGATGAAATCAAGGATAAGGGTCTCAGTGGCGTGAGGGGCGAGTTATTGGCAGAGGTGGGCAATATTCCAGAGGTGGGGAAAACTAAATGCATCAGAGCATGGATGTACAACAACAACAACAAATTGTATTTTATATACTACTTCGTGCAGTAGGATGTAAGGTTTAAAGTCAAACAAGATGCCAAGGTTCTGCACTGGCTCCGTGTGGAATGTGCATCTATGTAGATTGATGCTGTCAGTGCCTTAGGTGAGAAGGTGTTGACCAGAGCCAAGCAGGAGGATTTCTGTATTGTTGACATTCAACTGGAGAAAGTTAGCTCTCATCCAGGACTTGTTGTCGAAATTCAATTGGTCAGAACAGCAGCGGCCATGGAATCGAGGGTGGAGGCAGAGAGATTGAGTTGGGTGTCATATGCATAGATATGGAAGTTAACCCCAGGCATGTGGATAACATCACTGAGCGGGAGCATGTAGATATTAAAGAGGACCCAAGACAGAGCCCTAAGGAACAGTGTATGTGACAGTGCGGGGGGTGGGAAGAGACACCGTTGGCAGATACAAAGACAATGGTCTTATTTCTGGCCTCAGGTTTCAAACCAATTCCTATATAATCACATATATAATCATTGCATTTGATACAGCACTTTATCATGTCATCGAGATGTCTCAAAGCTATTCACTGAAATTTGGAGTAAAGGGTAGTCACTGTATTTGTAGGTGAACAAAGCAGCCAATTTTCCAGCAACGTCCCATGACAGTGGGTAAAAAACGCATTGCAAGTGAGCCAGTGTATAAGGGGCACCTGATAATGGGGTTCTACTGTAGTTGAAGTGCTTCAAGGCTCTAATTTTACAGGAAAGATTTTACATAAATGTTTGTTGCCTATCCAGTTGTCTTTGTAAATAAGATTAGCATAGATAGGCTGTCCCCACTTGTTGGAGAGTCTGCGACCAGAGCACACAAGTATAATGTAGAAACTGGGGATCTAAATGAGAATTTAGGAGGAACTTGTTCACATAGAGGGCTGCAAGAATACGCATTTTGCTGCCCAAAGCAGTGGTTAAAGCAGACAGTATAGATGCATTTAAGAGGACGCTATACATACACATGAGGGGGAAGGGTGTGGGAGGGAGTTAAGGGGTTGGTAGAGTCTCATTTGGAGGATGGACACAACACAGACTGTGAACCAAATGGCCTGTTTCCGTGCTGTACAGTCTAGGTAAATCTATATAAATGTCAGAGGTGAAGTGAGTGATCAATGTTTCTGTTCCTTCTATCGACGACCTATATTCCATCCCTCTGAATTTCAGCAATAAAAAGGTTATCATCCATGGCAAAAGAAAAACGGGTAATTAAGCTCATTAAGCCATCTTGAGGCTGTTGATCAGGATTGAGTTATGTATTCTGCACTCGGGAAGGCATGCACCACTCTCTGACTCAGCGTTATTGAACTTTTTATTCAGGGTGACATTGAATGTGGGAGTTAAGCCTTGCTGGCAGCGGAGGCGGGCATCATGTTGAGCACCAACCAGCTGGCAGTCAACAATTAAAATGAAAAACACTATCTTTCAGCTTGCAGAGAAGCACTTAATTATGTCCATCCTCTCGGAAGCACACATGTTTTGTGCACTTATCAGCAGCACTTCGAACATAATCCACTGTCACAAACTTTGAGCCACAAGTCTCAGCGTTTCACTCATTCCAGTATAGAAGATGAATCCCAACGGTAAAGATTTATAAGTGAGGAACAGCTGGCAGCCAAGTTAAAGGATTACCTTTAAGTGATATGCCTGTTCATTTTTACTATTATGCACCCTCATCTTTCCAGAGGGTCGTGCCTTTTAAAATTAAAATCTTTCTGAAATGTTACCAGGTGAACCTCTGTGTGATAGCTTACACAATACTGCACGTTCACTCTGCTATTCAGTTTTCAGTCTCCAAAAATCTGCCAAATAAAATAAATAAGATTTTCTTCAATTTCACAGTAAAGCTATTGAAGCAGCATTAAAGCTGCATAAATAATAATAATCCTTGCATTTGATACAGCGCCTCATCACGTCTTCGAAATGTCTCAAAGCGCTTATAATAATAATAATCCTTGCATTTGATATAGCGAAACGCGACAGCCAATTGCAAATGCAAGTTAAAGGAAAGATTCTGTGATCTTTTGAGAGACAGTTAACGACATTTAGCAACAAGATGTGTGGGTATGAAAATAGTAAAATAGAGGCCTGTTTGGATTTCGGTGTGTCAGGGAACAGAACTATAATTATTCACTGAGCCGGCACAGGCATATTGGACCGAATAGCCTTCTTCTGTGTTGTAGGATTGTATGATTCATGTCGGGAGGACATCCCAAAGCTCTTCGCAATGCTACTAAGCACCAAAGCTGGGGCGGTGGACCTTAAGAGGGCAGGGAGGGGAAAGACGACTGAAAGCACAGTCAAAGAAGTAATTCTTGAGGTGGGCTTTGAATGTGGTGAAGGATGGATGCAGTTCCAGAGCGCAGGGTCAAAACAACTCAAAGCTGCCTGCCAATGGCGGTTATAAGACAGGGGACATGAAGCAGGCAAGTGTTGGCTGAGCGATGGGATTGGCTGGGTCGGCAGGTTTATTCAATACTTGTGAAGCAATTTTTTTGCTTCCTTATGCATTGTTACTGTGGTGTAATGCCACATATAGTGAATATCTTCATAGTCAGTTTCATCAGAATACCTAGGGTTTTGTTGCAAACATGCTTTGTTTAAGATGTTTGTGAATATGTGTGCAGAAAAACTACACAATATATAAAAGGAAGCATGAGGATGGTGCTCTAAGTATTACTTTTGGATCCTAGCTAAATTAAACTGAATTAAATTGCTTCNTTTTTTAAAAAAATCATTTGCTGGGAAACAGATTTCATTACAAATAGATTGCTGTTGTACTAAGCTTCGGGCATTAAATTTATTGCGGTCACATTAGACCCATTTTCCAGAATTGAGTTTCAGGCAATAGCCTGATGCTGTTATATTTCTGATGCACCCAAATATAAAAGAGGCTTATATTCATTCACACATGATGCGTTTTAAATTATTGCCAAAATGACAAATTATGCTGCCAAATTATAGCATTAATTGGGTAGGGGCTTAGGAATCCTGGTTGTAAACTCATACTGTTTGAAACCAATGTTTTTTCAAGGCTTTTAAAATGCCTTGTGCAGTCATGAGATACATTGAGTTATTATAATAAATTTCTCCTGGGTCAGAAGGCTGAAAGTCCAAGTTGAGGTTATAGTTGAAGCGTACTGAAGTACTGGAATGTGCTGACAGCAACACCATTGAGGCTATGATCATTGATGCTCAGCTCTGTTGGGTTGGACATGTTGTTAGGATGGACAACGTATGGTTGCCAAAGCAGGTGCTTTATGGAGAACTGGTGGGTGGCAGAAAAAAGCAGAAACAGACGACAAAGGTGCTGCAAATTTTTTAAAAAAATTTCGGGTCTGAAATGCTATACGCTGTCCAGGGCCTTGGGATGTCCTCCCGAAGTGAAAGGCGCTATACAAGTGTAATCTTGTTGTTGTTGTTGTTGCAAGGAAACACTGAAGATACACCTGAAACAGTTCAACATGGTCGTTTACTCTTGGGAAACCCTGGCCACTGACAGATGGCAATGGCGTTTTGAAGTGAGAAAAGGAGTGAAGAGCTTTGAGGAACACCGGCGTGTGAGTGTGGAGGAAAGCCACAAGAGGCGGAAGGATTGGCAACGTCAGAGGAATAAACAGGAGAATCCTTCCCTCAGGAATGTAGTTATGTGCTGCTTGTGGTTGTGACAACTGTCTGTCACATATTGGCCTGCACAGTCATCAACGCATCCATCTACCATGAACTTATGCTCCCTTCATTGTTGGCACGGTCATCCTCGAGCATGAGGGATACACTAATAGTTTAAGCTAACATGTCATATCATCCTGAAGACCTTCCTTTTTGACCACGTCTACGGTCACCTTCCCCCTCCCCCTGACTCAGCCTTAGGCTCCACCATTGTTAAGTGCTCTGAGACAGCATCCGCTGTGGAGGGTACTACATAATTGCAAGTTGTTGTTATTGATTCTCAGTTTGTACAGCTTTCAAAAGGCAACTAGGTATCCAAAAAGAAATAATTTGCAGGTGAAAATGCAGGTAAATGGGGCTGAATGGATTGCTGAGTGGCCATCTTCTCTGCTGCAATTTCTATGATTCTAAGTTTTTATGGTACCAGTTCGATATTGTCAGAGATTCTGCCCTTTTGTAAGACATGTTAAACTAAGACCCTGCAAGCCTCTTCATAGTGTTAAAGATTCCCATTAGTTACTCCACTTTACAGTATATCCTGTGAAGTGTTTTGGGATGACCTCCTGATAGGAGAAACACTATAGCAGATGCAAGGATTATTATTATTATTAACTATATCATCTCCAGCCCTATCTTCTCCTCTGAGCCCTCCATTTTTCAAACTCTTTCTATCCTCCAACCCAATCATTGGACAAACCTTCAGTGAATATGTCCCATTATCTGCAACTCTCCCCAAATTCCTTTCTCCTCTCTCCCCATCTTCAAACCCTCTTTTGACCTTGCATTTGGTCAATAACCTTCAATTCTCTCCTCCCTGTTCAGTGCTCCTGATTGATTCTGCAAATTGCTTTGAGTGTTTCATTGTACGCGAAAGGCAAGCTGTTGTTTTGGCATATA